AGTCTCAGCAGTCGCACCTCCACCTGAGATAAGTGCTCGTGGTATATGCTCTTGCTGGGTTCGATGCCGAACTTTACGATCCACTTTGCGATTTTACCTGTAGCCGTGGATACTGTCCCCCGGAGACTTGTACTTATAATGCAGATGGCTCTCCTATTTCATCTAGTTCCCCTTCAGCGACAGCGCTCCCCAATTCATCGGCTTTTGAAAGCAGCTTTACCTTGTCGGCAATACCGTCAACTTCGATTGAGTCTTCGGAATCCGGATCTGTTTCTTCACTCCAGCCATCATCAACTCTTGTTGAATCTGGTACTGGGGTCTCGAGTACTTTCGGGTCCGAAACTACTAGTACTTTTGAATCCCCTGCGATCTCAATAAGTTCTACGACTGATATAATTAGTAATGAGTTTGGTTCTTCCGCCGTTTTCGGTGCTTCAAGTACTATTCTGATCTCAGTTCCATCGGAAGTGGCCAGTACCATTGTCCAATCATCAATAGCTTCCGAGCTCTCAACCAACATTGGACAATCTGTTGTCAGTTCTGGGACTTCCACGGGTTTCACCACGCCATTTGAATCATCTATACTAGCAACAACTAGTGGTATTGAAACCTCGCCTCCTTTCAGTGAAATCATCACTCCCTCGCTTGCCACTAGCACCATATTGATTTCATCATCCGCTTCGGGATCAGTTGGAGGTATTGAAACTTCCTCATCTCTATTCACCGATGTAGTTATCACTCCATCTATTGTCCCCAGTTCGACGGTACCTCTTAGTTTGAGCACCGAAATCATATCTGCTAGTGCTTCCGAATTTATCAGTTCATTGCTACTACCAGAAGTAACCAGTACAATATTCGAAACTTCCAGGTTACCACTAAGCACCATCACAATAGTTCAATCGTCATCCGAAGTGATTGGTATCGAAACAACTTCAGCTTCAGGCTCTTTGGCAGTTACCACTTCTTCCCCTCTGAATGAATTATCCACAAGCTTGAACCTTTTGCCTACTGAGTCGAGCGCTGTTTCCACGGTAACTTTAGGTATAGAAACAAGTTCTGAGGCTGGATCTTCGACAGTTGTTCCTTCACTTACTTCAAGCATTGGTATGTCAACAAATGATGTCAGTTCTTTGCCTACAGAATCAAGTCTCTCTTCCAGTGCCCCAGGATTTGAATCGAGCAGTGTGATCATATCGACATCTGGCATAGAATCTGAATCGCAACCTGCAACTTCGGCCATTATAATTTCATCTTTACCAATCGAAACCTTGAGTGCTAGCACTTCTTTTGAATCGAACACAGCCATACCCTCGACCACAGAATCTGTATCAACGGCTTCGACTGTTGAGAACTTGGAATCTGGTACTTCATTTGGAGCATCAGAAACATCGAGCAATACTTTATTATCTTCACTCATCACGGAAACTGGTAGTGCCACAAGTGAATTCTCGGCATTACCAACTGAAGTATCTCTAAGTCTGAGTGGCTCCAATATTATAACAAGTCTAGCTTCAGAGCCAACTTTTGTGACTGGTGCACCTAGCACTGAGGTTCAATCTACCTTGGGTGTCGAGACATCTGGAAGCATTAGTGAAGTGTCTGAATCTTTGATTGAGACTTCCTCTGTTGTTTTAAGCAGTACTGGTGTGAGCACGTTTGAGTCTATAAATCCGACTGAGACTCTCGTTTCATTCTTGAGCTCCCTGACTGAGACAGAGTTACTCCCTACCACAATACCTGGATTATCAGCTCTTCCATCAACTTTAGTTGGAAGCTTTACTCTCATTGAAAGCTCTGGAATTATATCAATCCCTGCGGTCCAGTCTACAAGCCTTGTGAGTGAGACCCAGTCAGAAATCGGTCTCAGTTCTAACACGTTTGGATTATTACCCACCTCGGTCCAGACATCTGGATTTGCATCGACATCATTGGGAATTGAAGGTCTTTCAACAACACCAAGTATCCCGACTTCAGAATTACCTTCAAGTATGATCGAGAATTCATTGGTTTCGTCTACTCAATCTGCTGAGCTTTCTACAGCAGCCGCTAGTAGTGTCCTCTCTTCTGAAGTATTATCTGAGCAATTATCGTCATCATCTATTGTCCCAGCGATATCGTCATCTCTGGCGTCACAGCCTGAGATTTCCTCTACCATTGAAGAACTTTCCACTGTTGTTACAATTATTCCTTCCTCATCCACACTCTCTAGACTTGAAAGTTCATCTGAGCTTGCTGCTAGTACAAGTTCTGTTGCATTGCCTTCTGGATCCTTATCTGGTAGTTTATCTCAGCTGCCAACAACGGCAAATGAGGAAATTTCTGCCAGCTCTACGGCCTTTGGAATCAGCAGTACATCTGGTAGTAGCATCCCCATTTCTGAAAATCTTGGCTCGGGCACTTCCCTCGAATTCTCAGCTTCAGAAACATCCATATCTGCCTTTCCAACCTCTTTGACATCGAATATTGGTACTGAAAGCTCGAGTCTTGTAATAATTTCAAGCACGGTAATTTTGACGGTAGAAACACAGACATCTGAACCTATTTTCACCTCTACTGCTTCTTTAGAAAGCAAATTGGCTTTGGAAACATCCATCGAAGGCTCATCATCAATTGCTGAGCTTACTTCTACTTTAGGTGGTGCTTTGACAAGTACCCTCGGATCTCAAGTCATATCTTCGACAGAATTGCTACTGTCCCCATCGAGCTCTCCCCAAACAGCTCCCAGCTCTGAGGTATCAAATGTTACCACGGAACAGACTCTTTCTGCCACAGAAAACCCTGAAACTATTTCGAGTACGCAGATCGAGATTTCTTCAATTCCTGGTCTCATTTCCAGCACTGAACTGGCATCTTCGGGTAGCCAGACAATTTCTGAGGCTCCATCATCGACACAGGATATTTCATCGCTGGGAATATCAACCGAGCCAGCTGAATCTTCGACAGGAATTCCCAGCTCTCAAATTGCTCAAATTTCCTCATCACTTCCAGGAGGTCTTTCTTCAACAGTGACAGCTGAGCCTTCTCAGTCAGTTATATCTTCCAACTTGGCCGAAACCGTATCGTCTGAGATCCTAAGTGCAAGCGCAACAATCACAAGTCTTGAGACTACCGTTATTTTGACTGTGATTACGACCTCTGCATCTGATTCCATTTCTGAATCTGCATCAATTACTCCTTCATCCACGGCTGATATTTTGAGTTCGACCCTACCAAGTCTTTCAGCTTCGGCTTCAGCGTCTCAGATAAATTCATTGTCACAAACTGATTTTGCCCTTTCAAGCTCGAGAATAGCCACAGTCTCGAGTTCTGAGTTCAATCCACAGGGCACAGCTTCGTCAGCAATACTCAGTTCGTCTGAGCAACTTTTAGGCACATACCTTCCAAGTGCCTCTCAGACAAATCTTGAAGAGACCACATCTTTAAGCAATGCTCTTTCAAGTACCTTATCACCAGAGTCCTCCTCTACTATCGAGCCGCTCTCATCTGCCAGTGTATCTGAAGCCAGTATACCTCCCGTCAGTAATGCAGTCTTTGAAAGTGCTAGTTCAAGTGCCGCCCTGGAGACCTCGTCACCAGCTTCTGAATCACAAATTCTGAGCACGGCGTCAATATCTGCATCGCAATCTGACGTCAGCTTTGTCACCTCGTCATTCCAAAGCCTAGCAACCGAGGTATCATCCACATTATCAAGCTCTGAGCTCCCCAGCAGTACGATTTTCACTTCAAGTGACTTAACTTCTTCCGCAGTGCCTAGTGCATCTGCAGGCGCCACAGCACCATTTGCTCACATGGGCTGTTCTACAAACACAACAGGCACTCTAGATAGCCCCACAACATACTCATCTGACATGACTCCAGCTATCTGCTCAACTATCTGTGCTGAGTATGAATTCTATGCAGTTGAAAGTGGAGTTAAATGTGTTTGTGGCAATAATGTTGAGTCAGGTGGTGTCTTGCCAGGCTCAAGCTGCAATGCCACTTGCGGTGATGGAGATGGTACTTCTTCTTGTTCATCGACATCTGCTTCTCCTAGTGCCCCTGCCTCCACATTGATAACACTACTAAGGCCTAGGAAGCTCGCAGCTACGGGCAGATACTTTAGGAGGTGGTGAAGAATGAAAGAGAAAATTTTGTTTAGTGTTTTTTTCTTCTTCTTTGGAGGATGGAGTCGAAAGTGCTGGGCGTAGGCACTGGTTTCATAAATAGTTTTGATCAGTTTACCTCTTCCTACTTCTTGTTTTGTATGGTAGTTGTAGTTGTTGGTGGTTAACAATGTATTAGTTTTGTATGTGGGGGGTTATGTTAGGAAGTGGGAAAAGGGGCGAGCCAAGGGGTTGGAAATGTTTATCCATGGATTTCCTTGAATACATGAACTTTTGTGTCTGGTTTTCTTATATTTAGAATGATATGGTATTTCCTTCGACCGAATGTTCTTCATACCTTGTGGTATCTGTGACTTGCACGGAGATATGATTATACTGGTGATATGGGTATGAATAGCACTACTGATGTGGGGGTGATAGCAACATATGTATGTATTGATTTGGGGTTGGAGACACTAATCATCCAACTACCATCTGCGCCCCCAATCTAACTCCGGAAAATCCTACGAGTAGACAACGCTTACAATATCACAACTCCTCCATCATACCTTATTTAGATCCGCGAGTCCCCTCCTCTCAAAAGGAAAAAGCAAGATAGAAATAAATTTGGGTTGTACATGAGAAGGCGATACGTCTCATCATGGAGCTTTGAAAGCATGAAGACGTATCGGATCGGCGGTTGGCTTGGGTGTAGGTTCATGGGGTTCATCAAACCCGTATTTCTTGTATCGTAACTATACGAAGTAAAGAGAAGAAAACATACGACACAACGAATTTGAAGAATGATTTCAATATATTCATTTAGTGTAAATAAATCAGCGTTATGAATGATGTTCTTATTTTTTCAATGTTCAACCGACCCCAGATTTCAACGATAAGCACGTGATAATCAGCTAAGAATTTCGCTTACGACTAGCGCTTTTCGCACACAAATCTCCATTCCAATTTTCTGCTCGAACTTTTTTCAACAACCAACGACGACGACAAATCCAGGTTCCTCACCAAGCCGACAAGATGACCAAGATCAACACTTGTATGTACCATCAATCACTCATTTCTGCGATTCTGCGCAAACATCAATTCAATTGTGCCAATACTTGAAAGAGATCGTAAAGCTAATGAAGATTTTTCCACAGCCCTCCACTCCTCAAGGAGAAAGTCCCGCAAGGCTCATTTCGATGCCCCATCCAGCGTCAGACGTACCATCATGAGCGCTCCTTTGAGCAAGGAACTCCGTGAGAAGTACAACGTACGTACACTCCATCTCGCGAGCTACAATTATATTTTCTCATCTGACTGATATTTTCTAGGTTCGCTCCATCCCAATCAGAAAGGACGATGAGGTCAAGATCGTTCGCGGCTCCAACGAGGGATCCGAGGGAAAGGTCACTTCCGTCTACCGTCTCAAATACGTCATCCACGTTGAGCGTGTCGTAAAGGAAAAGTCCTCTGGACAATCCGTTCCCCTCGGTATCCACCCATCCAAGGTCGTCATCACCAAGTTGAAGTTGGACAAGGATCGTGAGAACATCCTTGAGCGCATCAAGACTGGTCGTGAGATCAAGGAGAAGTTGAAGAACAAGGCATAAATTTGGCATATAAAATTGGGTTGGGATTGGCGTGCTTTCGATTAGCGTTACGTGCATTGATCCATGGCTTCTGCCAGCTGGATGTGCTAGGCATAGTCAATTGAAAACATTATGGCCATTTCACATCCTCCGTGCTTGCACGTCTGGTATCACTGTGAAATGCTCCATGGGAGTCCTCCCGAAGCAAAAAGTGTCTCGACACTTTTGACAACATGATGTTGTGTTGTCGATTGCTATACCTGCTTTGGGAGGACTGACCCTCGACTAACTTGCTTTAGGATTATTGTGACATGCAGTTTCCATTTTCGTGACCTTTTACGCTTATATATCACCTTGTTGACATCTTCACTATTGTTTTCGAGATAAATGATGAGCGAAGAAGAAATACAAAGTTTTTATTATTATGAAGGAAACTTTCTTGCCTGCAGACTTTCTTTTAGATTTCACTAAAATCCCTGAAAAATGAGAGTTTGATGGTGAGGGACATGATTATTTTTTTTTATGACTGCTATCTATTCATCCTGTCGAAAACGGATTTCGATCTTGGAAATTGTCGCACGAATTTGATGGATTATTAGAGAATATCCGTCATACAAAATTAAAACTTCTCAACAAATGGTCTTACATCCAATTCCTGAGTAAATAAAGATCTGTCCTGTGTGTGCAAATACCAATATGCGTCCGCAATCTATAAATCATGGCGTTAGTCATGTTTGTCGGTAAGATTTACAAGTGGAATACTTACAGCTTCAGGTCTAATCTTGCCACCCTCGACTCCCCCATTAACCTCCCATCCCTTGGTTCTGGGAATATCGATCACACCATCAATGATTGCATGCGCAACATGCACACCCTTAGGACTAAATTCCCTAGCTAAACTTTGTGTGGTGGCTCTCAGGGCGAATTTCCCACTGGCGAACGAGGCCAATTGAGCACCGCCTCTTAGTGACGCTGTTGCCCCCGTAACGATTAAGGATGGTGGGTGTGGGGAGTCAGCGACGGAATCCAAGAGGAGTGGTAGGGTTTTTTGTGCAAAAAGATAGAATCCCTTTCTGTTCGTCGATTTTCAGATGGGTCAGCTTGTGTTTTTTATTGCCCTGCCCAGCGACGCAATGGACGAAATAAATCTAGCATCAAATGGATATTCCTAGATCATACACTTTATGGTGTCCCAATTCACATTTGACAATCAAATGCTAGAATTTATAGAGCCGAGCAGGAGGTACCTTCCGGTCTGCAATCCACTGCGTCCAACGAGTGCCAGCATACTAAAACCACTCATCCACATAAGAAAATAACAACATACCCGTTAGCCCCATATCCCGCCTCATAGTCCTCCAAACTCAGCTCCAAGAACGGCTTCCTCACAAACTTGCCTCCTACATTGAAGACAGCAGCAGCCAATTTCAAAGAACCGTACTCTTTCTTTATTTGCTCGAATGCGTTGGATACGGAGGTGGGATCGGATACGTCGGTGCTGATTCCTATGGCTTGGCCGCCGGATGAGGTGATGGCTTTTATGGTGGGTTCGTAGTTGGCGGGGTCGCGGGCTAGGAGGACCACTGGGTAGGCGTTCGCGAATTTGAGGGCGACGGAGTGGCCTGGGGAAGGAGAGAGGTGTTAGTTTTTCATTGTCTTTGAGCCATGTGGAGATCAGAATGCTCAGTTGTTGATGACATATCCAAATGGGAGGATTGGCTTACCGGTACCTGCACCCACACCGGCGACAATGCTGAAGAACTTGCTGGATGGAGGCATGTTTGTAATATGTATTAGAAGGATAAGTTCAAATGGGCGAGGGAAATGTAGATGAGGGCATAGAAGGAAAGAAAACAGATCAATTTATATGGCAATTGCGAGTAGGAAGGATGGAGTCAATTGAAACTTTTGATTTATAATACTATATAAATGTGTATGGGTATAGACAGTGAATTTGAAGATTGAACTATTGCACCACTATGGCATTTGTTTGAGGAGAAATGACGAAATGACGATTCTATTGCTGGAGAGCTTTGTAAGAGGGGTTCAGTGGGGTCTCCAGAATACCGATGAACCGAGGATTAGTAATTTGGAGATTATTAAGATAGGTACTGATGAGTGTCATCCGGGACGAATAATCTACCCGTGTCCGACGTCAAAGCCGAATTGAGTTGGAAGTGAAGTTGTAGAAAGAGAGGGATGGAATGAATGTAGATGCAGTCATATGGATGGATACATGTCTATTAGGGTCGGTTATCGATAGCCTAATAGGTCAATTCAACAGGAAAACAGTACGTTGCCGTCGCTCGCGCGACAACAATCTAAACCACCAAATCCCATCAATCCTGACAACACCATCCATTCATTCATTCCTATTCATCAATTTCCTTTTCACTTCTTCCCTCTAATCCCCCGCCCGACCGTCTATCAACTCCCATCCACAATAATCACAAGCATAAGTCAAACCTTTTGTTGCATATCTGAAAAAGGCCGGAGACTCACCTCCTCATCTCAACCCTCAAGATCAAACAATCGAACAACATCAATAAACTATGTACACCAGATGACATGTTTTATTACGTCTCGATCATCATCTTCCTCGAATCGATCAAAGATGATTTCTTTATCGTGCGACTTATCCGGAGTTTTCTCTCCTCTACGCTGTAAAACAGCATGGAGACGGATCTTTTACTCCTTAGATGTGAGGACTGGTCGATCATACCCCGTATATATTCAGATAGGTGCGCTTTGGGATGTGTGGGGATGATAGACCCCTTTTTCGGTGCGTCGCTTGAGTGGGGATATAAGGACTGAGATGCCTGTTGAATGTATGGCTTATAATGGATTCGGGAAGGTGATGTGTAACATTTGGTTTTACTGATAAATTGGAATCAGAGGATGGAAATCTCTCTTCCTCCAGAGAGGTCGTGTTCTTACCTCAGATATGATCACGTGATTCGGCTTCCACTAGGAATCAAGCATATTTGCCAACCCAAGTTCTGGCTAACATGTAAGATAATTCTTTAGATAAACGTGCATATATACATATCTAGGTACTCCATGAAGAAAATAGCCGTGCCGCACACTTTCATCTCTCACAAGCCAAATCCCCCAACCCACCCACATTCCCAACAACCAATCGACCCAATCCCCATCCACATCCTCTAGCGGACCCCATCTTGTAATACCCCAAAACCCATCCTTAAGACTAAGTGGATACACCTATGACATGCAACAAAAAGCAACAAAATCTTCCTCATTCCCTTTTCACATTCTATATTGGCTAGCATCTGCATATATAAGTTTCATATTTGTCAGCTCATACCCCTCTCCCACACTTGCTTGTTCATATAGTACATACCTACATATACATACATATATATACATATTCCCTCTCTCCCTCTCGCGCAAGGTACCGGACGGAACGGAAACTCCAGAATGTAACCTCATGAAGCAGTAATGTCTTATTAGGGAATGGTGAGAGGCACATTGTGACAAAACCGCAATAAGTTCATCCGATGCGATGTGCAACAAAATATTTGTTTTATATTACTTGTGCTCATTAATTGGTGGTGCTTATCTTATGTGTCGTTGGTGATGCATGCAGGGGATGTATGCGAGGATTTTGGAGGCTTCGGAGGATTTTGTTTTGGCCTTATGTATCAATGTACATGTACCGATATTTACAGGGAAGCCTTGTCATTTGAGTACCTTAGTGTCTGGTAACAATGCCACCAAAGCACCTAGAGAGAATGAATTCCTATCCGGACTACTAGATTCTGACCATGAGGGAATGGTTGGTCAGGGTCAGCCAAAACTTCTATTTTGAATTCCCTGAGTACACTTCCCCTCCTCATGATTTGTACTAGCTATAGAATCCAGAACAAAGCAAATATTCCACCCTTCACATCGCAAGCTAAACCTCTCCTCTCACTAAACAATTCGCCCAATCCTGAGTATTTAATTCTCCCTTTCTCCTCAATAACCATACCAAGCCATATCACCCATCATGCATCACACCTCCTCATTCCTCACCCACATTCCCACCTCCAATCCTCAATCTTCATTCGTCGACCCTCTAGCTAATATAATTCACGTAACAGCCGAAAGCAGTACCGGTATCCACGCAGCACCTAATATGCAACTAGAAGAAATAAGCAGAAGATTTACTAGATATCTTTTCACATCCCGCTATCTAGAAACCTACCTAGTATCTGCATGAACAAAGGAAGTTGATAAGTCCCGGTCTAGTGTTCCTTCTCATAAGAAAATAATAAAATATCGGTACTTACGGGCCAAGTAAGTCTTATATTCATTGGTTCGGCTTTTGCACTTGAGGGTGTCGTGCAGGATGACTAGTGCTGAGTGTATCTACGTGCACGTCAATGATTGTCGAGTTTCTATCGGATGGAGATATGACAGCGCGATGTTTAGAGTTAGTTTTAGTTGAATGTGTTGTTGTGCAGGATGTGTATGATATATGCCTAGCCTTGTGGGGATGATATACTATCGATCCTGTGGGAAGCTTAGTGTGGAAATCGATGAACAGCACCGTAGCAGTAGGACATATATGCTCTTCCTGATAAAATTCAGTTATAATCACATAACTTGTAATTTAAGGTACCATTGCAATTTTAAAGCTAAAGCTCTCCAGAAGAAGCACCCAGGAAAGTATATCTAAAGAAATGGGTACTTAGCAATCAGCTTTAAGTTGAACTCTCAGTCTTTGAGAATACTACCATCAGGTTTTATACCAAGTAGCGAATTCATGATCTTAATTTCTAAATTAGAGTAGATATTGTGAAAGCTAGATAATCGTATATCCGAAAAGTTCAATACAACGGGATCGGCCGAATTAAGGTGCGGCTTGCCGATGATACATCGATTTTAGGGATCGTCAATGTCGGCATCGGGTCGTCTTTTAGCCAGGGAACTGTGGGGGCGGCCATTTTGAATCGAGGTACCTTACAGTACCATATATGGTAAGCAAATGCTAGGTTCTTTAATTTAGCATGCCTCTTTGCATTGGAGCCAATGTACATGCATTCCGAACGAGGTCAGGCCCGAAATATGGAGCCGGATTATACTCATCATATCTGTAATAATATGTCGACTGTGAATAAAATCATATCTTTTCCAGAATATCCTCGAGTACAATTCGGCTGGCTATAATCAGCCGCCTTCCTTCCAGCTGGGGCTATCCTGTCCCTTGGACGATTTTGTTGGAGACAACACAAACTAGAACCTACACTTTTAGAAGGACACTTTGACAACACCAAAATTCACAACGGCGTCTTCCTATCAGCCCCTCCCCCCCCCCCAATAGTCTGCTCCGCACTTAGAGACATCGACAAGTGTGCACAAGGAAACAAAAGAAAATCTCGCTAGGCATGCCGCAGATGATTCCTGTTCTTGAAGATTCAGACCCACAGACAATGACGAGTATGTTTGAAATTCTGGTGAGAGCAAAGACCAAGATAACGGTCTCATCAAGGGAGAGTTAAATGGAAGACATTTATATAATTCGGGAGTTCTGGAAGGTCGGAACTGTTGAATTAAGGTTTGAGTACGTGCCACATTCGTGCGTATAGCTAAAGGTTATAAGCGGGGCTTGAATGTTCGGGCCCGCAAATTAGAATGCTTTTCTATTGTTGTTATAGATGGCTCTCTGCAATAAAATGGCAGTTGTAAAGTAATTAAATTGGTGATAGAACTAGAAGATGTAATATTGTTAAGTTTGACTTCTGTTGAGGGGTGTTGAAGCGTTGCTTTTGCTGCGCAATTTGTGAGTGGCATTGTATAATATGTTGTCTATCTAACCGTAAGGAAGATGTGAATGAAATAGTGGTTTTAGTTTGAATATTGTAGTGTTTCAACTGCCTATTATTAAAGTTGTGTACTATATAAACTCAAGGACTTTGCTCCACAGTTCCCTTTCTTAGAAAATGAGGTTTTGAAGTTATATTTGAATAGTTCACTTTGCTGATTCTTAGCGTATAGTATGACAGGTGCGACTCTAAGCGTGGCATAAATGGTTTTAATATTCATACGAAAACAAAAATAATCCTACATTAACCCTTTTCACACCTACAACAAAAAACTTCCATCAACACAACAATCTCAGTCATTTCCTCATCCAATTAAAAGGTATTTCCATTTATATCTGGTTACTTTGGTTGATATGCTGATATACAAAGAACTCTAATCAAACAACCTGCAAATCCAACGGGAAAGTGAAAAGGATCCAGATATCGCTCACAGGTTCGTGATTCCCGTTTACATTCATTTTGGCAGGAACAAATTTTCTCTGTGCTTACTCTGTTCATCCACATCTTCATGTTATGGAATCCCAACACCGTGCCTGCTCAGTGTGCAACATCTACTAACAATTGCCTAGTTTATGGTATTCAGACAGTCAGCTAATACTGACGATAACCAACTTGGCATCAGTCTCAGTTTAAAACGACACTTCACCATCTTTTCAACATTGACACCCATCATAAGCCATGGAAGATATGAAAATTGGTTCTCGGACTTCGGTTCAATAAGTGGCAGGTGGCACGCATACTGCACAGCTTGACACCAAGTCAAAATTCACATCCCATTCTTGTCATCATGGATGATAGTCATCCATGCACAAATGGTGGTGAAAGTTGGTTCTATGATAATACATGGAACTGGAACGATGACCAAAATGGTGAAGGGAAACTACCAGACTCATGGTTCCCAGGGTGGCTTTGCCCCATATTACAATGGGGCGCAGTTATTATAACTGGAACTACGATCAACGCATATTTGAAAGTGCATGTAACTGGTCTTCGCCACGATGGCTTCGATAAATTGTGTTCTATGCATAACTTTAATTGAAAGGGTGCACATTCGAGCTACAGAGTCCCTAACCGTTCTGATCCTTCAATGTCGGCTCTTTCTCTTATACCGAAGCAGAATTCAGTGAGCATTGGACTATTCACCCGCTAGACCTGATTTCTGAGGAAAGATCACTTAGTCAAGTCACCCACAACTATGAATTGCCACCAAACTAACTTCTCAAACAACGGACACAACGATCGATTCTTTGATCGGATGTCTACGTTACGTTATGAAATTCAGAACCAACATCACGCATATGATTATGAAACTCCCATACATAACTATGATGGGTCTTCTGATCTTACGAGTCACAATTTTCAAAGGCTTACACATCATTCCAGCTGTTCTACCAATCATGGCAACATGAATAGCCATGTCACAATCTCGACCGTTTATTCCTCATCTCTACGGCAGCATACCCGCTCAAGGCAACTTCGTGTATGTTAATAAACATACTGACCTACCAGCGAAGTAAACGGCAGTGGAACTGTGCAATAGGCTTAAGATCACTCAATAGTGCTAGTACAACATCCCACAATAGTCCCAAAGAATATTTTCCTCCTAAGGTCTGAGCATATGGTAGCGACAATGACGATGATTTTGAGAAGGCTGCATCTACCAATACCACCTCCAAATACAAATTCCGTCATGCAAATCATACAAAAGTGAGCACAGAGATATCAAATACCGTATCTATCAGAGGAATCTCACCTCCACAGAACCTTCCATAATCTACGGGCAAGTCGAAATGATGCCGTTGGAAAAATCTCTGCCATTTCCAATTGAATCTCTGGCCCATGTGGCCGTGTAGCACGGTCACAGAAAAGCCTGGTAATTTGATTGGGACGGGTTCAACAAACCAAACACCACGATCTGAAATAACTCTTCGTAAGAGAGTTTTACCAGACCCAGCCTCATCAGACGCAGCGACGTTAGCTGGTGGGATTACGAAGTTGACGTTCTTTGACTACAACAAAAATTACCCAGTTTTTCTAAAGATGATGCCATCAGTGCAACCATACTAATGTTCCCTGTGACTGTAAATGTTGGAGCCAATACTTTTTCCGAATCTATTGTGTGGAATTCCATTGTTTACATGATTCTATAACTAGAGGCTGTTCACCTTGGAGACGTGCTGCGGTTATGTGTACGACCTGGCTTGGAAGTGTCATTTACACCACACATTGGCATAAATCCGTGAGATTGCACCTTAGCAAACTATCCACCAGGTGATCGAAGCTCCGGTTGGCGTTGAAACGACCCGTTATTGAGCCTTTGTTACGAAGGATCTCACACATCATTATCTCCTACCACCGCCAAGGGAAAATCTATCTGACGACTACTGTGTCGTTTTCCCTTAAACAGGCTACGAAGTGTGACTCTTTGAAAGCACAATCACTCGAGCTTATACCACCTCTGCAGCCTTACTTGTGATTATTGAAGGATTTACTATTTCTTTTGAAAGTGGCTGGAAGTCTTCCCGTGGTTTAACAGCCTTTCGTGTGGTTTATATATGTTGCAGAACATTGAGAAATGCCTTTTAGCGCTTACTCGGTCGCTGCACCCATGATATATGACACGGTTAATTCCACGTCAATCCTTTTTCTAACAGTGCCAGCCGTGATTGGCATTGTCATTCTGTACCCGCAGCCGATCTGAATTTCGCTCATCTAGCAGCCTGCCATTGAGCTGGGCGCTTGAGATTTTACTTTTGATCTGATAATGGCCAGTTACGGGGTATCAAGAGGATTATTTTCTCGGAGAGTCTGTAGCAGTTTGTCCTGAACTTACTATGAGATCGCCGGGTCTTCACTGACTTATCCGAAATCGCCAACGACAGCAACGTCTTTTACAGACGCGGGTAGATCTTTACCGTGGCGGTATTGATTGAATGCATCCAAAAACGTGCCATAGTTGGATTGTCTCCACTATCACCATTGACCTGATACTGAACCAAAGGGCACAAAAAGGTGGAGAAATACCGAAACAAACGCACTGTGGAAATTCCAAGTGCCTTGAGCTTTTGGAGCCTGAACAATTTCCCAGTCATTGTGAGTCATTTGGGGATATCCGCCGTCCTAGAATGGAATTAGAATTTACATTTCAGGAATCACAAACAAAATCATCGGCTTACCCTCAAGACCATCGACATTTGGATGATACTAGCGATTGGAAACTACGCTTCGCTGATAAGATGTTGAATATCGGCCAGATGTGCAGCGCTGCCAGCGATTGTTTGCGTAGTGCAACCTTAGGTATTCAGTCCAGTAGCCAAGGTAATATCCTCATCTCTCCCTTTCCTCCGTCTTTAAATAGATAGATGAGATTCCTTGCACCATGTTCCACCATCCAAGTCGAAATCGGTTGCCGCACCCTTCCATACCACTAAGCAACAAGTAAGCAATGCCTGAGAGAAGGGTGGACTGCCTATCGGTATTGGAAATGAGTAGCTACAAAGAATCTGCAGGAATATTGACAACAATCTTGCCAACGGCTTACCCTTTTGCATGTATCGAAAACGCTCGTCGGAGTACGTACTGACCTTTGCGCCAATCATGCGACAGATTTGGATAGCCACAATTTTGATACCTTCACTAATAGGATAAATGAGAGCTAATTGCGACGAGCATGTGCGATATCAAGAATCGGCGCATTTTGTGACTAGGATGACTTGATTTGACAAGATTTTGTAAGCCGAAACAAACTGAAGGATTTTAAATGGCGATAAACGCCTTCAGAGCATCAAAATTCTCTGCAGATATCTAGAACATTGAAGAGTCAGCATTGCGTGTCTAATGGTGATCTCGCCATGGAGGTATTATCAATCAGCTCTTGAGTGAAGGGAAATTATTAGCCTACGTCCTCAAGAAAAGCCTTGCCCTCAAAATCTACAACTGAAACAATATCCTGATTGGGCTTCGGACTTTCCGACAATGAACAAAAGTCTACCGAGTAGCCGTCGTTGCTGAGACATGCGGCAGGGCGAGCCTCAATAAACCAATTCTCAGAGTGTCCTAAATTGGATATCTTCTTTTGACTCGTAGGTGTCAAGGGCGAAAAGGCAATGGTGACGGTAGGGTAAACTGTTGCCGTAAACAATGGCGGCGGCACCAGCAAAGCCAGCTTCTAGCAAACATTCTGTCCATCCCTCAGAGGTGAAGTAAGTTTTTGAGAAATTAGTTAGGTATTCCTGCTTTGAAACAGCTGCTGCCTGCTTGGTAAGGTAGTGAACTGGCTGGCAGACTACGCGTACCACTGTCATCTTCACCTAACAACCAGTTAGGAAGCACTCCCCAAGACACAAAGCACTTCAATACTTATCTTTATCTCATTCCACGTCATGTATAACTTACCATGAGATGAGTTAGTTATATCGGAATAACATCCTTTTGTTGGGTAGTTGAAAATGACAGGGCAAGTTCATCAAACGAAAGCAGATTCTGTAGGTGTACGGAACATTGCGGCCACCAATCTGTCGTAACAGCTCTCACAAGACTATGGATCCTAATTTTCAAAGAACCAACCGTTCTCATTCTTTCTATTTACATGCCCATTATGTATGGTTCTTGGTGCCTACTCTATAGTACACCAGGAAGTTCGTGGGTGGAGCGAAGGAACCGGCGCTCTTCCATTCTTAGCCGCTACCATCGGGACTATATCCGTTAGTCTTGTCGCGCCGCTAACTCAAAAAGCATATATAGGATCGGCCACTGTGAATGGTGGCTTTGCTCGACCGGAAGTTCGCCTACTTCTGGTAATGATAGGAGCGAATGTCTCTCCACAGGACTTTTGTGGTTTACACGAACGAATTCTCGTTCGATACACTAGATCTCTAGCGTGATGGCCGTGTGCTACGGTTTCGCAATGGGCATTGTCTTCAAGGCTGTTTTCAACTAACTCATCGAAATCTATACCATCTTTGCTGCTTCGGCTCTAGCCGCCAACTCCGTATTGCGCTCGCTTTTTGGTTTTGCATCCCTCTCTTTCCAGAAAACATGTTTGATATTCTCAGCATTCATTGAGCTCCGTCGATTCCTGCTTTCTTGGCTTGGCTTGTGTATCGGCTTCATTCGCCTTCTACAAGTACGGTGCAATGATTCGAGCACACTGTGTGTGGACTGTGAAGTCGGAGGCGGGTTTGAAAAGTATGCGTGCCCGAGCCGTAGCACGTGAGGTTGTTGTGACCGAGAACACACTGAAGAGAAGACCTAGACAACTTACTTACAATTTCCGACGAAGATTTATTCCCGTCGGTGTAGTCACTGAAAGTGTAGACTCCGCCTTGGGCAGACTATGATCCAAACTCGGAACGGATATCGACTCTAGGGACTTCCCCGCGATGGGACCTTCTGGTACTCTCACCTGGACTCTTGTGTCTTATTACTGAAATCAAATTGTCCCATCTACAAGGAATTTTGTTTAGCAGGTCGGTTGGAACTCGCAGTACTAGAATCAAGGTCTAAATGTATAATATATAAATTGAGATAATTCGGGCTTGACTATCCCTGGGTGGGAGGCAATAGTGGGTTTGGGGCCGCGATCCTGAGGTAGTGTGCTTAACGCCATATGACTTCAAACCCTGAATGAAGTCTAAACCTTTCTTCTATATCTTTTGTTTTTATCAACGAAATTGATCTAACATTGTTATCATCTTCCACTTCTGCCCCTTGCATTATAACTCTGGCAGAGTGATGTTTCCGCAGAGACGTTGAGATTAAGGGGACGTTGTTTTTCGAGTTCAAAGGCTCGTGACAATGAAATTGGTTAACCACAAAACAGAAACCCCAAACGAAATTTCCTCTCATTCCATTACAATTTCTCCTTCGGCCTATGTAGTCCAACCCATAGACCTTCAGCTTTTGCCAAAACAAATCCTGAAGCATCCTTCACTGTTGCATGAAGCAAAACTTTCCGACCATTCATCTCCTTAAATAAAGCACTGACCAAGACGGTCTGCGGTGTGGTGATTGGCCCCAAATAGGTTACGTTCAAATTTGCCGCGACATTCATACCTATGTCCGGGATACCGCCCCACCGTTTGTTCAATACCATCACACTGCCCATCAACTCGTCCATAACAGTGGCAATTACACCTCCATGGACTATATTTTGATAGCCGTTGAGACCAGTCCCAAAGGTTATGAAGGCATTGACCTGTTTGATGAGGGTAGTGTCGGCATCGGGTTTGTTGTAAAATGTCAGCCAGTGGCTAATGGTATCAGGAGTTTTCATCGTCGAGGCCAAGAGGGAATCGGAGGTGTCGTCTTTATACTCTCGCATCCACGACGGGAGTATGATGACATTTGAATCAGTCAGGACTTCTGAACACCAGGGAATCGAGTGGTAATAGGCTTTTTCTGCCTCCATGGCGTTCATTGTGATAGATTCAGGATTCAGGTGAGTTGAGAGGTGTGTCGGGGCTTCGATTTCTAACTATGGCTTTGCATGTGCTATCTGAGAGGTCGGATTTGATAAGAATGTGGAGCATAAAACAAGGATTCAAAGTAAGATGGTGAGTTTAGTGAGTTAAGTAGATTCCACGGTGCGATACTGAGAAGATATAGTAGAAATAAGCTAAGAGGGTTTAAGTACGGTAAGGGTTCAGATTCGAAGTAGTTATTTGTTGGCCAAAATGTTAGTCAATAAATATCGATTCGTCCGGTTATGCGGAGTGGAGGTGTTTGGCCTAAGTTTTGTCTCACCGACACCGCCGCGCCTATGGCTGTCAAGAACATATCATACCTATATCGAAAGATCAATCAATCATAGAAATCTTCAGATGTTTCGAGTAGAAATGTCTGTACTCTGTACGTGTTTTGTAACAGCCATAATTTAACCGTTATCCCAACCTAGAGATTATTAGCTCCCGAGAACGTGATTTTTTAAGTTGCCGGTCAATTTGGAAGCATAATCCTTGCTTCTCTCCGGCAGGATGACAAAAACCGGATGACAAAAAGTTACCCCACAATGGGCAGTGGGTTTATTGCTTAGGGAGGTGGCAGGACTGAGATCGCTGCGCTGAAGAAACATTTCTGATGATAAGCACCTCAATCAACGACCCCGTATAACATCCAAAACCATGCGCGCGCATCGGTTAACACCTTCTTTCCATACAGATTCGTCATAGAATCTTCCATTGCCTCGGCTGGCACATCCGACTAACGAAAATATCCGATTTGTCGAAGCACTATCATGCGCAGCGCATTTTCAGGAGGTTACTTTTCTTGAGCCGCCAAATAGATACTCAGCTCTCCATCGAAGATTACCACATTCGTATTCCCTGCCATCGAAGATGATCGATTCGTCATCCGCGTTTCAGAAGACTGTGTGCAACATTCATTTTAGACCTCTAGCAGACGAAGTGGGCTTTCACGGGATGGTATATGATGACTGTTTCTTGGTGCTTTGTTACAGCAAAGTAAAGGTCGCGATGGATGAACATTGAAAGAAAACCATCCTGGCGAAGAATAGGCAGAACGCGGTGGGTGAGATGAGATATAAGGACACCTCCACGCCAGCTATCCTATCACCGTGATAACGATCTTTCTCCCTTATAGCTCAGGAAGAGCTTTCGTCGAAAGTTTCATACCAGCAGCCCTCCACGATTTGCGATCGAGACGGATCCCAGAAGCTATTTCCCAACAAATGTGCCATCTTCGTCAGATAAAGAGAAATATATTCGGAAGGACGGAGCGAATGCATAAAGCTCCTGGTCTTACCTTCTCATACCTCTTTCACATTATAAAGTACAATGAAATCGTTCAACACGAAAGCGATGGGAGAAATAGATGGCATAGAAGTCGCAGTGCCAAACGACTAAAAGTGGTGGCGGAATTACAAACTCGAAAGACCATAGAGGAAGGGCGAAGGCATTTGGATCAACCCTCCGAAATCCAACGCAGCAAGATTGAGACTCGTGCACCTCACTTGCTGGCTTAAAAACAAAGGGATCTTGAAACGCGGTAGTCCATTGCGCACAAAAGGGGCGATACGCACATATATGTCATCCCTCAAAGATAAAATAGCAGTGCGAGAGGATTTCAAGAGCAGTATCAAGGATTTGAATCATTGTGGGCAATTGAGGAGGCAGAAGCAACTACAAAAAATAATATCACTAACCCCTTATCACAGGCTAATGCAAAATCATAGAGGACCAAGGTAACACATGTTAGCAATCATAGCATACTTTGGACAAAGGAAGTAGCTCTTCCGGTCCACGTATTCCATATCAGAGCTGCGGAATCATCACTGTTCTGTCTTTATGAGGAAGGTTTCTAGACATTCCACGGCGTAGTCACAACATGCAGAGAACTGCAAGAAGAGAACTAAATCATACGATGAAGACTTGAACAGGAGACTTCACTATCTTCATGCTAAATCATACACATCACAAGGAAGCCGCAGAGCTACTAGTACAGCCTTCCCTACTTAGTCTGTTTGGTCGATTCAATAACATGTGAGGGATTCTAGATAATATGTAGGTGAATTATATCAAGTATGTGTAATACCCACAAGCCATTGCTATCGCGACCGAGGTCGATGAGAAATTTTATACACGACGTGATTTTTGTCTTTCAGGTTGAAGGAGAATCGTAGGCGGTTGGATTTGTTCGCTCCGTCCCGGTTGGGGAATACACTGTTGCGGTTATTAACGTAGCGGAGAATGTCCCTTTCGGATGCATAGTTGCTCATGCCAACGTGGTCTTGCCATTCCTAGTGTGTGTGCATGGTTAGTTCCTTACATTCATTCCTCGGCGGAAAATCACTTGCGAAATTTGCCTTGTTAAGAACGATGAAATCACTTTATCCTCCATTGTTATCACCCTCAATATTTAAAGGAATTTTACTAGCACTATAGAGATATCAAAGGGCCCATTAATTATGAGTATGTGATGGGTATTCAGGAGGTAACAGAGCTCCAGTTCAACACGAACCCCTCCGTTGCAATGTCAATCTCCGGGAACTGAGAGTCATGCATATTCAGTATTTGGACCATCATTGGGCTAAGTTCTATGGTATTGATGTTGTTTAGCACTGATAATAAAAATGTTTGGAGATGTGATGAGTAGTTCGTGGAGATTGGCAAAACGTACAATGTTGATCGGACTATTAGTAGTAATGAATCATGATATCTACTTTCTGAAAAATTTTGGTAATTGACGTACGGATGCCGTCGACTGTAGTGAAATTTCCACATCCATGACTAATGTCTGTAATCAAAGCCTTACCAGTATCTCAACACAGATTTGCCTATCTATCCTAGGCCATAAACTCCGCAGTAAGGACAGGAGTATATACTCGAAGAGTCTTTTGTTGAGGTAAGCTTATATAGGCTCCGCCAAATAAGTTGTTCATTCTGGGTGAGAGGGTGATAAGCAGTAGTAACTTGGACAGCTTCGATGGTGGAGATCGTGGTTTTGTGATCCGAATTATTCAGGTTCCCAAAAGTTGTGTTGATGGACATTAAGCCTTCTTCAGTTTCTGGCTTGATATCATTGAAAGTGGGAGGGAGGTCGAAAGTCGAAAGTCGATAGTGAGGTACCCCTTGGCTGGCCACATTCCTGATTATGGTGGATAATGACATCTTGAGGTGATGAGATGGGATGAGAGACGGAAGATGTTGGAGCTGTGAGGAGGGATAAAGAAGGAAGGTAGTAGTGAGAAATCCTTCCCGTCATCTTATATTACCACTTTCAAATACTCCAAAGGAACTCTGCTTTAAAGTTCAAAATAGAAGTGATGAATTGCATGCTTTTCTGATGAATGAATACCAACCAAGTTACGAGGTTCGTATTCATGGGGTCAGATGAAATTATCAGACGGGGATATCAAGATGCGAGTTTAACAAGTTAGAAGTCGGCATCTCATCAGAAAACGAAGGCGGGAAGGGGCGTGGGAGAAAGATCTTACTACTAAAGTAGATGACAATGAATTGTAAGATTACTGGGTAACTTCCATGGCACGGGTAGGCTCAACGTTGAATTTTGAAAGATTATTTATTAATATTATTCCTTTGTTGTTAGCGTAGATGCTCTTTGGCAGACACGCAGTTGATATGAAGTTAGGATGGTGATATTGTGTACCGCTTTGTGCAGCTCTTTATGATTTGGTATATCGGGAGGGGGATGGGATAAGTGGAAGAGTTTTCGCATCAGCGGAGGCTTTATGGGTAAGATGGGGAGATCTGTCTACGAGGATAGTGAGGAGGCGCGGGCTAGAGTAGGATTATATGGTTATATGAATCACATCTCCTATTCATCCCAAATCCACAATTCTTCCGGGTTGCGCTGAAATAGCGTAAGGAGACTGCCTATAGGTAAACAAATAGATATCGCGAAGCCACCTTTCCAGCACTGCGCCTTCTTACTTCCAATCAACCGACTGATGCTGAACTTTTGAAGTCCAAAATTCTGAATCATTCATGAAAATGGCTTCATCAAACCCGTTATACTAAGCTATGCAGCAAATTCAGTAACTTCTGAAGAAATTTGTTTTGTCGCTTCTTCATTATGTAGTTGCAGAGGATGAATATAGCCTTGATTTGAATTTAGAAATTACCAAAGCCAACAGAACATTTAGTCGATGCATTAGAATTCGTTGAGTGTGGTGAGGTTTGAAACAACATGTCAATTTCAAAGCGACTTCTTTGACCACTTTCAACACCAGAATTTCCCCGTGGGTGTCGAATCTTTCCAGGATCTAGGCCAAGATATGTAAGTAGTTACCACAAATTTATTCCTTGATTATTAATATAGCCCTAAATACTCATCAGTTTTATAGGTTCCTTGAAAAAAAAAAGACTCGTGTTCAACTCTTCGCTATCTGTATAAGTGTTTGCGTCACATCCAACTCCATAAACCAGGAGTTCTGATACGTGTTGGGGGTGAAGGTACTTCTGTGGTGATAGCTGTCAGGTAACAAGCTCGTATCGATCTTAATGTGGAAGTTTATTGCGAAATGAATGATACTTTACTCCACGTATGCTAATATACTCAACTTGAAACGTACAAAGAGACGATTCAGGAAATGATCAAAGCTACTATAACTGACCATGGCAGAAATCCCTTCAAAGTCCAAACCGATGTCAGATGTATCATTTGGAAAACAGATTGCATTTTCCAGGAGTTATGATATAACATTCGAAGTGCAGAAGACTATACACCGGCGAAGTATCTACGGTCCAGCAACCCCAATAGAAGAAGGTAATTACTTTCGGCCACCAAGTGTCCAACACGCTATTAGAAGTCTTCAAGCTCATACTAGGATTTTTTCTCTCAGCCATTGTCATCATTTGTACCAATTATGGACTGGGTTGCAAAATGCTTCGTAGAATTTACTTCCATTCTTGAGGGAAAACAACAAGTTGGATTTATATCAATCAACTATTGTCGCTGTGGGAGCGCGCTTTGGCTTACCTCCACACTCTGGGCCCATGCAACTCGATTGACAGACATGTAGCCTTATGCTCTAGTGATAACAGTGAAGCTTCTTCGGAATTAACTTGGGAGAGAGTGATTATGGTCATTGTTCTCTAGACCGTCATCATGCAGGTCTACACCGAGTGGACACTGCTCTTATTCATTACCAGTGCTTCAATGGCTTCCCCGACAAATTCAGCAGTATGATTCATTGTTGTTTACGTCTTAGCTAAACCGCTGCTGAAGTCGACGGCGTTGAAAAACAGTGCATCAAGCAACTCGTTTGGAGATGGCCCTTAACATACCTGGCGACACACTTACACTAAAGATACATTGTTGCTCCTGGTCAAAACCCTATAGGTATCGAGTATCAAGGTGTTTGGATTTTCTCGTGACTTCATAAGAAAGGATATGCAGTAAAATGTAGAAAATGGACGGAATGGATGGAATGTAGAATTACACGAAGAGGGGGATATTAGTGTGTGGTTACATTAACCGACTGGTAGGAATCGAGATGGGGAAGGTGTAGAAGAAGTGATGAGAAGGAATTAGTGAGTTTCTTGTGATGTTATTAAGTTTCTTGAGAAAACTTACGAATAATGATTGTGTCGCTTCATCATGGATCTTTTTGATATTTCGTGGAAGGTCGTTTAGTTTGGGGGGGGGAGAGGGGGGTTAAGTCCGATGGCTAATACATTTGATAAGATAAATTGGCTTATACTTTTTCTAGTACGACTAATCATGATTACTGAATCAGTTGGGCCATAATAAAGCATTCAGTTAGCAGGAAAATAATTGATGATCTAGAACTACCTATGGAGTAGAAATAGTTCCCAATTGTGGCGGAAACCCCTGCTTTCTTCCCACCCTTATTATATAAGAAACCTTAGGTACATCAACTATGTTCACACATGATACGATGACTCGGGATTAGTATACGATTTAGGTGGTCTGAGGATCAGATCTGAACAAGTACTATGTATCAATGGTTATTGGTGAAGTAAGATCATTGGAGGGATAAATATGACTTCTTTTTGTTTAATCATTGCGGCTAGGCCATTCATTTGTGTATATATAGAGTAGCTATCCCCATCTACAAGTGCTCTTCACCTGTAGATTCTAAGTTAAATACAATTGCTGGTCTATAAACACCCTTTTGGTCACACCAATACAAATAAGAAGCCATCATCGTCATATACCCAGCAACCAACGATGGATTTATGGTTCATTGTCATTGAGAAACTAGGATGTATCCAAGACCCAGTATATTCCTCATTACCAAATATTTAGTAAATATCAAAGACGTTGTCGAGGTTGCGGGACATGAGCTCGAGGTGTATGATGAAAAATTCAGCTCAAAGTAAACGACGATAAAACTTCGGAATTTCCACACTGTTAAGGAAGAGAGCATCATAAATAATGCAAATAGATAGATACGGGATTTGCATGGATAGATGTCAACCCTATTGATATACACGAAAGACTATATAGTCAATACTTTCCGCTTGATTGTGTTTTTTGCTTTACACTTGTTGAGCACAGTAATGCAAGATTACATTATATTCGGAAATCATTGCATTTCAGCGAGCACCTAAGTGAGATTTAATAGAAATGCATAAAAATTAGTAGTAGAAGTCAAAAAAATAAAAGTAGTCGGAGTATCCAACGGATATATATACACTAAATTTTTCAAACAAACCTATTAAATACAAAAAGATCAACGATATCACCACTTCCAGTCCAATAAAAAGCACCAATCTTTATTTTGTTTAATATAAGGTCAAAATCAAAGGACCCACCATACAACATCACAAGATTTCCCTGCTGGCGCAATGGTAGCGCGCAAGACTTCTAAGTAGATTTGTTATCTATCTATATGCAATCTTGAGGCTGTAGGTTCGAGCCCTACGTAGGGAGTTACCCTGAGTATCGTCGGTTTGAATGCGATGTGTGAAATCTATAATTTTGCGTTTGTGGTTGATTTTTGTTGTACTTCTTTGTGTGTTGGAAGGAGGGGTTTTGTTAGCGCGGCTCTGCGCACACTTTATCTCATCAACTTGGTTATGGGCGAATGGGAATGATAAACATATCTGATATTGGTTCTCAGTTGAATAAAAAATTATTATCAGGTGTGGAGGGGTCACTTACTCATTCTGGTCATTTTTGGTAATGATTCAGCGAATTTATATTAAACCCCGCTATTTCTTGTTATCTAATCGATATCAACAAATTAAAATCAGATATATCCTCCTACCCTCTTCCACCCCACCGAAAATTCTCTCTAGATAATAACACAGGGCGAAGGAAAAGTTCTTTACCATTCACCCCACTAAACCAATTAGCTTTACCTCGCTTAGACCCGCTTACCCCACCACAATCCCATTTCAAAAAATGACACAAACTATGTCAAAATTAAATAATAAAATGAAATGTATACGAGAAACAAACTTCAAAAAGGTGATATCTCGAGTTGGCTCGAGATCGCAGAATGCGGCTTCTGTGGATCGAACACAGTGCCTCCAGATAAACAGATGGATCTATTATGGTTCCTGAAGTGAACTTCAGTCTGGCGCTCTCCCAAGTGAGCTAAAGCCGCTTGGTTGTGTTTGAATGTTTTGATACTCTGATCGAGAATTCTGAATACATATATCCTTTGATCAAAGGTGGAACGCGCTGTGGCTCCGGATATGAGGTGATTGGTTGAGTCGGAGTGGTTCTTGCGCTGTGTTGGAGTTTAGTCTTGGGTTAGTTGATCCTCATGCTGGGTCTTGTTATGAAAATCAATTTTTTTTCCAGCTATTAACATCTACTTTGCCTGAAAACCGTTTCTAACTCACAATCTAGAGGGTTTGGCTACTCTGTCATTAAGCAGATCTCGTGCATTATATTTCCCTCCTTAGCACAGTTCACAAGTAGAAACTCTTCTTTGTATCCCTTCTTTCAGGTTTCTTGCCGTCCATACAATACCCATTACTATGGACGCCATCACGATGTCCCCACCTTATCTATCGCTAACGCCCCATGTATCTGAACTGAAGCCATCTAGTTCCTATGGAAATGATTCATCGTTCACGTGACTCGTATTGACCTTGTCATCAGCATCAACAAAACAGGGCTGATAAGCAAATAGATCAAGGAAATAAATTGAAATGACATAATTTATAGGTATCTTCTTAGTGAACAATTGTGATTCCTCTTCTCAAAAAGCAACTCAACCGCAAATCAGCAAAAGTCGTATCACGTGAATCCTAATCCGCCTTGTTGGGGTGTTACCGGGACTAAGTTCACGGCGTATTCAAATATTGAAGCAGCCTAATTTCATGTTGTACATACAGCTGAGAAAATAGTTACAGGCAGCATATATTCGCTATAGGTAGTTAATCGTAGCCTAGCTGTGGCAACATCTTCACATCTTTCAACTCCGAAAACTCATATGCCCGAGCACTCTCTAAATGCCGATTGACAATCCAAAGACTAAATCCAAATTTTCTTAGTAAACATCATTCGATATTCCGGCCATATGTATTTCAAATAATCGTTTACGAATAGCCGGAAGGGTGCCGTGATTCCCCAAAAGCTTTGTCTGGACCTTGAGGTCATCACAAGGTTGACCGAGCACTTTCCGTAACTCCGAGCTTATTGTATTTGGTATTGTAATCGATTGCTTCCATGACGGTTCCATGCCAAATGCGCATTAATGATTTGGAAGAGTACGGAATGAGTGCTTGTGAAGATCTAAATTCAATAATGTTAGGAATACTAGTACTCAGGTGTAGTGGGATAGGTTTTTGATATCAATATATCAGTCATTCGTTTGGAGCCATTTATTGTTGGTTGTTACTTTGTTGTTCGGTTGGTAGGTGGTGTAGAGAAGGGGGAACCGAATAACTCCACAGACCTCTGTCATCTCCAAATATAAACCAGGTAAAATGACAAGCAAAAAATAGATTGTCTGAGCATCATTATTTCTGATTTCCCCAGATCCTACAACCATAAACCCAGACTAAAATAGACTGCTATGAGCACCTCGCTCAGATATAACAAAGCAATGCTTGCAATCCTTCCAGACCGCAAAACCTCAAGTCCAGATCACTACCCTCGGATACCACCCTATCCTAAACTCCTTCTCCGAGAGAGGAACAAATCTAACGGCTTATGACGTCGTCACAACAAGACCAAATTTTGTTTTGGACAAGACGAAGGAATTGGATTTGATTGCAACTATATGCAAGAAATCTACCTGCTTGTACGCATAAGTAAATTCTTAATTTGGTATTACACGTGCACAAGCCACTGCCAATATATCCGTGATTCCGCAGCGTATTGATTGCAACGTAAGGTAAAACGGGCACAGCGGGAATTCGTCGGTCAGTACGAAATATAGGGTTTGTTTTTAGTGTTTTCGTGATGCTCAGGTGGGCTTAGGGCAGGACGGACCTCGAAATTTGGAATGGTAAATAAGTTGCGTTATGCGCATGACTTTTGTTTTATGAGTGTATACGCACGATGCTGTAAAAGTGAGAAATTTGAGGGCGGGTTTATGTGGTGTGATGTGATGTGATGTACGAAAAGTTACAAGCAAGAATTGGTGGAAATTATAACATTCGGAGATGTAGGATTTAGAACCCCTTCATTTTTCGCCAATTTATTTTCTCCAGCCTTATCTTCTCCAACATACATCCCAAATTACTAATCTTAATCCTAGAATCCCAGATTACCCCGTATAAACATTCGATAATCCTTCTCTTTATCCAATGACCTGTCCCTGATTTATCACAGCTGTCAGAGGGACCCCTTCATCTAGTAAATTTCCTTGAAATGCTTGGCTGATCATGAACAAAACAATATAAAGTATTCGTATCAGATGAGGTGTCATGGGGCAAAAGTGATTATACAGGGGAAGGTTACATATATTTTTGGAGAGTTTTAGTATATTAGGTAGTGATACCACATGCAGGGTCTGTGAGGGGTGATAATTTAGGCTTTAGATTCTCCGCTATGACAAAGTTTTGTGATTTAAATCCTGGTTCAAACGCGGCTTGTGGGCGCAGATTTCTTCTTTACCTTTCTTTGACTTTACTCAAGGAAGCCGGAGTTACGACGCATATAGAACGGATGAATTTGAGTAAGTACCGGTATTAAAAGTCTAAGTTTTCCTTCGGTAGGTGTGGATGATTTCTTTTATTCTTTTTTATATTTGATATCACATTCGCTGTTTTATATTATGGTTTTGAATCTTTACATTCTTCTTTCAAGGTTGTGTGAGTATAACTACGTATTGATATTACTCTGCAATTCTCGATACTTTTCTACACACATACCATAAACATAGAGAAGCAAGAACTTATAGATATCCTCGTCATATATACCCGACATTCGACTAAAGTATATCGACTATCACACCGCCAAAATGTCTACCTCACCGACGCCAAAAACCACCTCCCGCCCCTCGAAATTCATCGAGGGACCTCCTCTCACATCTAGAACTCCCAACCTCGCCCAAACAGACGAACAACTCCAAATCATTCTCCTAGAAATGGATTCCTACGAAACCTCAAGACAATCACAACGCAAATCCAAATCACGGAGCTCATCGAGTAGTTCCTCCAACTCTAATTCCTCACATTCATCTACCGGTTCTACATCATCGATTCCATTTTTCACAAGTGCTTCGAAAAGAGCCAGTCACGATTATTCACCTTCGATTTTTACTCCACATACATCTGCGAGTAATAAGAGATTTAGCGGGGCGAGAGCGAGTTTTGATATGAGCAATCCGTTTACAAGTTCGGAGAGTACGTTGGGAAGGAGTAGGGGTAGTACGATTGAAAGTATGAATGGATCGGGGATTTTGGATGAGGGACCAATGAAAGATGCGCAGATATTGGGTATGAAGATTAAAGGGAGATTGAGAGCTTGGAGTCGTGCAAAGGATGAGGGTGTCAGACCTTTTGTGAATACTTGAGGTGGAATTGGACGATAGGATGATTTGAGATTGGAATGACCTACGAAAGTTACATTATGATTCTGGGTGTTCATATGAGGTTATACGGTGGAATCACTGGCACGATGGGATTTGTCTGATGAAGAAGAGGTGGTCTCTATGGAAGATGAGTGAAAAATTCTCACAAACTTCAATGTCCGAAAGAAGGGAAGAAGAATGCTGTATTACAGTAGTATGAAGAAGATAGGCTACGGTTAAATCGCCAACGCAGAGCCACGAATGGAGAAGATGTCCCGAGACGAGGATTTTGTGGAGAAGAAAAGGAGCACGACAGACGATAAAAAAGTCGAGATAAGTACAGAGTAGAGAGATAGAAAGACCATCGCTTTGGCAAGCGTATCACAAAGCCAATACAGATAGAGTACATACAAAGCAACAAAATAAATATATCAAAAACATTTGGAACATTCAAACCAAACTTACATTTTGCAAAATCTCACCAACTAAAACGAAAATCCTCAAATCCCAACAATAACCCCGCGCAGATCACAAGCCACCAAAAGTTTCCTTTCCCAACTCATCATGCCACCTCTTAACCTTTTCTCAGTCTCTAGTAAAATCGATAATTAAAAAGCTAGCCGGCGATCTAAACGCTCAATGCGCACAAAATAACCAGATGACTGATAAATATTTGCCTCATGCAGAAGAACTAGCTAACCTAGCCAATCCTCAGGATTTTCTTCCCCATCAGCGTCTAGCTTCATGCGTGGCCGGTAGTTGACGGTAGTTAGTTCCGATAAGTGTATGGATTTGATAGGATGGGATGAAACATTTGGAATGTATCGAATAGTATATTAATCAACTGTTGAATGAATTACGACGACACGGGATGATCCTTAATTTTGGGATTTTGGAATCTATTCGGATGAACGGATGGATGGATGGGTTTTATATATTGCATGTGAAAGTATGTATTTGTGAATTTTTTTTTTACCAAATCCTCCTGTGTACTCCGTAGGTTAACTAATTAAATCATGGGAACTATTTTCGAACAAACTACTGTACGTAGGTTGGAAGGGTAAGTACTGCAAGACATTTTTTACCCACATATTGCTGTTTTTCCTGTCTTTCGATGCTTTTTTAAACAATTCGAATAGATATTGAGCTGTTCCCCTCAATCTCAAATTTTAAACCTTTTGATCTGATTTCAATGAAATTTCAACAAATTTATAATTTTAAAGCTTTTAAAATTTGTGTAACCTTTTTAATAACTCTAGAATACTCTATAACTTTAGAATAATCCTAGAATAAATTTTTTCAATTAAAAATTGAAGATTTCAAATGAAAAATGAAAATTTACAATACTTTAACCACCTAGATTTCACCATATAAAATTTCAACCAGCGTGATGATATTATTGGTCAAGGCCCCTGCAAATGGGGAAAGCACGGTCATTTTTTGGCGTGTTTTACAATACTTTCGCCAGCAACCTCCGTAGTTCTATCTCCCGCATCTAAATTGGGCGCCCCTCCCCCACAAACTATCTACCTAAATCCGCTCTTGGCAATGCACTTGACTCCTAACCAAGCTAATATCGCCACCGCAAATCCCGTTTCTCTACATACTTTTCCTCATTCTGTCCCAAGTTCCAGGCTCGCGTGGTACAGTATTCCCTTCCCGCTTTCAACTTGCTCCTCTACCACGCTGATTTTCGCTGATCTTTCGGATACCCCATCGAATTTCTCATAGGTGCCTACCTAGCTATAATCTAACCTAGTCTCCACAACCGGGCCCGACCCCTTAAAAATGTACTTTTCTTTCCCACCCGCTCCTAACTGAAGCCTGGAGAATATGCATGATTAGACGTTCCATCATACCACCAGTGAATGCTAAAATACGCGCAAGGAGATGCACAATTAGCGGGTGTACCCAAAAAAGCAGAAAATCTTTCATTGTTTTTTACAATAGATTGACAATTACCTCTCCCATCCACTCCTTAACTCTAGTTTCCGAGCGGGAAATATCATACATTTAGTGAGTGATAGAATTGTATATCTTATAAGATCATCCACTTATTTATCTTCTATCACTAGCGTATTCCCCAAAATGAAATGAATTAAACTTTTCGATATAAAGTCCAGAAAATGCACCTCCCGAACCTCGCGAATCGCTTTTCTAAGTGCATTCCAAGATGAGTATCTCCATATACATAAATGGAAAAAAAAGAGATATCTCAGAAATAGGAAAATATGTATATATATATAATCGAGGATTACTGTAAACCAGTGCAGAAATAGCTATAAAATCTTACATTATTATCATTTCTAAACCACGTGTTTCCCATGGCCGAAAATACACTCTCGAATCTTATTGGGTTTCTTGAGACCAGAAAGAGCATCAGATTGAATTGATTGATTCTCTAGCTAAGCAGTTAAGCTGCGAGTATATATTCAAAAAATGAAGGAATAAGGTTAGGTATTCAGCCTTCGGAATTAAAGTGCTTTGAAATCAAATATTGAAAGCAAACAAACAGCATACCAAAAAGGAAAGAATGAATTAAAAGTTGAGTTTTGTTTGCTCCTTATATGCATCATGCAATATATATGCATATGCTGCCAAGATCCCAGGAGGTCAACAAATCTCGATATCTCTATTCGTGGATGTAGTACAGATATTTGATGGTAGGTAGTAGGTAGAGAGGTAGGGAGGGGAAAAGGAAGGAGAAGAAAGAGGAGAGGGAATGCCAATGGATGCGTTTTATGAATAGTATAATGTATATATGAGATCATGCATTATCAATCTTGCAAAATTATCCCGGATTGAGGTGTAGATACGCTTTCGAGTCCGACGAGGGGAGGTTGTCGAGGGGTATCGATTTGAGGGACCTTGAAGATGTTTAGTTGTGTGGGAGATCCGGGTATATGTTTCCACTATTCGTTGCATCCATTTATTTTCTTTTGCTTCTTGGAGGTTCGATATTCGGATATATCATATATTCAAGTCTTAACTTATAGACTGAGTTCGATGGGCAGCTATACTACTATTTCCTTCCCTACTCTAAGAAATACGGGGAGGTAAATCATGAAATAATATGGGAAAGTTTTTAATTCGACGGGATTATGCTTAGGCTAGTACGTATATACTAACTGCGACATAATACTAATTCTATCAATCCAAACGATGGCGATTTTCAATCGCAATGAGTGCAAAAACTTTGACATGAAGCCCAATTCTAGGATAACTGAGCTTCTAATCAGTAAAGTCCTGATGCTCAGCACAGATAGATGCGAATGTTGGTTTGAGACTTTGAGTTATAGCTGGCCACGGATGCTTGAACTTGAGCTCGAGCTTGAAATTATCCTATTTAACATCTTGACTTACTACCTAGGCACGCATGGAACATCATATGCTAACCCTGTAAGTGTAGATTCTTCAAGTTGCTCCGGGGAATTCGTATTGTCTTGTCCTCTTGGTGAGATATCAAATACTTAGATCTGAGAGTATATATCTGATATGCTTCGTTTTTTTAGATGTGTCAAAGGAGAGATGGATGTATTGCAAGTGGGTTTAAAGGAATAAAAAAGAAAATTCGATCTTGTGCATGGTTTGTCAAAAGAAGGTTTTGTCTGTTGACCCGTCTGTTTGGCATGATCGGTATGTACTGGTTTGCTCTTTGTCCTTGAACCATCAAAATAACTCACCGTGTCAAGATTTATCATAATTCATCACAATAAGCCTTTGAAGACAACGAGCTAAAATACAAAACTAACTTGAGAAACTTACCACACGTAAAATCAATCTACCTACACTGCTCAAATACATATAAACAACCCATCATGTCGCTCTATAAGCTGCCGTATCCCCAATCAAAGCATCCCTCTTCCTCTGCACCATTCTCACCAACTTCGCCGCCGGATTCGGACAATTTCCAAGCACGCATACATTATTCCCACAGCAGGTATCCCAAGCACAAACATAAGCATTTGGACAATCACCATCATCATAACAATCTTTTGCCTCAGCACAGACGATATTTTCACCGCAGAAACCTAGTCCTGTGAAAGTATTGAAACAGAAACAGGTGGAATCGACAACGCATGGTTTAATGCCTTCTTCGCATTTAGTGGGGATACAGGGAAATGTATTGCAGGTGCCGTGTTCACAATAGCCCGTGTCGCAGACGTAACCGCAGGAGCCACAGTTGAGGGAATCTTTCATGAGGGCTTTGCCTGTGGGGCAGACAGGGGGAAGGCCAGTGGTAACTGTAGAGGTGGTGTAGGTAGTGTACGTCTGAGGTCTGGTTAGTAATAGTTTTGAAAATATGTATAATATACATACAGGTACAGTTTCAGTGATAGTGTCAGGTAAAATACCCCAACATGAACAAGCACTCGAATAGCGTGCTTCATTAGAGCAGGCACTAGCATATGGTGGAAGTGAAAAGGGAGTCGTTGCTACCGCTCGCTTTCCCACAGTCGATACCTCGGTAATTGTTGTCAAGATGATGGAAGTAACAGTGATATTGATGACGTCCACCGTGCAGAAGTTTTCCATATAATCAATACAATCATCATATGCTATGGCTTGCTGAAAAGGTCCACGAAAGTCTCCACTAACTGCACGATAACAATTATCTGCATTACAACCTGCGGTTGCTGGAGTGGTAATGTTGGAAACATCTGCGATGCAGACTCCTAAGATAAAAAGAAGAAATATGAAAGAATAGTACATCATGAAGTCTTGTAATGGGTTCCGAATCGTAGATGATATCAAGAAAGGAACTACCACGTTTTCAAGATGGAAATGCTGAACATTATAATGAAAATTATGTGCCGTAATGGAATTTTAGACCCTTATATGGACGGGTCATATATGAACAGATCTTCCATATCTATCATAAATTTTAGCCTGCCAATCATTCCTTCGGGTGCCTGACCATGCGATTACTACCATGAAAAACATGGTATACGATGTACAAAACGAGGGAAATATCCAGGAACGACAATGAGAAAGGGCCAAGTATAACCATTTGGTCTTTGTTCATGTTGTGAAAAATGCCGTGTTCAAATATTTGCTCAGCTATGAAGTATCTTGAATGTTTTCGAGTAATGGAACTAACCATCTTAAAACAATCGGAGATTTGTATGACCACGTTGGCGACCTACTAAATTTGCATTGAAATGATCAGCGATATGAACTTTATCATATCCCATCCAGAGATAAGTTCTCGTTGTTTGCTTTATCGAGGTGGAGGGGTATGGTACGGTACACAAAACCCGTTAAGATACAATCGTTTTTTATATGAACATGAACAGCACGTTCACTAGCGAAAGTAGAAACACAATGCCAAGGTCGCAAGTAATATGAGGGGTATCTTGAAGGTAGATCTACCCGGCTAGACATGAAAATCCCAGAAGAAAGATGTTTGAACGACTCCACTTGAGTAACAAACGAAAACACGTAATGCAAGATCCCGCGGCGACGTGCCTCGGCCGCCTACAGGAAAACATGCAAATTTCATGGAATTAATCCGTCAATACAGGCGTAGTTAATGGCCCTTCCGTGGTCAATATTGGGGGAGAATTTGGGTCATTCAAGAAGATGCAATTGCTTGTGTTGCAAAAGAAGCTATTGTGTTTTGTGGCGACGAAAGTATTCCTTGGATGGAGCTTCGTAACACATGTGATATATTGAAAAAAGAGGAACACTTATTCTTGTCTACCTACGTAAAACCACCATCATTCTGTACGTACTGTCATCACCGAGGGCACAAGGGCCTTCAATGTCATATATCAAGGCCTTGATGCAGTTGAGCCCCCTCTTTTCGAGTCTTTGCTTTCCCACAAGAGTAAAGAATCGCTCACGCGTAAATTATTGCCCTAGGACCATGGAACAGCTACAGACTATTTGTTTTGCATTCTTCCGGGCTGTAGATTTCCACTCATACAGAGAAAGATTGATGATCAATACGTTTTTATGAGAGGCGTATATTAATGACTTTATATGTGGAGAAGGGATACTTGGAGTTAAGAATGGATTTTATGATTTGGGAACGTTCATTCGAGATGCATTGAGACTTCAGTCGTAAGCGCGCGAATTTTTACGCGAGAACGGTAAGGCTATGTAACAGCAAAAGTCCTTACTTCTACTATAAAGTCCTAACTTTCATGCAGAAACTAATAAAAGGAGAATTGCAGGAGGTAGGCTATTTCACAGACAATGAGTTTACACAATTTTATTCCCACTTAGTACCAGAATCTGACTTAGAGAAGCGAGAATTGAGAATAGAATACCCAGCCACGCTCCTTTAAAGGAGCGTTCAACTATCAAACATGCGATAAACCGCGCATCATTATTGATATTGCTCGCATTAAACGCATAGGCGCAGTAGTCTATTACATCCAAAAAATAATAAATACGACTACATCCCAGTCTTCTAGCACGATATATTGAGGTGGCGGGGCAACCATTCGAAGTTTGAGATCATCAATGCGGGTAGAAGTCCCCCTCACCATCCAAACTCTATTCCTTTCTCTTACGATTCCACTCCCATCTCACGATCTACATCTAACGTGGTCTTCTTTCAGAAGTTCCAGAAGGACTCCGCACTGACGTAGTGCACTCGACGAAAAGACTACCTAGAAGACACCGTTGAAAATTGCTTCATGCGCTGAAAATTAAGCCCTATAGTCGCGGCACCTATTATTCATTTGAGTATATTTGACGTGGCAACCCCTGATATAGGGCTGTATTTTTCATCCTTCACACACTTCAAGCGAGGGATGTGCTGGTAGTTAGGCTCGCTTGAGAGCTTTTCTTCTCTGGTAATTATGGGATATCTAAGTGGGCATGAAGATTTGCGAGCATCTCCCTTGTAAGGAGAAATTTGTCAATGTTCACAATTTCGCGATGACTTCAGAATATGGGGTTAAAGGATATCAAAACAATAAATAAATAATGGCAGGGCAATGCTTTGGAAAATTTGGAAGAAATCTCTTTATTAACGGGATTGCACATTTTGAAAGGAGGGGAAATATAGATATAAGTCATCGCCCTTTCCTTTTCCGAAGTAACTACTTTTAACCCAACTTATCTCACCTCACCTCATCACCAATCTTCTCTCAACCTCACACATCTTACGAAGTATTCACGGAGGACTTATACAATATACAATCAATCATACACTACCATCAATTCACTATATTAAAATCACCTCACACAACATAAGATCTTACATCCCATCAACAATTTTCCCCCTTTCACCACCATCCTACCTTCGAATCTTCAATTTCGACCGTCAACTACATTCCCCATAGCAAACACCAACCTTACAAACAGAGATCTCCAAACAAAACCTCACCGCAAGCAAACCCCCCACCATAAACATGTTCTCCAACCTCGCCTACCTCCTAACCTCCAAATCCATCACCCTCTACATCCTCTACACATTACACGTCATGCTAGGCACTTCTCTCGTCTTCACCGCCCTCTACACCTACGGTTTACATTCGAGCAAAGCGATGGCACGGGCAGCTGCACTCGAAGCTTCAATGCAAGCTAGTGGTAATAATGGGTGTGGAATTTCAACGATGGGAAATGGAAGTGCGGTGGAATTTGAAGATGATTTGGATACTGAGATGCATGGGATGGATATTGCGATTGGTGGATTGGATGGGGTGAGGAAGAGTGGGAGTGTGGTTGGTTTGAGTACGGGTAGAGTGGAGTGGGAAAATGGAAGTGTGGGGTTGGAGGTTGAGGGTGCAGATTTGGGGGTGGAGCGGACCGGGGTTAGGTTTAGGGAGGTTTGTTATTCTTCGCGTCAGAAAGAGGGGGTGCAGGTTGGTGTGTCTGTGCCTGTGATGGGTGGTAGGGGAATATCTGTTGAAATTTCTTGAAGAGGAGCTTAAGTTGGGTGGTGAGGGCTGAGGGAGGTGGTTGTGGTTTATGTTTTACTACCTGGGTATTTATTTGCGTTAGGAGTGTGGATTTGAGAAGCCGCTATGGAGGCGACGATGAATGAATGATAACGATCGGCATTGGTGTAATTGAACGGAATGGAGTGGTACGGATACGATGGATCCGACGGAAAAGAAGAAGAAGAAGAAACGAGAAATGATGATGAGGAATGATGGAGATGCGATGTCTACTTGCTTATGCTTATGATTACGATTATTCTTTACACATATATTTATACCCAATTAAAAATACCAAGAAATTTGAATATTGATACATAAGATCACATTCAGCATTATCTGTTCACACACACTATTGAATCAGTGACTTCGGGTATAAGACTGGAAGACTTTCATTTGTTACACCTCACGAAGGTTTTCAGTAATCCGAAATGAAGCCTACCTAGTAATCGTAGGAGATATTCCAGCTTCCAAATCTGCTCAAAGATTTCAACAATTTTGGGAGATTGAAATCTTCTAAATCAATCATTATAGTAATCAACCCTCGCGCCCCCCCCCCCCCGGCGGCCCCTCACAGGAATAATCACAGAGCTTCAGACACCGAACACTTGGATTTTTATTCTGCTAATTCACAGTTGCTGGGGCTATTTCAATGCCCGATTTTTCCTTCCTATCCAATGGCATGTATGTAACTTTCCCTTGGTAGATGGCAATTATAATATAATATGTTATCGTTGTATATTGTGTAATTATGGATGTTAATATGGATGTGTGGTGAGTGCATAGAGGATTATGGAGTACTCGAGTGGGTGGGTGTCTGAGATGTAGATTTTGGGACTAGCATGCTAGTATAGTAATTCGCTATTTTGACTCAATGTATGGTATGGTTGGATGTAAGATTACATTTATCAGTCAACCATGAATGATAAGATGGTTCACAGGAACAAATACAACTATGCATTGTTGAGCGAGGAAGATGTTTATATTTCAAGGTTGTTTCTTCATTTAAAGGACTTTCTGAATCAATCAAGTCTATTCATTCTTTAGCTCAAGTTTTCCCTAATATATCCTCCTAATTTTTGCAGACCCTCCTTCAAGACCTCTGTTTCACATACAAATCCAATCCTTACATAACCCTTATATTCCTCTCCAAAACATTTGGAACCAGGCAGGAACATAACCTTAGTCTTCTCAATGACATCGACACAAAACTGTACGTCATCCACCGGCTCCCTTTTCTTTTCCACCTTGATGAAGGCTGTTGTGCCTCCATTCGGCTTTACCCAAGACAGATTCTCACTATGTTCATTGACAAAAGCTTCCAAAAGTGCCACATTAGTCTTCGCGAGCTTGATGTTCCGAGCCAGGAGAGCATGGATGACGGATTGATTCATTGCATAGGAAGCAACTTGGTCATCAAGCTGCGAGACAGAAATAGTTGTATAGTGCCGAGCATCTGCGATGGCTTCGATGATAGCTTTATCTTTGCATGCGATCCAGCCAACACGGATACCAGCTAGAGAGTAGGCTTTTGAAAGGGAGCCAGTAACGATGATTTTTTCATAAGGCATGGACACCATTGAAGGGGGAAACTCTGCATCAGCTACTGAGATTCCGTGAAATAAAGGTCGATAGACCTCATCGCTTAGGATAATAATGTCCTTTTCCTTCGCAAAAGTCGTCAAGCCTTGCAAAACGGACTTGGGGATTGTAGCTCCTGTTGGATTATTGGGATTATTTATAATAATCATTTTGGTATTGTCCTTGACTAATCCCTTCAACTCCTCTAAATCGGGAATATATTTCTTCCCCTTGTGTAACTTCCATAGCGAAACTTCCGCGCCAAGACTTTGTGGGACTGAGTATAGTTGTTGATAAGCAGGATGGACACAAATTACATGATCCCCTGGTCCGATCAACGTGTATAGAGAAAGGAAATTGGCTTCGATTGCACCCCGTGTGAGAAGGATACTCTCTGGAGATAAAGCGGATGAAGTCCTTGCAGAGTAGAGAGACGCAAGACGTTCACGAAGAACGGGAGAACCTCGAATATGTCCATATGTGAGCTTGTTCGAAGTTGATATTGGATGAGGTAGAGTTGGATCCTCGGATAACTTTACGAGGTCATCGATTGAAATTGAAGCTGCGCATGTTTCGGCAATGTTGACGACTTCAGGTGTGGTTTCGTATTTGTCCATCCACTGGAGTTTTTAAAGGTTAGAGATATTTTGATATGAGGGGCAATGGGGGTGGTACTAGTTCTACGGCGAAAGGTTCAATCTTGACCATGTTTGCGATGATGAGGGTTATGTGAATTGGAGGATAGTGCCTGGTGATGAAGACTAAGAGATGTTGGTTTTGAATGGTACATTGTAGATTTATATATTCTCAACAAACCTATATTTTCAAGTACAGCAGTGCGCCTTAAGTTGACATCAGAAAGGCGTGGATGATTGATTGTGTGGAGATTGTTAGACCTCGGCCGTTCTCCAAGAAAGAGGAAGAGTAAGCACCAATAGAAATTAAGTATGAAAGCTCCGCAATGAAGGAAAACAACATTTGCATTATGGAGTATATTGATAAGATAGGTAGGGAAACTTTGGTTTGTTATGAGTGATGATATCCAGTAGGTATTGATTGCAGCGTTTGTACCTATCGATGTATGTGTGATATATAATCAATATATCGATATGTGTTATCATATTTTTCTTCCAACATAAATCCATTGTACTGTGTCAAGACCTTAATTACCCTCACTCAGCTTATCTTGTTCTTGTTCCTGACTGCTCCCAAACTGCACTCCAGATTTTGTCGATCCCCGCCTCTTATATCAAACCGGCGGCCGCCTAAGACAAACTAAAAACACCGTCGCGGAAGGACATTACACTAGTTGGTAAAGCTGCTCAACTCTTCTTCATTCTAAGCCAGCTTCATTTTATTTGGTTATTCATTCCTTCAAGGTATTATTGACTTATTACTCGTCTTTAACTTCTAGCTTTGAAATCACTACTTATCTCAATCATTCATCGGATCGATCCATTTAATTTGTATGGCATCAAGAGTCGTCATCTCACCGCAGCATTAAGCTCATCCTAATCGCAAGCTTCCACTCTCAACAATCGCCATCATCGCAACTACACTCCGCAACCGATGAAACGACTTCAACTAGGGACGGTAGTCCTGGCGACTCTGTCTCTATCATGGAACGCTCATGCTTTCACGAATTATTCGACGATAGACTCGATGAAAGCACAGTTAGCTCTCATGGACGATCGGCCTGACAATTGTCCTCCTTGGTACTGCGCCACTCCCTTTATATCAAAAACTTTTACTGACTATATAGTTTTAATTGCTTACTACCAGCTTTCACTTGCGGACAATATTCTGATTGTAATCAATACAATGGCAAATGCTCATGTCCACCGGGATTCGGTGGCGATGATTGTCTTCAACCTGGTGCGCCAAGCTCTCTACATGGGCTGAGAAACTTATTTGCTGACTCTTGATAGTTTGTGGTTCTTTAGCAGATGGCCAGGATCGACCGATGCGAACAACGGACTCGTGCGTTTGCGAAGATGGCTGGACTGGAATCAACTGCAATGTCTGTACGAACAATAAAGCATGTAATGCTCTAATGCCGGAAAAAGAGGGAGGCGTATGTTATCAGAATGGCGAGGTTGTGAAGGAGAACTACCAGATGTGCGATGTTACGAATAGGAAGATTGTAGACATCTTGGACGGGAAGAAGCCGCAGGTCACCTTTACCTGTAACGCCGAAGTAGAAACCTGCGACTTTCAATTCTGGGTTGACGAAAAAGAGTCATTTTACTGTTCCCTGGATACTTGTACATCTGGCGCCGCAAATGATTACGACCGAAACTCGACCAGCGCAAAATGTGAAAACATCGAGTGCAAGTGTGTTCCGGATAGGATGCTTTGCGGTGAAAATGGATCGGTTGATATCTCGGACTTCCTCGATCAAGAAATTAGAGGTCCCGCAACCTTTAATTGTGAGCAGAAAGGTGGAAGCAATGAGTGCACTTTTAAAGAACCTCAAATGGATCTACTCATTCAACAAATGTTCGGCGACAGCAGTATCTTTATCAACTGTCAAGCCGGAGAATGTCTCTACGAAACCGAGATTCCCGGATATGAACGACCAATCAAGAGAATCAATACACCTCTGATCGCAGGTGTTATCGCAGCTGCATCTCTATTTGTTGTTGGCGTTATCATGCTAGTTTGGTACTTGTCCCGAAGGCAATTCAAATACGGACCTATCCATCTAGACGATTCCGATGACGAGAGCATTAAGCTAATGACTGATCACAAGCCCGCGTCACTATATTTCGAGAATGTTTCATACAATCTAAATGGAAAGCAGATTTTAAGTGGTGTTCAGGGAGTAGCTCATCCTGGTGAGATTATGGCTATCATGGGGGCTTCGGGAGCTGGAAAAACCACATTTCTTGATATTCTTGCTCGTAAGAACAAGCGCGGCGTTGTCCAAGGAAACTTTTATGTAAATGGCGAAAAGGTTACAGATAACGAATACAGAAGTGTCATTGGGTTTGTTGATCAAGAAGATGCTATGCTACCTACACTTACCGTTCATGAAACCATCATGACCAGCGCTCTTTTGAGACTGCCAAGAGATATGGGAAGATCCGCCAAGGAACAAAGAGTCTTCGAAGTAGAGCGACAGCTTGGTATTTCTCATATCAAGGATTCTTTGATCGGTTCTGAGGATGGTAAGGGTCGCGGTATTTCTGGTGGTGAGAAACGTCGAGTTGGGATCGCTTGTGAATTGGTAACCAGCCCAAGCATATTGTTCCTTGATGAGCCAACGAGTGGTCTCGATGCATACAATGCTTTCAACGTTATCGAATGTCTTGTCAACCTGGCCAAAACCTACAAAAGAACGGTTATATTCACCATCCATCAACCAAGATCTAATATCGTGGCTTTGTTCGATAGATTATTACTTCTCGCCAAAGGAAGAACGGTCTATTCTGGCGAGTTCAGCCTCTGTCAAGATTATTTCGATCACATTGGCTACTCCTGCCCACCTGGATTCAACATTGCTGATTACTTGGTCGATTTGACAATGCATGTTGGGGCTCCTCGTACCCCGATTGACGATACTACATCTGATTTCAGACATGGCGTAACACCAAGCGTTGGCGCAAGCAGTACTAGGGCGGTGAAATCAATTGCAAGCATCTCTGGTGGTAGTATAGAAGAGCCTGTAGTTGGTAGCCCAAGCGAGTCTCTATTAAGACCTAAAGGCAAACGTCGCGACTCGGTAAAGGCAAGGCAAGAAAGGGAACTTTTTACTCGCAAGAGGAGTGGGATCGAGACGCCTACTTCTCAACCCGATGAAGCGCCTGTAGACCCAGAGGCCAATCAGCATTGGCTCAGAATGTCAAGACAGCATTCTTCTATCGCCGAAGATCCAGATAATCTGCCGCCAGATGCACCCGGAACTGGATCAGATTTAGATATCCTGGTCTCGGCTTACGCAAATTCACCAATCTCACGAGACTTTCAAGATGACCTAAAAAATGCTGTGTCATCTGCTCAAAGTGCCAATGGCAGTATGAATGGTCATGTACAGGAAAACAGTACATCAACCACAAGTACTATGGGAAGAGGATATGCAAGAGTTGGATACCTTCGACAATTTGTAATTCTCTCTCAACGCACCTGGCGCAATCTTTACAGAAACCCTATGTTGATGTTGACACACTACGCAATCGCGATCTTGTTGGCCGTTCTCTCCGGATTCCTGTTTTATGGCCTTACAGATGACATCCCCGGTTTCCAGAATCGCTTGGGATTGTTCTTCTTCATTCTCGCACTTTTCGGTTTCAGTACTCTGTCCAGTTTGAACGTCTTCGCTACTGAGCGTATGGTTTTCGTTAGAGAAAGAGCAAATGGGTACTACTCGCCCATCACCTATTTCTTAGCCAAAGTTGTCTTTGATATTGTTCCACTTCGCATTATTCCTCCTTTAATCATGGGTTCTATTTTATACCCCATGACTGGACTTGTAGCCGAAGCTCCCAACTTCTTCAAATTCCTCCTCATCCTCGTCCTCTTTAATCTCGCCGCTGCTGCCATTTGTCTCTTCCTTGGTATCGTCTTCAAAGATAATGGTGTTGCAAGTCTCATCGGAAGTCTCGTCATGCTCTTTAGTCTCCTCTTTGCCGGTCTCCTCCTTAATCACGATGCGATCCCCAAGTCTGCTCTTTGGCTACAATCCCTGTCGATATTCCATTACGGCTTCGAATCTCTCATAGTAAATGAAGTAACGTACCTAACACTGGTCGATCAGAAATACAAACTTGACATCACTGTTCCCGGTGCAGTTATTCTCAGTAGCTTTGGGTTTGATACCCAGGCGTTTTGGCCAGATGCGATTAATTTGGCGATTGTTGCCGGTTCCTTTATCTTCTTAGCGTATGTGGCGATGCATTTCTTGTTGGTGGAGAGACGGTAAATACGATGGAGGGATGGAGGATTGGATGGATGACTTACTTGAGTTGAGTCCGAGAGAAAATGATAGATTCTGCATGTAGAATGCATGGTTAGTATGGATAGGAGAATGGGTGGTAATAAATACACACTAGAAATTAGCGTAGCGTAGCATACACATTGATCTCCTTTTTCTTCAGTTTGTCTTTTTTTCATGACACGATATCCTTAGCATTGTACAGTATTGTTTGAATGGGTTACGGGTTCATGGCGTAGGATGTTTAAATGTATGTATTTATGTATGTATTTATATAAAATCTCACTATCGAAAACCATAATCCCTTTCTCTTCCTCTTCCTCTTTCTCTTCCTCTTCCTCTTTCTCTTCCTCTTCCCCTTCTTGTACATTATCCTATACAATTTACTATTCTATTCAATACTCATAAATTTCCTACACAAAAATCCATCACATACACCTATCTATTCATCTACCTACCTACCTACCTACCTACCTACCTACCTACCTACCTACCTAATAAATACCAAGATCTTACCTACTCAATAAATAAACTTTCAAATTTATATATATATAGAATTAATTCTAGCTATGAAAGAAAGGAGATTAAGATATTACCGACTTTGTCAATCTTAGCTCTAGATGAGTTGATTGATGTATGGATGGATTTTTGTCATAATATAGTCCCGGTGATGTCATTACCGGATATCTATAGTTATGTACTCGGTTAACCTTGGTGAATTGGGAATCTATTCTCATGAATTCATATACAAAAGTAGGTACCTAGCTTTAAATTATCTATCTTGCTATTTAATCAATCTAATTCAAATTTCGTGGATCACCGCTAATCCACTCAAACGCCATATCCCATCTAAATCAAGTGGTCGTGAAAAAGAAATCATTCATTACACATTACAAAAATGATGAATTTTTACCGCTGTGAAAGCTGGCTATAGACTGTTGCACCACCTAGAGCTAATAATATACCTACGGAATCTTTGACTGTGAGAGAGCGGCCTTCGCTTACCCAGCCGTAGGTGAGAATTATAATTGTTTTTACACTGGAGGGAAGGGAGTTAGTGTTTGATATTGTGGGTGAGTGATGTAGACAAGGTGTGTATGAGGGGAAACATACTTGGAAGCGACGTTGAATGTCAATGCTGACATTCTTCCTATGATTAAAAATTGACTTAAATTCAATAATGCAGCTGCTAATCCACTTAAAGCTAAGGCAACAAGTGTATCTGTCGGAATGATCGACACATCTGGTTTTGTGTCGAAAAAGGGCACTAGAAACGCTAGAATCAAAACTGATATTGGAGCTTGATTGAGCAAAAGTTGGGGAGATGAGGCTTTGAAATCGGTGAGTTTCTTGCCGATCCAGACTTGGTAAAAGGCTGTTACTACAAATGCAGCAATGGCGATTGAAGCGCCGAGTTTGGAAGTTCCAGAGGCTCCGGTGTTAGTTAGAGCTACACCGATGCAAACGCTAGCGAGGGCGAGGATGGTCTGGGGAGAGACGGATTTGGAGAGGAAAAAGTATTGAAGGAGGGCGACGCAGGGAGTGGTCATTATTTTTGCAAGTCTAGTGAGGGCAGGGTTAGCATAGTATGCGACCAAAGTAATTAGGAGGGGATGACTGACTGGTAGAATCCCACAGAGTTGAATGCCAAGCTCAAATTTCCAAGTATGAGAAAGCCAGCGAAGAAGCAACATAATGGGAGCATTTGGAGAAATGGCAATCGTATAGGGACGAAAAGATTGAAAGGAGAACGACTAGCTAACCATAATACTATGGTTGTGCAGGTAAAATGCCACATTGCGAAGGATATTTGCATGTTGCGCAATTGAGGATCTTTGAATATCCTATTACATGATTAGCTTTTGTATTTTGAGAGGAAAGATCGTATTTAGACAAACCATTTATTCAGAAAGACGAGAACGACTGTACTAATGATATTCAAACCAATGCAAGCAATATCGAGGATTTGACTGGCTCGAGACTTCTTTCTTTTCCCTTCGTTCTTATGATTGGGTGTCTCTTCCCCAATCATTGGTTGCGACTCCGCCATTTCCACATCTCTTTCTAGAGGTTCAAGGTCGCCCATTGTTGAATAATTTAATCTTCGAATAGATAATGGGTATTTAGAGAATGATATCCGTAAAGCTTGTGTCTTTTAAGCTTAAAAGAAGGTGAAGCCCGAGTGTTATGTGGTGCGGCTGTAGCTTGTAGTTGGCGACTCTTCGGAGTTAAAAAGTAGATTTCATAGCAGGAAGTTGGGTATATAAAATAGTCACAGGCGTACGACTAGGTTAGAGAAAGATTTGAAAGAGAGAAGCAGGGCAAGAAAGAAAGAATCCAAGTTGCACCCGGAAATGGTGTTGTCATGATAGCGTTATTATATATATGGCATAACTGCGGAGTGGAAAAACATGCTCAGCCTCGTCAATTAAACTATTAGGCTCCCGCTCAACTCCTTTTCCGTATGTTTTTAGTGTAATTTCATTGGCTGATATGCACCATGTGCATGCACCAAGCCAAGGAGAAATCTGGGGTTCAAGCCTAGAGTAGAGGCATGTAAGGGACGGAAAGGAGAGATAGCCGTTGAAAATTTGTGTGGTTTGACTGCATCCAGCCATAATAGATAACTATCTAAGTAAGAGTAAGATCTTACTTGGAATTTGCAGATATACTTCAAAGTGGTATATAAAATTGCATAGGAAAAATGGACACCAGCATTGCCATCCTCGTCCCATTCTTTCACCAGAAAACTTTAACTTTTGGAGCCAACATGACATCCACTAGTCCTTAAACTTCAAAGCGTGCTTTTACTGCACGTTGGGCGGTGACAGTAACATTTTATGTAACCTAACTTACAATAATAATATCCCGAAATTTGCTGGCAGCTACAATTCAACCATTCACTTACTTCCAAGGTTGTCTCTATTATCTACCGCGTTGTATTCTTGTTGATTGAATAACATCCCCTTTTGATTTGGTGATTCCTTTTCAGATACAATCATTCAATTCAAACAATCGGGGACGGACAAGTAATTCCATACCGGATCCGTTCATAATTTCAACTTTTATCTCCATAAAGTTACCCTGCTGAGCGCATTCATCCTTTCGAAAAACGATATCCACAACAACTTAATTCAATTCTTGCACATTTTCGTATTCAAAGTTTTTGATAATCCATCCATCTAGCTATCTCCACTTCCAACATCATGGGTCTCCTCAAAACTCTCCTGTACCTTTCTGTCCATCCAAATCAGTTAAGAGCAATCTTACAATGGTATGTTTTTGGAATACATCTCCTCATCTGCCATCACTAACACATGAATTAGGAAATTATGGCACGACCCAGTTCATACCAGAGATCCAACCAAGGAATCTCAATCTCTGAAAGACTGTTTCAAATACCTCGAACTGACCAGTCGAAGTTTCAGTTCAGTTATTCAAGAATTGAACCCCGAATTACTTGTGCCAGTCGCCCTTTTCTATCTGATTTTGCGAGGATTAGATACGGTCGAAGATGACATGACAATACCACTAGAGAAGAAGGAACCATTGTTGAGAACCTTTGATAGCATTATTGAGCAGGACGGATGGACATTCAACGAGAATGGACCCAATGAGAAAGATCGAGAACTTTTGGTTCACTTCGACTGTGTCATTACTGAATTCAAGAAGTGCAAACCTGCCTACCAGAAGATCATCAAGGATATTACGAAGAAGATGGGTGACGGAATGGCCGATTATGCGAATAATGCAGAGCACAACATCAATGGTGTCAACACAATCAAGGATTACGAATTATACTGTCATTATGTTGCTGGTCTTGTAGGAGATGGTTTAACAAGATTGTTTGTGGAGAGTAAATTAGCAAATCCAGCTTTGCTCAACAGGCCGGAATTGTCCGAGTCCATGGGTCAATTCCTTCAAAAGACAAATATCATTCGTGATATTCGGGAGGATTTTGATGACAAGAGACGTTTCTGGCCTAAGGAAATCTGGTCAAAGCATGTTGAAAACTTTGATGACCTCTTTGATCCCAAGAACAGAGAAGTGGCTTTGGCTTGCAGTTCAGAGATGGTTCTTAATTCCCTTCGCCATGCGGATGAATGTCTGTTTTACATGGCGGGCATAAAGGATCAGAGTGTCTTCAATTTTGTTGCTATCCCACAAGCCATGGCAATCGCAACCTTGGAGCTTGTTTTCCAGAACCCTGCTATTTTCGAGAAGAATGTTAAGATCACAAAAGGTGATGCTTGTCAATTGATGATGGAATCTTCGCAAAACTTGCGTACGGTTTGTGATATCTTTAAGAGATATGCAAGGAGGATACATAAAAAGAACTCGCCTAAGGACCCTAACTTCCTCAAGATTAGCATCGCATGCGGAAAGGCATGTGATTGAATTTGATTATAGACGAATTTGTTTGCTAACATTCATCAGATCGAACAATTCATCGAATCTATATTCCCATCACAAGATCCAAAGGCTATTGCTTTACAACAAGCTGGTGAAACATCTGCGGCCGAGAAGAAATCAGCAGCCGAAACAGCAGAGGCGAAGAGAGATGTGATGTACCTTATGATAGCAGTTCTCGGGACACTTTTAGTCATCTCTGGACTTATGGTACGTCTCTTTCCCTTGACCCATAGAACCTCACTAACAAGATCCAGGTTGGAGCAGCATGGCTAGCAGGAGCTCGATTTGACGTCGCCATAAGCGAACTCAAGAAAGGAAATTACGTACCCAAACACGACGCAGGTAGCCCGGAAACGCAAAGTATTGCACAGGGATATGATCATGCGGAACTCTAATTCTTTTCCTTTTAATTATACCTCTATTTAACTCATGAGTTTACCGGCACGGCGTGGCGTGGCGCTAATGAACTCATACTAGGTACCTAGGAACGACATGATCTTTTTCCTCTTTGTACTTCAGATCTCTTAATAGATGTACCATTAATTTGAGTCATGATGATATTGATAGAAATAATGAGATGTGTTTTAATGACTTATTTCTTCCGAGTTTCTCGAGTATTTGCTTGATAAGTGATTTGAAGGAATTATTGATTTACTTAGGGTTGTGATTTACCATACATGCATTCATTCGTTCATTCCACTGCGTTCTATTCCACGTACGTATGAATAGGTAGATACATGTGTGAATGAATATATGTATGCAAAATAATCAAATGACATATCTAGTACATACAGGTTACATCCACCGCATGCTTATACTCTACTCATGCTTAAACTCATACTCATGCTTAAACTCATACTCATGCTCATCCCCACCCCCACCCCCACCCCATCCATTCTTTCCTTCATCTTCGCTACAGATAGATTAAAACGCCACACACACCAAAAGAAAGAAGAGATATCTTTATACTACCAAATCACGACACAATAGGAAACAGCCACGACGCACGCAGAAGGTAAATCGTTATACCATTTAAGCTTCCACGAGGCTTTTCCTTCCAGCCTCTTCGGATTTACCCTATTCATCTTTATCTGCATCTTCATGTTCATCTTCATGCTCATCCTATATCCACATCTAAGCTTTAGGAACATTAGGTAAATCATCAGCGGCAGCTTGTGCGTCCGAGTGGTGTGAGTGATGATGACCATGTTCCCTCTTATCCTTTCCCTTTTTCTTGTTCTCTTTCTTCGCAGCTGCTTCAGCGACCAATTGTTCGAATGCCATGTAATCGCCTTCTTCTTCTGGGTTGCGTTGAGCCTGGTGTTTGGTTAGTTGTGATTCTTTCTTGTGGAATTCGAGATCTGTGATACATACCTTGGAGTAAATTTCACCCGAAATAACTAAAGCTTGAGCGCGCTCGAGTCTCTTTGACATGGGAACCTTCTTGTCGTTCAGAATCTCATCACAAACGTCTCTGAGAACACCTTGAATCTCAAATTTACTTCCGCGCCATGCAGCTGTAAGGATCTTTCCGGTCACGCGACGCTCATATTCAACTTTCTTCTCATCAGTCCAATCCTCGCCGCCTTTCTCTTCCATTTTGGCCATTTCCTCCATGGTCATTTGCGCATCGATAGCGCTAGAGATTGTATTCCAGGTTTCCTTTGCGATAGTTCCCTTATCCTTTAATCTGGAGAAAAACCCGCCGATACCTAAGAATTTCTGAGATTTGAGAAGTCCGGTGGCTTTTTGGAGATAAGTTTGACCGATCGCATGAAGAATATCCAGACCAAAAGATTCCATCTTGAGGTTCTCTACCTCGAGTCGTGTCTTCTCTTGGAATGCTCTGGTAACATCTGGTCCCTTGTCTGTCTCTGTCCATACGCTAATACGATCTACCAACTTCTTTGCTAATGTGTCGACTCGTTCTTTACGAGCCGCGGCACGTTCCCTCTCATAAGCAGCTAGTTCTTCACGTTGGGCCTTTGAGAGACCGCCCTTCTTCTTCTCTCTCTTCCTCAACTCCTTCTCCTCCTCTGTGAGTCCTGCAGCAGCCATTTGAGCCTCCTCTTCTGTTTGGTTCATGATGGCCGGTCGGAGAGGAATTTGAGTAGTACGTCTAGGGGTTGATGTTCCTGATCCAGCAGGGCTGGGGGCAACTGGTGGTTTCTCCGAGTATGGAGGAGCAGGAGAATCTGTAGCGTCAGATACAGACGCGGAGGGTACATGTTTAGCTGTACCGTCTGCAGCAGCCGCCGATGGTCCAGCTTTTTCATTCTCTGCGGTCATACTCTCCCGTTTGGCTGCTTCAGTCCCTGGGAATCTATGATAACATTAGTCAACCCATCTAATACCCACAGATCATCACGATGCGCCTCAAGTTCGCAAACCCTGTTCCGTAGTCATAATATAACTAGACTTACTCTTCTTCTTCTTCTGCACCTTCCTGCATGGTAATATCCATAGTCTTTGTCAAATCCTTCATCAACGTAATTTCTCCAATGAGATCCACAAACGCCTCCCCTCCAAAAATTGTGCCAAAGAACTCTGCCGGATCCGCAAACCCTTCCCCAGGTTGTGCGGAATCCTTTCCAAATTTATCATACCGTTTGCGCAAATCCTCATTACTAAGGACCTGATATGCCTCGCCGATAGCTTGGAATTTCTCGTGCGCCGTGTCATCGCCAGGATTCTTATCTTCGTTATGTCAGTATCTCTGAGGGCAGAACTGTATTGCTGGAGAAGGTGGTAAAACGTACCTGGATGAGTGATAATAGCTAATTTTCTATATGCTTTCTTGATTTCTAACTCCGATGCGTCGGGTTTGACACCGAGGGCCTCGTAGTATGTGGTATCGACAACCATTTCGAAGGTTGCTGCTGAGGAATGAAGTAATTTGAGCCCACGAGCGAAGTAAGTCAAGTAGTCGGGTCTAGGAAGTAGATAGGTAGAGTAAAAGGGAAAGAAAATATATTCAGCGACTTTGATGATAAGCCAAGTCGGTACGGCACGAATGTGCAGTAAGTGTCACTGTATTGTAAGTTTTCGCAGTAAGGCTGAATTTATTTTCTTCGAAATTCAAGAATGGAATGCCGAGAATGCGATAATATGACGCGAGGCTTTATTAACATTAATCACTGCCACTTCTGACTTCTACTGTACCACCGGATTAGGAATTGAGAAGCGAGAGGGACGCTTATTTTATTACGCTCGTTGAGTTGTTTTCATTTTGGTTATTATAATAATTTTATATAATAAATAATGTATGTATAATATTAGTACAGTGAACCGTGATGATGATGATGATGATGATGAAGTTATATTCACTTCACACTCAGTTTTGTTATTACATTTACACTGTAGTATTAATGCCCTCCCTTGTTAATCTATCAAGCAAGTTTCAACGGTTTTTAAGATCTTATCTCAGTTGCATGAAATTTTCGCTGATGGAGGGGCAGCCCAGCATCCCTGAAAGACAGTGCTTAGATTGCACCAATGCGCTGTGTTGGGGAAACGTCATGACAAGATAGACAAAATAGTGGATAAGGAATATCATCACAGAATTTACTCTGGAATCTAACATTTTAATTGTTCGATAATGCGCAGAACAGATTAATCCGTGTAAACCTTTGGCATGTAAGAGCAATAGTGATGATAAGAAACTTGTTCATAGCCATTATATCCCCTCGGCCACCCTAACAATCATGGCGATAAAAGGAACTCTCACCTCAAGCTTATATTATCCAAACTTTCACATTGGAGAGATATCACAAATATACGGGAATCAGACAATAAGTGCATCCATTCAACGTAGACGTAGAGAGGAGATATCTCCAATTACATTTCATAACAAGAAGTGTGAAAGAACAGCTTTTGCAAATCCCCCCTGTTACATGTTACCTATGCACCACCTATTTGGTACCACCAGCAGCCATTCTCTGGAAACATCCCTTGTATGCCTCATGAATCTCAGGAACCTCATATCCATACTCTGCCAACTTCTTGATCAACTTCGTAGTATCCAGCTTACAATTACTTCGTCCCGCCTTGATGACCTTGGATTGTTCCTCCAGTGTGAAGTTCTTCCATGTGAATTCTGGTCTCACATATTCTTTGAAAAGAGACAAGACCTCGTTGTGAGAAATGGCTCCTGGATTGGTGAAGTTGTAGATACCGGTATCTTTGTGCTCTGCCATGATGATCGAGGCAGGGAGAAGATCGTGGAGGATAGTGTTGGAGTTGGGAATGTCAACTACGCGGTCGTATTTGGCAATTTTGGTGACGAAGTTTCGGGGATGGAGGTCATCACTGACGGGCATTCGGAGTCGGAGGATGAGAGCATTCTTGTATGTCTTCATAACCTGCGTGGCTGTTAGTATGTACAGCCAACTTTGTGCGAAGGATCGTACTAACCTCCTCAACATGAGCCTTAGTCTCCGAGTAGAACGAGCCAGCAAAGTTGGCAGGATCAGTCTCCAGGAACCCGGGCCCCCCAATTGGATGCTCATCATTATAGGTATAGATACATCCTGTAGCAAAGACAGTAATGTGGACACCCTTTAAGTAGCAAACATCAGTCAAGTTCAACGTTCCGATAACGTTGCTTCGAATCGTCTCTTCCTTATTGTCCTCGCACCAATCGACATTGGGACGTCCGGTGCAGCCAGCACAGTTAAGGACATGAGTTGGTTTGATTTTGTCAATTTCTGCAATGACGGCTTCACGATTCTGCATGCGAACAGTAGTGGTATAGACTATCTTTCCCTGGCTTTCGAGAAGGGTCTTGAGATGTCCTGCAGCGACTAGGTTAGCACGGTTCAGATGCTCTCCAGTATGAGTGGGTCCTAGACATACCCGCAACCCAACCTTCTCCTCCCCAAATCAAAAAGCGGTTTGGTTGTGCCATGTTGGAAAATGTTTGAATGATTCTTAGAAATCTGCGTTGGGCAGTTTCGAGTGGAGTTTTGAGAATATATGTGTGAAGGGAACTTCCAAAGGACGGTGAGAGTAGTCTGCTACATAAGCATCAAAGTAATAAGGAGGAGGCGTTGAGGGCTTGATGTCATGCAAGGAGTGCCGAAAAAGCGACGTGATCGATTGATCCCTTGAATTGACACGAGGATAGAAAAGCAATAATGTCAATGGTAAGGTTAATGAGCTGTAAGGGGGCTGCTTATGTACTCGTACATATCTCCTTTTTTATCCCTGGACGGTGAGGATAGTCTGTCTCTAATTACTTATCTGGTGCAATTGGAACCTTTAAAACATCTGAGGGGCAATGAGGGGTTCTAGCTTGCAGTTTCAACAACTCAGAGTGCATTTTATAACGTATGTTATCAGTTGCTATTGGTTCACCCATTTTCTCAACGAGGATTTACATTCATCACAAGAATGTATGCGGTAGTGAGTTACATGGTCCTAGATTTGGCAAAGAGTAATTGCTGTGTTCGGTGCTGTGTTGACTATTTCCAAGACTCCCAGGAGCTTCCGTTTTAAATGTTTTACATTCCCCTGTGGGCCTCGTAATCCATGTTTCGAGAGCATCAGCCTATCATATAGCTCTACGGCTCTCCACTTACTCCCTCCGGTTAGACTTTATTCATCATCCTAGACGATTAGTGTAACGACGTTCATGGCAAGATAGATAGCTCACATTACTGCTCGAATATAATTTTTTACATGCTTTTTATTCTTCTGGGGTATCAATATGTAAACTAACACGGTACTTTTTCCCTGTCCTCACAACTAGTCAGCCTCGACAAAGAATCCCTTTTCTGCCGAACCACTACATGGACGAAGCATTACTGCCACTATTAGATCTAGGCTTTAAGCTAAAACTAGTCCTCGGTGTCAATCTTGGAGGGCGACTACTACTCTCGATTCGTTTTCGCGCGAGATATTTGCCAAATTCCCACTTTCCCTTGTATGTTTGTGCGGTCGATGGAGACTTGGTTGATTTTTCAACCCTCATCGGCTGTTCTTTATTTTTTAGCCAATCCATAACCTTTTCCGGTTTGTTTGATGCTGCTGTAGACTCCCTTCGTGATGGTGGCGGAGATATTGACCTCTCAAGTGATGGTCTCGATGAAAATCCTTGCGGTTTGCACTCTATTGAAGGCACTCTTTCATTCATGATATGCGGTGCCTTTCCCTGGGTTGGGCTCTCCGGCTCAGTGCGTCTTGTGTGTTTTGATGAGGAATTGTTCGGCGTCTTGAACGAGACAATTGGTGATGCCGATTTTTGTGCAGACAAAGAACTAATACGAGGCGAAGAACCTCGACCTAGTGATGAAGGCAATTGACTTGGGGTTTCAAAAAACCTTCTGGGTGTGGCTTTTCTATGCTCCTTCATATCTTCCGTTGGCGCCGCAACTGTCTCATATACTTCAGGTGCATTCGGTTGCGATATTGGCACTTCCGTCCTTGGTGGCGACGGATCCTGTGCAGCGCTGTCCCCAGAAATTCCCCTTTCTGGAAAGGTCCACCTCTTTTCTTGCTCCGCGGGCGTAACCTCTGGATTTGACAATGATGGCGATTGACCCGCGGTTTCGAAAGACCTCTTTGAAGTGATCTTTTCAGGCTGTGCAGAAGATGACACTGGCGCATTTGTGATAGTGATGAGCTCAATGGGACTGGATGATTGCCTCACTGGTTCTATTCTGTCACTACCGTAAACAATTGACTGCTGCGAGGCTGGTCTTGCAGTGCCTCTATACTTCCCACGCATTTTTTCAATCGCATCGTGATCTGGAGATTCGGACGATAAAGCAGCTTTTATGCTTTCCGGATTGATCATTCGACATGTTATATCATCAGAGTGCGTAAATTCGGGATCAGAAATTCCCAAGTAATTGTAAAACTGAATTCCAGTCATTCTGGCTGCACTAGTCCGGACATGGTCCGAATATTCATGAGCATAGAACCGGACAAAATCATCCCACAATGATCTATGAGGTTGCCTAATAGGTGTTCCAAGCCATTCCAGGTATATGAGCGCTTGTAAGAATTGTTTCTTAGTGCCAGTGTACCGTGGGTAAGCAGCACAATACTCCTCAAAAAGCGAAGCTGGCTGCTGCTCAGACTGGTGAGCCTTCCCTGAGTTTGACTGTGTCCCACTAGGTGAAAATGACCCCTTACTCATGTCGTGATCGTCCAATGTCATTAAACTGGACGTTGAGTGATTAGTAGGTCTACTGATGTGAGATGTGGAAGTCTGTTCAACGGTTACTGTACAAGGTAGAACATTCTTATTCCTATCCTGGATTGTTCGCGGACCTTCTGCAGATGCTCGACTTTGTGGGTTATTTTCTATGTTGCCATCGACTATCTGAGAACCTTCTGTTGGCGGTAGGCTTTGCAAGGCCTTCCGAATTTCTCTCCGGTTTGCTCTTACCATTTCATTCCTGTCCCTATAGGGGGATTCTTCTTGACTGAAGCCTAAAGCCACAGGATCTGTAATTCTTCGTCTCTTGGCAAGAATGCCCCGATCATGTCCTTGCTCAGGGGAATTTTGATTTGATGGCGAGTGGTTAGTGGGAGGTCTTCCAACAGTAGAAGGTACAACATCAGAAGCAACTCCATCAAGATCGGAAATTTGTAGATGTGGGTAAGGCTGGGGTCCCGATGCATTCTCATAAATTATGTCATCATTGGACGTTGATGATATCTGTCGGGCATGAGACCGTTGGATCTCGGAGTCATTTCGCTCGTGCTTGTCTTGATGCACCTCGACAAAAGTCTCCGTAACTTTTGAAGGTAATTTGCAGGGCGATGGTAACGAAAATATCCCGGACTCAGGGATGAACGAGCTTTTATCATCAGGATCCTTTTGTGAGCTATTATAAGTGCCAGGGACAATAGCATCCGAGGACAATTCTTCAATTGGGCGTTTTCTTCGCTTCGGTGTCTTTTCGACTTGTACTCCAGACTTATGCCGTGTGATTATGGGCAGGGTAGGCTGTGAAATTGGTAGGTATTCATCTACAAGTGGGTCGCTGCGGTGGATTTCTTCGCCTAGGACATGTGCGTGACCCAGTTCGATCTCTTCGTCATCAGAAGGGCTACTAGTTAAGTCAAAGGTTGATGCTGTAGGTAGTCTGATCTTAACATTGGACGTTCTTATGCTTTGTGAAATAGCAGGGGGCGATTGGGAAATGCTCTTTTGAGAACCATCTGAAGTTGGCGCATTAGAATCATCTGCACTAGGTATAACAGCACCATTCTCAATTGTCGGACTAGGTTGTGTCACCGAATGTGCTTGGCCTAAAGATTGATCCGGTGCAGCGTTTACGTCCATAACTTGCCTGGGCATTGAGTTGGCTTCTGGGCTCGGGCAACTAAGCTTGGAAAGATCACTCGAGTCACTATCCGACTGATGGTCCTCCTCGTTGTCAGGTGATTTGTGAAAGTGCAGCAGTTCGGAAGTATACGCAACTTCTTCCGCATCTTTGTTAGAGTCTTCTGAGATATCATTGCCATGATGAGTAGTATCACCATCTTCACTGTCCCTAGTTCCGACAGTGTTTAGATCCGGGTACAGGTTGGGCTCTTCACTGCTCTGTACCGTGTTCTTACAGTGGACCGATTCTTGTCTAGCGAGCCGTTTTTCGTGAAACGCTAATAAATTAGCCTGCAGGACACCTGGGAGTAGTGGTGGCATTGACCCATAATTCTCTGACGGTGAAACCCACGAGTTCACACGCTCCAAAATAGCTCTCTGTTCTTTCGAGATAAGGGCGTAAGAACGCGGGATAAATGCCAAACTTTGCTGAAATGGGTAAATTTCATTGACTGGAACACCTTGATGTCTCGCCCTGTTGGAAGATCCAATGACAGTGAGCGCCGCATTCTTTGAACTAGGCTCCTTGTCATCCAATATCCTGTCGCTGCCAACTTCTTCTTGATCTATAGAACGTTCGATGGGTGACCGTGGTACGTGTGCATGTTTGGAATTCCCTAGGTCATTATCTTCCTCCGAGTTCGTTGCGCTGGAATTTGACATTGATGAAAGCGGTCGTGCTGCACTCGTACTAATAGGAGAGTCAAGCGGTGGTCCTGGCTGATTGGGTTGAGGACTAGTATTTGTGATTTCAACGGCTGGCTGGTGGTTTCCTTGGAGAACGCGTAGAATATCTGGCGCCTGGGCTCGGGAAGCATCATTCTTCTCCTTCCGCGGTTCCGAAATTCTGTTCGAGACCTGTGTCGCAAACATAGCGGACTGTGAAAGAAGTGAAGAATTCCGAGACTCGGGCATGACGGACGAGTGAAAATCGTTGTTGCAATCTCTAGGATTTAAGATCTTTTGCATTGTACGCAGTGTGTTATCGATAGTTCCTCCAATTTCTATGGCGCGAGCTGAGCTAGAAATATCCTGCCTCCCTTTCAGCTTGAAACTTGGAATATAGAGGTATAATCTGTTCGGTGGCTCTACTGCAGCATTGAAGTCGCATATCCGAGGTCGAAGTTAGTACTCCTGGAGACCTCATACAAACTGACGAGACCATCATACCAATTGGCAATCTCCCGCTACTAATGATTCTCCTATAAGCCCTTCGAGTGTCCCTTTGTTCTTTTCCAGAAAACGATTTAGAAATTCTTGCTGAAATACTGCTGCGATTTCGGTTGTACCATCAGACACGGTCATAAATTGAATGGCATCCCGCACTTTGTTGCTCTGCACGTGTGTCAACAGATGAACGATTGGAACGAGTGATAAGTGGTATACTGACGCCAATTAGATGAACTAATCCAGGCTTTTCGAGCTGTATGGTAAGTTTCTCATGTTTATAAGAGAATCGATTGTGAGAGCCGTCAGCATTTTGCTTTACCACATGAACTGACTTCAGCCAATCCACTGCCTCTGCTAGAGACTTTTCGATATGCTGGGCGAGCCAGCTTCGCATGAGGGCCATGATGCCAGTACCGATAGTCCTGGTCTAATATTATTCAATATTTCCAATGCGACCATATCCAATTCAATGGTAAATCCCTGGATCTGAAATCGCGATCTTACTCCTACTGATGAAATGCACGGTCGGATCCAAGTAACTTAAAAGATCTGGATAGTAGTAAAGATCTCCATTCCAATAATGGTTATTCGTTTTCAGAGACAGTATTCATAGCATCAGAATAATTTAGTATGGGATAGAGTTGAGTTGACTTCATACTGGCGTAGTAGACTGGAAGACGCGTTCTCGCGAAGTCAATTTAGATAGTCGGGCGTGTACCTAGTAAAGAGCGGAGTGGAAAAAAGGCATGCAGGGATAGCGATCGGTAATCGGAAGCAAAGTGTGCCTATCATTTCTTATACTCGAGTCCTGACATAGCTCTGGCTGATAAACCTCAATCAAACCTTATCGAATTATTGATAAGTAAGATCTTGGGTTACCTATCTGCGAACTTCATCATTTGAGGGGACATTCCAGTATTACCTGCAGGTATTTGAGAAAATGCTTCCCCTCTATTGATCCTTCCCCAAATACAACCTATCCTCCTACTCATAAGGCGGAAAGCCCATCATGCTTTAGCTCTATCAGTGAATGATATGATAATAATGATTCCATAGTTATTGTCGCAAGAAATGTTGCCATCACTTTTCAGTTGGTAATTCTATCAAGGGCGTCCATCTCATTCAGCTGATCATCCATCCAGCGAGCCTAAGAGCAATCTGTAAATTTCGTCTCGCAAGGCAACCTATTTGATTCCACAAATTCATGACATGATTACGCAAACCGGAAGCCGTCGAAGCGGTCGCACAACTTTTGTTCATCGAACACGATACATGACTTGCTCTTGACACGAAAGCGTCGGTTCGGTAAGAACCAAGCGTTCTGAGATCACCATCGCATTCACAATAGGCTAAACTTGGAGATTACCAGCGTGTGCAGAGGGGAAGATGTCTTCCCATGGATCCCCAAGACCTTCTGCGGGAGTGCCATTATTGATACCATTAAGAACGCGATCTCGTCGAGGATCATTGGGATCACTGGCTAGTGGTACGCCCGTCGATAAGGAACAACTGGCACAAGCTCTGGATAAAATACATAGTACTGCCTGTCAGTCGGAAACGCTTACTACGTTCAACGAATTCGCCCCTCCACCACCATCTTCCTCGAATACAGAGAGTAAAGGCTTAGCTGGGGATATCATGCAGAATGGTCTGAGTGGTCTATACAGTCGATTCAAAGGCGCAGTTGGAGTAGGGAAAGATAAAGCAGGAAGCTCTTCGGTAAAAGGCGACAGCGAAAGCTTTGATGCGACCTCAGTCAAAAGTCAGAATGCATCGAATGCCACCCCGTCCTCGAAAGGATCTTCCGGTCCTGCACGAGAAGACTCGGGTATTACTGCTTCGCCCGTTCAACTTTCCACTGCATCTTCACAGCTGCAGTCTCCAACCGTATCTTCCTTCATGGGAACTTCGTCTGAGATGCAGTCACAAGCTATGAAATCATCAAAAACCTCGCTTTCGTCAGTACCTAAAACAGCAAGGTCAGCGTCTAGACCTCCTCTCAATCCAATGGCGAAAACCACTTTGTCCTCAGCCATTGTCCCAACCGTTGCGCCTGTCAATGCTGTTGCATTCAAAGAGGGAGAAAAGACTCGGCTGGGCAGTTCTGATGGAAATATTCTGGAAAAGGCAAATAAAAAAAGTGTTTCAGACAGATCTGAACCGGTTTCGGCATCAGATTACACCCATCCTGGCACATTCGGGTCAGCTAGCGCTTCCGAAAGCAGACGCTTTACCGGCCATCCTTCGGTATTAGACGATCCGGAGTCTGTTGAATTTGATTCCATGAAAAGCGAATCTGCTGGGCGAATGTCGCTGAGCAACTTAGACTCCAAAAAGGATTCCCAAGATCTTCCTTTACGTATTAGTGATAGTAGCAATGCTGGAAGGGCCAAATCCATGAGTAACCCCAAAACAGCTTCAGCTACATTATCTTCCATAAAGACTTCCGATTCGAGGCCAAATGCGCCACCACGTCTTACAATTCTAGAAACTGCAAGGCGAACTCCTGCTGTTGAACGTATAACACAATCACATCTTCCTGGCTATCAGGCATCACGTACTTCTTCGACGGACCGCAGTACCGCGGAAGCTAGCCCTATTAATACCTCCGCACACAATCATGTGCGACATGATTCTTTTGGTACAGACGAGCGTTCTTCCCGCACCTACTCTGGTAGAAGTCGCATACCTGGTACCACTACAAATGGTGGTAGCGCCGAAGTAGTCAGCGCTCGTTTGGAGCAAATGAGAAAGCAAGTGCTAAGCAAAGAATTCTGGATGGCTGATGATATATGCAAGGAGTGTTTTTTGTGCGGCGATCCCTTTACTGCTTTTCGTAGAAAACACCATTGCCGAACTTGTGGCTGCATCTTCGACTCTAAATGCACACATACTATTTCAGGCCAAAGGTTTGGAGTTCAGGGGTCACTTCGTATGTGTAAAACTTGCCTCGACATTATAAACAGGCGTCACGACAGTAGCGGGTCTGACGATTCAGATGATGAATCAGGCTTACCAACCTTTTTCCATTCGCAGCAGGCCAAGTTTGACTCCTCTACATCAACTAAAATAGATTTGCCAGAGGGCCCAGGTGCTGACCCAATGAAGATAGGAGATGAATCTAGGCCTCTGGCAACTCCAATGATGGCGATACCCGCTACACGACGAATTGGTGATTCTTCGAATCGGCGTTCAGCAATTCTGGAGATAGATGCACCACAATTGAGTCGCCCAAGTTCATCTCGATCGTTGAAGGCGTTGTCTGCTGCTACGAGACCTCCATCCTCTAGCCACAGACGACATCAGTCAAAGCACAATTTTCTCGGCCGCTTCAAAAGCCCTGTTGGAGATAGAGCACCTTTCCATCGCGGATTGACTGATGACATCGCAAAAGCAACGCGTCTGCCCGCATTTCATGATGACAATATCATCGATCCCGATCTGGCACCATACATGTCGGATGAAGGATCAAGCGCCGATGAACAAATGAGTATTTTTGCTACCTTACACAACAGTAATACCGCAACTCCACCTTTTGAAAATGACAGAGCAGGTTTTGGCTCCTTGCTGAACGCCACCAAGAGGCACAGGGCCAGGACTGGCGACAAAAGTGTCAGTGGGATCAGTTTTACGAGTCGGGGGTTGGAAGATGCTAGCGCAACTGTGGGAGCATTCACAAGACCGAATCGTCGACGTAATCTGAGCATTGCTAGCAACACTTTACACCATACTCGACCCTCCCCAAGGCAAACAAAGCCGACGAGCTTAGCAAAGGGTTTTGGGAATGTAAGTGAAGATGTTACTGCACCAGAAAATCCGTCTGACCCGACCACGCCAGCCGGCATGTCTTCAAAAATGACTCGAAGCGCATCGATGCGAGATGCTAAGGCTCCTGCAGTGGAGCTTAACAACGCCAGTTTGCATCATGTTCGCCGGCTCCTGCATCAACTACTTGAAGATGCGGATATTCCAAACGTTGCTTCCTGGGAGAAGGCTTTGATACCCATTCTGCTTCAGTGCACAGATGATGTCAACCCTGATGTTCGGCGCGGCGATGACATAGATATCCGTCACTATGTCAAGCTGAAAAAAATACCTGGAGGAAAACCTGGTGACACCTCGTATGTGTCAGGTGTTGTGTTTACCAAGAACCTTGCCTTGAAAAGTATGCCTAGGAGTATTGCGAGTCCCCGCATTGTTATCGTATCATTTCCCATTGAATATCAACGCCACCAATCTTCGTTTATGAGTCTGGAGCCTGTCATAGCTCAGGAAAAGGAATTTTTAAGGAATATGGTAAATCGAATCGCATCCCTGCGTCCCCAACTTCTATTGGTCCAGAAGCATATTTCCGGGCTTGCTTTGCAATATCTCGCTGAGGCAAATATTGCTGTAATCTACAATGTTAAGCCTTCAGTAATTGAGGCAGTTTCAAGGTGTGCTCAGACGGAGGTTATCTCGTCTATCGACATGGTAGCCCTGAAGCCGGTACACATAGGCAAATGCTCTGGCTTTGACGTGAAAACATATGTCCATGGCGATATTCCGGGAAAGAAAAAGACTTACATCTATCTATCTGGATGTCCAAAAGAGTTGGGATGTACCATCGCTCTGCGCGGCGCTAGCATGCCTATACTAGCCAAAATGAAGCAAATTACAGAATTCATGGTATACGTGGTTTACAATCTAAAGCTTGAAACATGTTTAATGAGGGACGAATTCGTTCTGATCCCATCTGTGGCAGAAAGCGGCAACCTCTCTCCCGCAAGACAAACTAGTCAGACTTCAAAATCTACAGTATCGAATGCTCCCCCTCATCAAGACACTGTGGTGGCAGCAAGCAATGTACTACAAGCTGCTGCTGCGTCGGAGAAGGTTAAAAGCTTCTCACAGGATGGAATTGGCAGTAGCGAAGGCATATCCGCTGACCAAGTTCTCGTCACCCCGGAGACTGTTACGGAAGCTCAGAAAGCCATATCGACTGAACAAAAGCCTGAAGTTTCTAGAATGATCTCCGCTCATGAGTCACATGTCCACTCCTCTCATGACGATCATCTACCGGAAGATGTACCAATGCCGACATTTTACAGCGACATGGTTGCTAAACACCAAACGAAAATACTATCTGCCTCCCCATTTGTCAAGTTCGTGCAACCATATCTATTGGTTAAAGCGAGAGAGCAGGAACGGAGACTCGTTTATCTGAAAAGGCTTCGGGACCAAGATATGTTCGAAGAGCAGACCGATACAGAAAAATCCAAACCACAGAAATTTCAGCTCATAAAGCCCGATATGGTCCATGAAAGTATCAAAAATGCACCCAGGCAAATCATGGAGGTTTTACATGCTGTGCATGATGCAGAATACGATAAAGCTTTGCATAATTACCAAACACAAACACGTCAATGGGAGAATTATATCCAAGGAAATCTTAACCTCTTTGATCCATATGGTCACCAAAATATTACTGTGCTATACACAGTCGTTTGCACCGAAACTTCAATTCCCTGCGCTGGACCTGACCTTCTCACTCTCGCATTTTATACTGAACACGAAATATCAGCAGAAATCGATCCTGATTGTACACTGGGTCAATACGTCGAAGATTTGTGCTTGACGATCAATACAACGTGTACGTTTAATGGCTGCGATCGAAAGATGTCCGAGCATCACCGAACTTACGTCCATGGTGAAGCCCGAATAACTGTGTTTGTTGAAAGATCACCTTGCAAGATCAAAGGGCTTCAGGATTCTATTTTAATGTGGAGCTATTGCAAAAAATGTCAGAAGGAAACTCAAGTTATGCCCATGTCTGAAAGTACTTGGAAATACTCTTTTGGGAAGTATTTAGAATTATCTTTCTGGAGCAGTGATTTACATCTCAGAGCAGGATTTTGCCCTCATGATTTGCACCGTGATCATTTGCGATATTTTGGCTTTCGCAATGTCGCCATTAGAATACACTATGATCCGATCGACCTCTTGGAAATTGTTGTGCCTCGAACAAGAATCACATGGAAAGTAGATAATGATCTTAGATTGAAGAATGAACTTTTCACAAAGATAGAAGAACGGTGGAATCGGTTCATGGCGTCGGTAATGTCTAGAATTAAAGGAATTAACATCGACAGCGTTGCACCTGAAAAGGCAGAAGCATGTAAGGCAGAAATAGATCGCCTGACAAAACGTGCGCAAGAGGAGCATACTGCCCTCCTACGCAAGTTGCAAGACAAATATATGGAATCGAAATACTATGAGATTATCCCGCTTAATAGGGCCGTAAGAGCGATGCAAGAGAGGGTTGCAGAATGGGACGATGCCTTCCAAGATTTCGATGGAAATTTTTTTCCGTCAGAAAAGGATATCCGCCGCCTTGCTGCACTCCAACTCAGGAAGATGTTTATGGATCGCGATGAATCACAAACTTCTTTGGTGTCTGTAGAGACAAATGAACCATTGTCTGATGCCGAATAGAAATCGTTTATCCCAACGTCACCAGAGGCGACATTTGAACCAAGTCCGGATACAGAAGAATCACCAGAAGGTCATCCTGCAGTCGTCGACGATAGTTTAGTCGCAGATCTGACCACGATAAATTCACAGTCCGCCAGTAATACCGAATCATCAATGAACGAGGACCAAGTTCAGATGCCTCGACATGAAGGAGTTGAACATCTTGATCTCGCTATTTCAGAGACCGCAGACCAGCAGCTTACCTCAAAAACATTAACACCGGCTGAAACGTCTGACTTTCTTACATCCAGTCCGCCTGATCTAGAGAGTCCTTCAGATGCTGATATCCCGACAACGCCTTTAGAAGCAAGCTTATCCGAGAAAATTGAGAGACTACGCAGAGCAAACCAATCATTTTCAGCCGAAAATGGCCAGTTGCAGTCTGAAACTTCTGGTATTCCAAGGCCGACTGAACGTACAAGTTCGCGTCGTAGTGGTGCTTCGCCTCCTCTCAATCGTACCCAGTCACAGCCTGCAAATACATTACGCCGCATGCAACCGATTTCTACCAAGGCATACCATAGGCTGGGAGATACACGTAAGTCTAGTGACTCACAAATTCCATTGCTTGAACCTTTGAAGCCGTCTACAACGGAACCTGTAAGGCCCACTGATAAGAGACTTTCGGAAAGGTTGGGCCTGGGCTCCCTGAAACAAAATCGTAAGGCAGGACACTCCTTCATTCCAAGATCTGTGCAACCGAAAAGAAAGGAGTCTAAAGTTACGACATTAGCAAAACATTTTGAACAGCTGAGTAGAGAATTTGAGAAAGAACGTCTACGAGACAGGAGACGAATGGCAGCAAAAGTCACACAATCGAGAGCATTCCCAAAAGCATCTTCCAAGCCCATTGTCGAGATATACAAGGATATTAATGAAGCTGTCGAGGAGCGCGGACCCCCTGACGAAGTTCCTCTGGATGCCGAACCCACGCATATCAATACAGAATCTACAAGCATGACTGAAGGGCTTGCCAAGCTTAACATGGAGCCCTCTAGTATCGAGACCCAGCCGAGCTCACCGGATGACACTGTCGCTATGGGAGGAGCTATTGCTGACATCGAAGCTGATGACACTCATCAAAACTTCAGTCAAACTGGTTCTGATGATGAAGGGGTTACTAGCGATGCAGAACATTCTTTGCTTGGTGATCTTTTGCCTGGTGCGGAGGAGTTGGCTGAATCGCTTCGCGTGGGCAAGCCAGATGCCGACCTTCCGATGGAGATACCCAAGCATGAAAAGTCTAGTCTTATGAAGATGTTGACTAACTTCTGGGCTGAAAGATCTGCCAGTGGCTGGACTCAACTTGAGTATCCCATCAATGCCGGCGAACATATTTTCGTCGATTCCGATGTCATCATTAGAGAGGATGAACCAAGTTCGCTGATAGCTTTCACCCTATCATCGGAACATTATCGAGCTAAGTTGAATGATCTTCGACAACAAGGCCCAGTCTGTGCTAAACCTGAAGAGCATGATTCTATGCCCACAAGTGATACACCAGATTTGTGTGAAGATGGTATCAATCAAGCAGAAGTCGAAACCTCATTGCTGCGTGCCACTGGTACTCATCTCGCGTACTCTTTTGTCGATTCCTCGGCAAGGATGCAGTGCAAAATTTTCTTTGCAGAACAGTTTGACGCTGTGCGGAGGAAGTGCGGGGTGGCAGATCGAATCGTAGAATCATTATCGCGATGCTTGAAATGGGATTCCAAAGGTGGAAAAACAAAATCCGTCTTCTTAAAAACACTTGATGACAGGTTGGTTCTCAAGCAACTTTCACCCATTGAAACGCAGGCATTTCTCAAATTTGCACCAGCCTACTTCAACATTATCTCCGAGGCCTTGTTTCATGAGCTGCCTACTGCCATTGCCAAAATGCTTGGCTTCTTTCAGATTGTCATAAAAAATCCGGCTACAGGGACCGAGATTAAGTGGGATGTGTTGGTAATGGAGAATCTATTCTACGATCGTTCGCCTACCCGCATTTTTGACCTCAAGGGATCTATGCGAAACCGAAAAATTCAGTCTACAGGAGAACAAAACGAGGTGCTTTTAGATGAGAATATGGTTGAATTCATCTATGAGTCTCCTTTATTTGCACGTGAGGTGAGTGAAACGAGACGAAGTGCAAATTTCACATCACTAATTTATATACAGCACTCTAAGAAACTTCTTCGATCTGCTATTTTCAATGATACGCTTTTCTTGCAACGAAATGATGTGATGGACTATTCGCTAATGGTAGCTGTTGATGAGGTGAGTGTTTCTAAATTATGTGCTGTTTGCTATCAATTATTAACATGACAAAGGCGCGAAAGGAACTTGTTGTCGGAATCATCGATGTGGTCCGTACTTATACCTGGGACAAGAAATTAGAATCATGGATCAAAGGTACTATTCCCTCCAAAAGTAGCAATTGGTCATTTCATGTTAACCGAAATCTTTAGATCGTGGCTTCGCTGGTGGTGGCCGCAATCGTCCTACCGTCACTTCACCGAAGGTTTGCTCCATTTTCCCTTTCCACCACCAAACGCCTCAGTCTGACGTGTAAACAGGAATACAAAAGCCGTTTCAGAGAAGCAATGAATAGATATATTCTTCAAGGTAGCCATAATCTCTGCACCATACTAAACGTACCTATACTAATTAAACTACTAAACAGCGCCCAATAGTTGGCACCAACCTCTAGATGGACGGCCGAGAGGGGATTCAAGACAGATAGTGCAGGAGGCGAGAACACCGGTTTTATGATAGATCCAACACTATGATGATAGATGGATGATATGCAGCGGGAATTTACTATGACAAGGTGTAATGGTGTCCATAAATGTTGCTAGATGCGTAGACAATTCGCTGCATGAAGGCGAAGAGTTTCGAGGGAGATGCTATGCATGACGTGTACTTATCACATGTAGATGGATACACATGCTATTCGCTTGAAGCATGTAAAAGACTTAGGGTCCGCAGCGAATACGCAGTTCTATCGATCGCTGTGCAAAGGAAGTTCGCAGGGTGTTGACGGGCATATTCAGGTGTGGGACATCGAAAGCGTTGTGAAGGGGTATCATTGGCATTAACATTAATTTATTCTATCTACATAAGTTCTTACGTCTTTTGACCTCTCTTCTTTGATTGCTGTTTCCGCCTCGAGGTATTTGAGTCTTTTGAAAGTTGTTTCTGAAGTTGCTCGTTGGCAGCTTCGGCATTGTCTTCCTCTGCAGGTTCATCAGCATCGTCAGCCTCACTTTCCTCGTCGGACTCTATGCCGAAAGCTTTATCAATGGTTTCAGCATCAGCGACATCGTCTAACTCAACGCCACCATCTTCGTTATCGCTATCAAAGCCTTCGAATCTGCAAAGAATATTAGTTTCAGTCTGCACGTCAAGGTTTTCTTTGGGAACTTACGAATCATCTTCATCAGCCGCGATCGTTGACGCAATATCTCCAACAAAAGTGTCAGCTACTGATTCACCAGCTTCATCCCGCTTTCTCTTCCGTGGCATTTCGCCCAGTCTACCCTCACGACCTTCAACCCCGGTTTCTTCTGGGCCTTCGAGTTTGGGAGGTGGTGTAAACCACGGAATTTTTCCTCTCAAAAAGTCATTGAGGACCATCTTGGCTACACCATCAACATCAGGTTCGCCCCCATGCAATAATCTTCCGCCCTTTCTTGCGAGCAGCTCTAAGAATTCAATGTGGTTTTTGTATCCTTTAAGAGCATATGTTCTTTCAATGTGCTGGGGTTTAGTTTTACTCAAAACTGCAGGAATATATTGTTCTGGGTGTTCAACGTTTTCTACTCTGACTACACCTCGTAGTAGAATATCTTGTGGGGTATCGGTAGTACTTGGAGGAACTACTCCAGGACAATCAATGAGGTAAATACGTTTCATAAGTGTGATGTACTGCCAAACTTTTGTTTCTCCTGGTATTGGAGCTACTGTGCAGACTTTCTTCTTTCGTAATGTGTTTATGATTGATGATTTGCCAGTATTTGGATATCCAATGAAACCAACTGATATTTGTTTGCGGTCAGAATGGAGGGAGGAGAATTGGCGGAGGAGTTGGATGAGGGATCCCTTTCCGAAGGAATTTGTTATCGACGCGTGGAAGGCAAGTGTTGGATAATCTTTGGAAAGCGATCGCACCCAGGCAGCCTGCAGTATAATTAGCATTTGCCATTAAACTATATTGCTTGTGAAAAAAAGATATTTTGTGAATTGGTGAGATGTATGAATCATTACTAAGAAAACCACCACAAGCCACTAGCTAAAGAGGAAGTGGACTTCAACTCAAACGAAACATTATCAAACTCTTTGCGACAGACTCTCCAAGACGGTGAGCTGCCTACTCAAGACCCGAGGGCCAAGAGCGGCGAGAATGAACTCAATCTACCAAAGTTGTAACAGACTTCCTTCCATTGTGAGGAGCACATAATGCAGAAGGTGCCTTGACTTAACGATGGAGCGGAGATGAAGCAGGAAATGGGTGAAAGGGAATAGAAAAATGAAAGTCGTTTAAACTTACGGCAACCCCGGTAGGAACAAGATCGCACTTATTGAGTACGAATATCAGATGTTTATGTGGTGCTTCATCCTTGATGTACTTTTCGACAGTCCGACAACGGGTACCCAGAGGATCCCTGGCGTCCAAAACATGTATGACCACATCTGAAGAATCAATAACCTTATAAAGCTCATTCCATATACGTTTGCTTTGACCTTTGCTGAAAATTGCTTCACGGGCACTGGTAATATGGCCATCGTCGATTGCAGCAGCTTCTCCAACGGCTTCAGGGTCGTTTGAAGTTCCACTCAGAAGCTTTGCTTGTTCGAGGCGATCCAAATATGTATCATGGCTTTTCACGCTGTCGTCGGCAAGATCTTCTAAAGAACTGACACCAAGCTTCACCCTCTTTCGTTGTGCTTTTGGACCAAAAGTATCACTGAATGGAGCCGCCTCGACCGCCATCTTGGCTTGATGTTGCTTCAATCCATTTTTTCCTTGGCCATCGCGAATCAGTGACATTGGCAATTTGTTAGTCTTTAGCAAAACCGAGTAAGGATCACTCGCTCGCTCAGCCATGGCTTCTCGGAAAGAATTCAAGGCATCTTGACCAATGACTCTTGAGTTTGTAAACCATTTCCTGTTGGGCTCAATTCGTGCGGGCTTTGTTTCTCTACTCTGAAAGGTTGCAGCTTGAATAACCTTTCCTGCGGCATTGTGTCGAGCTTTGCCTTCATTGAACATATTTAAGGTCTTGGCTTGCTTCGCAGTGCTGCGAATTAGTCAGTTTTATGGCCTCAATGGAGTGATAACAGCAGGGACATACCGATAGAAGTTCTCGCCCTTGGTCTTAACATTGGCCATGCCATCTCCTACTTTCCCTTGCTTGACCTTTCTGGTCGCTTCTTTCTTACCGGTACCCATTTTGATGATTGTTGCGCAGAGCGCTGTGAAATTCTTGGGTTGATAAAAAAAAATATATGAAGAGGAGAGGAGAATTGTCGAAGCTCAAAAAAAAGTTTTAGAGATTTTTGGGGTCTGTGGCTAATGTGCGTCGCGCTAAAGTGTGGCTTGTGCACTAGCTCCAAGCATATTTCCGCTAACCAAAGATATTTTATCAACTTCAATTATGAGGTGAGGACGGCAAGTTCATTTGCTAGCATGACCACGGGATAGCAAACCCAATATCTCCGCAATCTCCTCTTCTCCGAAAATTCAATATTCATCGTTATCGTTCAATACAGTATTGGCCAAACACAATGTCATCAAACGTGTCGAAAAGTTCTTTGGGCTTCATTGGAAGATGCAGGCAAACTCAATCAACTGCGATCTCATCTCGAAATTTCTCCACTACCGCATCATGCAGCGCCATCGGTCCTGAAAACCCTAGATTCATCGAAATTCCTACCACTCAGCAGCCAGACGCGCGAGGGCGCCGGGATATTAAGGGAACTTTACCACCTCCACGAAACCTTTTCCCCAATCGAGGGCCCAACAAGATTTCCAAAAAGTACCTGGATTCCGTGACTCGCCAGCCGGTGAGCCCTCCCAATAACCCGAATGATTGGGTTGCATGGAAGCATAGACTAGCAAGCCAGCGACGTGAAAACTTGAAGGAAGCTTTGGTGAATCTTCACAAGAGAAAATTGACCCAGGAGCGCATAGTCGCACACAAGAGTTACAAGAAACGAATGGAGAACGAAAAAAGGTTAAAGGCGCCCCAGCGGGAGGATGAAAGGCTGATGAACCCCACAATCACGGAAGCTATGTCGAAATTGCAAGTAGGCTTTGTTCCAGATCCAGAGAGAGAGAGTGAGCTAGCACAGAAGGCATTGAGGGTGCAGATGAAGGAAGCCGAAAGGGAGGAACAGAGGAAGAATGCTTTGCATACACTGTATATGAAGGCTAGGTCATTCATCACAACAGAGGAGCAGTTAAACGCCAAGATTGATGAGATATTCACGTTTCCTTTCGACAGGAACGCGCCGGACAAGAGAAGTATCTGGGAGGTATCCAATAAACCACCTACTGTCCAGGATATGCTTGCAGGCGTCAATAATGCGCAAAAGACTACCGTGGAAACATGGAAACATCCTGCTGTTATCACTGGAGATAGAATGCAGCTTATAGCGGAGGAATTGACAGGTGGAAAGATGGACTTTTGATGACCTCTATTTAGGTACATATCTTGTATCATAATAAATATTTGGGATGCATCCATGGCGCTCGTTTACACAGCATTTTGCCATAAATCATGTCCGTCACGTCAATTGCATGTCAGCACCTCACGATCAGAGTCTATTAATTGTTAGCGACATTTTGTGATCTCAATGTCAATCAATATCGTTCGCTAATGAAAAGAGCTCTGCTGCATACTTCAGAATACTTGGAATAGGCCCCTCACAGCAGATGTTATCTAGATGCAACCGTAACAATGCAAAGAGTGTTAGATCTTCCACGAAAATCATAGCTCCATTGAAGAGCAATTGTTTTTTTCTGTGAGAGACAGCCCTTGAAAGTTAAAACATAGCCATTCAATCAAGTGTGCACTAGCAGTACATTGGTAATTATAGAATTTAAAAAAAGTAGAATCTCAAATCTAGTAAGGAAGGATTGACTCAAACAAGTCGACATCTGTCACTTTGTAATTTGATGCAGAAACATGCTCCCACTCGCTTAATCTAAATTTTCAACCCCCCTCTTCATGTGCCTACCTAAAACAGGCATACAATACAACGACGAACACCACATGCAGCTCTCGGAAATCCTTAATTGCGCTATAGACGACGGCTGCAGCCTCCTAAATACCTTAATAACATTCTCTGACTCACAACTTCAGAGTTGCTTTACGGTTTCGACTATTCACCTAGACTCTGCTTCAAAATGGTATCATTATTACCCGTTCAGTAGATCCGAGTTAGCCAGATGTAAATATCCTGTCATGATTATAGCAAATCACATGGATGTTTTGCTAAGACTAGCAAGAACACAGTAACTGTAGAAGAGGTTTAGCTTCCAATAATAATATTGTTAAGGATTTTCATTTGCGGGAGAAGTAGCGAAAGTAAAGAATGAGAGGTTGGATTCGGTTTGTTTGAAGAGGTCAATTGTATATGCCAAAGTGGAATTGATATGGGATTGAGAGTGTCTGGCGATAAGCCAGAGACAGTAATATTCGAGAAAGGAGAGAGAGATTTTGAGTTTCACTGAGATTGAATGCGGCGGGTGGCATTTAGCTCAACATGAACCCCCCCTAAACTCAGGTGGTCAACGGATTGTCTAATTTTAGCTGTAATTATAGAAATCAAACTGGTAGAACGGAGACTAGAGCCATTTCATATTCTTTGAGTATGTCATTAGATTCAGTCAAGTAAAATGGTAATTTCGTGAGGAAAGAGATATTAATTCAGGAATCAGGATACCTAGAATAGATATATATCACCGAGTTACAATTTACATAGTGGTAAATCAATCAATATTTATGAGACTCGGTAAATAAAGAGTTGGGAATTGGTTGTCTTTGAGGGGCTCACTTGCCAGTTGACCCCCACTATAAGTATGCATGCTTGTATGCTTGTAACCTATGCTTGCAAGATTTGAAAGGATCTCGACCTCGAAAAGCTCCAGTGCAATTGGTTTACCGAACAAAAGTTTGCGTGTGATTGATACGAACTATGGTGGAGAACTGACTGGATCTATTTCCCCTGGATGGATTGATTAGATGAAATCTCCAAACTCTCCAAGCTCCAAAACTATTTGTCTTGGGGCAACATTACCTCATGTTAAAACAATTAGATTGATATTGAGTCAATGAAACCTTTATACAAGAATCTTGTTGATGAATATGACATACATTACCATCGGAAATATTTCCAATGGCCATTCATGAGATATCGTAAGCAATACTCCCTACAAAAAGGGATTGAGGTAGGTAGGTAAGGTTCCACTGTTGCTTGCAGCTAAATCTGCCAATCTCACCCATAAATATACACAGGTGGTGCTCGACAAGGATTACCGTGAACAGCAGAAGAAATAGTTCATCCAATGAAATCAAAATATGATGGGAATTTCGGATGAAAGAAGAGACGAGACGCTCTCACTCTCTCTAACCCATTCACCAACTTAATCCTGTGCAGTTTGTATATACAATCTCATTCAATTCAAGTGATGTTCGTGAGAATATCTTCTCCTGATTCAGTATTCAGTATCACAGTCCGGCCTTATATTATCCCATTATACCACTCAACAATCTGATATTGAATATCATATCGAGAACCCGAGGATCGAGGCCTCTTTCAAATCAACCTTATCAGCGCGATTAAAAAACACGCAATTGCCGCCCACGACCCCAGCCTACCGATCTCTACAAAGGAAAAAATAATCCATCAGATGTCAATCTAAAATTCAATGAGGTGACCAATCTTCCACGAAGAGCTTTGGTATCGCGCCTGGAGAATATCTTTCGAGTGATAGTCAGCATTGTTCTACGATGCACCTTGTCCGTGGGCTGTCAAGGCGGCAGGATGGCCTGTCTACTAATGGAACTTCGTCCACAACATCGTCTTTAGATCATTCTGCCACTTCCACTGCCAATTCTTCTACGGATCCGTCATCGCAACAACCTCCATCTGACTCTGATACCAAACCAGCATATCTTATTGTATGTGTCCTGGCATCTGTTACTTGTAATAATGTGCGATTTCAAAGGTTACTTCTAACAGTCATCTATGTAGGCAATCATAAGCACAATAGTCGGACTTTTAGTATTGCTATTTGCAATTTATATGATTCGTCGAACTAGAATTAAGCACAAAAACCCCAAATATATACCAACAGTATTTTTGAAAAAGAAATGGGAGAATTGGGATCCACAAGCTCATCAATATCAATTGCCAGACCAGAACGATCCTCATGAATATACAGGAGCAGCCGGTGTAGGGAGAAGTTTATCCAATCGCCCGTCTTCATCGTTTAATAATGCAGCCCGAAATGCTGACGGAAGTGCCGCCGACATTAGCGCTGGAGGAGTTGATAGAAATGCTTCGATTCGCTCGGTAATGACTTTGCCAGCTTATAATATGACACCGGGACAAAATGAGCAGGTGTTAGGGAGGGAAGGGGATCGAGGGGGCATCGATGTCGTTGTAGCATTTCCGGAAACTATTGATGAAGAAGAATCACAGCGAGAGGCAGAGATGGAGGCATTGTACCAGGTCCGACTTGCGAGACGACGCGAAAACGAAGAACGGGAAGAGAGGAGGAGATTAAGAAGGGAGGCTAGGGAACGAGGTGATCATGTTGCGCTAAGAGAACTTCAATCTCGACCTGCGAATACTGCCACCGGGCCAACTGTCGATGAGCTGAGAGCAGAACATGATAGGATCAAGCGAGAACGACAACGAGCAGTTTCATCGGTTGCGTATGGCGATTTGGGAGTTGCGAGACATGATGGTACACGATTACGTGCGAATAGTGATGAGAGGTTACGCGCGAATAGTGAGGAGAGTGAACGACAAGGATTACTTCACGATGCAGCAAGCATGGCCGCGAGCAGCAGATATCATCGAAGAGATCGAAGCGCAAGCTCAGTAGTAAGTATTGATACGGTAAACTCGGATCTACCTTCTCCTCCTCAATTTGTAAGATCTCGAACAGATTCCCGAGGAGAAAGTCCACTTCGCCGTTCTAGTGGCCCTGAGGACCTGAATGACAACCATGAGGATAGAGCTGGTAGTAGTCCGGAGATGATAGGTCATGACGATATTCCTTTGAGTAGTCCGCCAGGATATGAAAATGTATCGTTAGATTCACCACAAGCAGAAGCATCAGCCCTACCATATCACATGACGGAACCCCCTCCTGATTATACTAGTCCGATATATGGTAGAGGGGAAGGACCAAGTTTGGAGAGCGCAGGGTCCAGAAGATCACAAAACATGGATGAGCTGATGACGGAAAGAAGGACAAGCACCCGCAGTATAAATTCGGGTCTTTTCCCTCGAGATGAGAGACGGTCATCTACACGATCAACTCGAGGAGTTGGTGGCATCCCGCAATTACCCAGTCTACGATTAGGAACTTTGCCTTCCATACATGTCGATCCGGGAAGTCCGATGGCAATGGAAAGTACAGAGGAGGAAGTTCACAGCCCGCACAGCCAAAACCACACTGGTTAGGCTTTATATATAAGAGGGGAGACGAATTTTTTGATACGAGTAATGAATCTTGAATAATCACATACCTACAAATATTAGGTTGAACCTTGGAATTTTTCCGCACACATACAAATCTTCTTTGATGCATACTATTTATACCTTTTCGCATGCAAGCAATCCCTACTTTCTATACCCACTTTCTTTCGTAATAAATTATTACACATATATTTTTGAGTTTGAGCATGGCGCTTTTGAAGGGCTTTTGGAGCCGATTGCCTGTTTTTTTATGAGAGAGAGAGAGTTTACTTTCAGCTTAAGTCATTGTTTGGATAGGTGTTGAACGCGATTTAATGCAAAACATACCAACCTACCTACCTATTGTATATAAAACAAGCAAATAACAAGCGAATCGGATGTCGGATGAAATGGGCGGAGTAGTTTCATTTGGAGTGGAGGAGTTTAAGTTTGGATTGGAGTCTTTCGGAGATTGGATTGCATTGGGTTGGATAGGATGGATATGTATGGATGGATATGTATGGATGGATGGATGGATGGATGGATGGTAGGAGAGATGAATGAGTTTGCTTCTTATTACAGACTAAGTACTGGTGGAATTCTTTTATACTCGGGTATTCACCTTGTCGAGTCGCTTATTTGTTTGATTGTTAGGTATTGTTAGTTAGGTAGTTCAGTGAAGTGTTAATATTATGGTCATGTTATATTTTGTATGGATTCTTTCTTTCTTTCTACCTAGGTAGATAGGTAGATGGATGTCTTACCTATCTATCTATCTCTTTCATAAAAATTATCAGAGTATAATTAGTATAATTAGTATAATTTTTGAGACTTAAGAAGGAGATAAAGATGAAATAAATAAATAAGTATCTTACAAACCTTCCAAGTGTTTTCGAGATTGTGCTTCTTGCTTGGACTTGTAAGATCTTAGGATTACTATTACTATTAGTTAGGTATCTAGATATAAGTTATAATCTATATCCCTATCAATAAGTTCTAATCTAAAGAATCTGATTCCTTTGAATATTAAATCTTTATAGTCTTCGGCTTCTCTTCTCTGAAAGTATCTTATATAGATTATCGAATCATTTTTTTAAATTTTTTTTGATTACTTTTAGTGTCACACTCAAGAATACTGGGTAAAGTATCTTGTATTAGAAAATACTAAGCTAAGGAGAAAAGAAGAAGGAAAACAAGAGTAGCGAGTTTTCTGTTACGAGGTTTGCCGTCTAGATCACGTGGAAGTGCTCTAGGCTCTCGAGGTGGTTTATAACTAGGCGTCAAGCAGGGACTTAAGTAATGACAATAATGAAATGCAATTCGTAACTAATAGTAGGATATACTAAATGATTGATCTTGAGCACGAAGCTCTATACAAAGGAAATCCATCTTGATTATATAGTCCTTCATGCTTCCATGATTACTAGTGATCCTTCATGATCATTAGTGATCATCTATATCGTGATCCTTAGTGATCCTTAATGATCACCAGTGATCACCTATACCGTGATCCTTAGTGATCCTTAATGATCATCAGTGATCACCTATACCGTGATCCTTAGTGATCCTTAATGATCACTATTGATCATTTGTGATCACGTGTCTTGGTAGTTGTGTAGCCCGTCGTAACATTTTCCTATGATTAAATACAAACGGGGCATGCCACGTGACCCGGAGGTGTGAGGCGTCACATTTAGTGTTTTGATATTTTTGATATTTTTGATATTTTTGATTTTGATTTTATTTTTTATGTCAAAATATTATATATGAATATCCACAAATTTCAAAACTAAATTAAATATTTAAGATTTTTAGAGATTGTTTTTGTGACGCCTCACACCTCCGGGTCACGTGGCATGCCCCGTTTGTATTTAATCATAGGAAAACTCTCTACTCTTGTTTTCCTTCTTCTTTTCTCCTTAGCTTAGTATTTTCTAATACAAGATATTTTACCCAGTATTCTTGAGTGTGACAGTTTTATTTTCTTTAATATTTAATATTTTGTTTTTTTATTTATATAATTTATAGATTTAAATAATAAATCAATCAAAAATATATTAATATATCATTTCAATATCAAAATCCTTTTAACAATTTAAAATTTCTAAATAACATTTAATACAATTTGCTAAAACTTGACTTCTGATCTCATTTTTATTCAAGACAATATTAATAATAACGTTACCCAACCAGGTTTTACTTTAAAATCACACTGAGTCAGAAAAATGAAAATGAAACTACCCGAAACCATTAATTACGGAATTTCATTGCCCATTGTACCGGAGAAATATGACTCACGCTTTCACACTCTTGTTAAAAAAAAAATCAACTAATTTGCCAATATTAATATTTTCATTTCTCAAATTGATATCGCAGGATACTGCGCTATAACCCATCCACCCCACGTAAAATGTCTGCTATTAACAAAGCTGAAGCTACTACAATCGCAACGAATGCAAAAACACCGGCTAATGCATAATACTCCCAAATCAAGCAACCCATAGAACTCTCCCCACACATCATGTCTTTGCAAGTGACCTCTCTAATTAGAATTCAAAGCAGCCATCATTTCCGCGTTGATCCTGGCAATTTCTGCCCTGGCGGCAGCATCCTCAGGATCCTCATCATCTTCTGGCATGGCTGCAATGACTGGTGAGATTGGTGCAATAACCTTTTGTGCTTCCTCGGTTGAAGGCACAACTTCTGTAGTCTCCTCCTTCTCTGCCTCAGGTTCTTCAACTACTTCTTTAGCTGCTTCCTCAACTACTTCCTCAGCTGGCTCTGCAGCTTCCTCCTTGACTGGCGATTCTGGGGTTGCATCAACTACTGCAGGCTCTGAAACCTCGACTTCCTTCTTTGGTTCTTCGACGAGGACCTCTGTTTGAGCGACAGGGGTTTCAATTTTCTCTTCTGTCTCAACGGCTGGAGCAACAGTAGCTTTTGCTTCTTCCACTGCCTCTTCCTGTACTGACTCAACCTCGATCTCCTTGGTATCCTCATTTGTTGCATCTCCAGCTGATGGAACAACTGATTCCGTGGAAATAACTTCTGCCTTTGGTGCTTTTACTACCTTGGTTTCTTCCGGCTTAGCTACGTGCTTTTGCGACTCTGGCGTTGCCTTCTTTGTCGCTGCTTTTGCACCAGTTTTGGCAGCTGGAGCTGATGACTTTGTGACGGCTGCCTTAGTTGTGGTAGGTCTGGTTACCTTCTGGATTGCATGAGACGCGGCCTTGGTATCATTAACCTTGGAGTGACCAAGACTGCTAGATGGTCGCTTTATCGAAAGTGATCGCTTTGGTGGTGGAGGGGATTTATCGCTTGATTTGGAGGCAGAAGAAGCCGTAGGTCTCATCATACGAGACAAAAATCCATCATCAGCCAATGGCGCTGATGCAGGTGGGTTTCCTGCTGCATTCTTCTTTTGTGAGGTCGAAGGTGGCCCAAGCGATGGTCTAGTAGTTCCTATCTTCAATTGAGTAGCACTCCGTGAGACGGGTGGATGCGATGCCTTTGGCGCGGTGCTAGCACGACTTTGCGATCGTGGTGCACTTTCACTCTTAATGGCTCCAGATGCACGACTCTGAGTTTGTCGGACAGGAGGTGTCGAGGTAGAGCCTTTCGAGCCCGAAGAAGCTGTTGGAGCTAGGAGAGAAGCTGGGAGCTGCACTGGTCTTGTAGGTGACTTGGCTTTGGTCTTACTAGCTCCACCTTGTGGTGGCGATGGTGGGACCCTGGTCTTGACAGCTGGTCGACTGGCAGACCTTGGTTTACTTGAAGCTCGCGCGCCACTTGAGGCGGCTAGTGAAGTGCTGCTGGTCTTCTTGCCCGGTTTCTTCTCGGGTGTCTTGGCTGGAAGAGAAGCTTTCTTCTCTGGCGTTTTGATCTTTTGGAGCTTTCCATCCTTTGGAGAGCTTGCCGTGGGTGTTGTTGGAGTCTTTGGAACTGACTTTAAAGATTTGGTGGGGGATGTTGTTCTTGGGGAGGGCTTTGGATTTGTGGATGATTTGGCTGTAGATATAGGTGCAGGTCGCGTGGCAGGCTTTGTCTTTGTAGCTTTATCTGAAGCCTTTACGAGGTCTTTGGTCGCGGTGACTGCTCTTGATGTCGGGCTTTTGCCTGCTCCGACTGCAGAACTGCTTGCATCCGATACTTTTGACGCCTCCTCAGATTTCTTTGGGTTTTCCTTAATCTCTGCTGGCTTCGCCAATTCCCGACCACGTTCAGGTATTGGTCCTTTGATGGGTTCCGGATCTCCAATTTGTTTGTTGACTTCAAGAGCAGGAGTTTCTGCCAAGGCAGACTCGGGAATAGGTTCATCAACCATAGTATTGGCCTTTCTTGCCTCGAACTCTTGTGAAATTGACTCTTTTCTTTCTGCAGTTGCCTGGGGATTACTTTGTTCATCCAAACTAAAACTTGGCCTCCGCTTTGCCATACTGCTAGCGCCCGCCGGGTTGGATTCACTACTGCTATCTTGTCGCTTGAGACCAAGTTGTATTGCCTGGCCAGCTTGCTGTGCGGTTCGTTCAACAGTTACAAAATTCGTTCTGACTTTCGATAGTGGCCTTGGGGGTGTTGTGCTAGTTCCTGGTGAAAACACTAAAGGAGAATTAGTACATAAGCTCCCGACGTAGGACAAAATACTTACATATAGCATCTCCTGGGGAACATCCTTTTTCGGGGGGTGATACTGATGCTTCCTTGTTGTTCTGCTCGAACATCGCACGAAGGTTTTTGATATTAGACATGTTGGCAGGTTTTATAGAGCCGGTGGCTCTTGAACTTGTACTTGAAAAGTTAAATCAATATAAGCCCAGGCGGAAAGAGCTACCGGATGAGCTCCAGTATGAAGTAATTGACACTTACTTGTTGCAGTGATCTGCCGAATATGTGGAAGGAACGTTATCCAATTGCGTCCTCCCTAAACTTAAGATGAGAAAAGGAGGCACTGGATTGTGTGAGTATTGAATCTCAGCTGGTCAAGTGGTGAATCGAATGAGGCATTGAGGGCCAGCGATTACATCTGCCGTACTCTGGTACTTGTACTGTTCAAGAGAATGATTGATTAAGAAGAAGAAGAAGCCACAGTAACACGCAACACGACACGAGTTTCGGAGTAGTAATGGTGTGGTGGTGTAGAGAGTAAACAAACGCAAATGCAGTATTATTCGAAGAAAGTTAGATGAAGCAGTCTGTTCCCAAAATATGGAGAGAAGTTAAAGGGTTTTTGAAATAAACGGTCCTACACTCAATGTCTCGAATAAATATCACAAGGTCTTATTATGCAGGGGTTAGATATGGGACTCTTTTCTCTTCAATAATTCCAATTCAAATGACTTGTAATTCCGGTGATGGGGGGGGAAATAGGGGTGTTTTGATGGATGCTAGTATTTTTTTATGTACAAGGCATTAAAGGGCATAAAACAATAAAACAACTTAATAAGTCAAGGCTGTTTTGTTCGCGTTAATATTTTTTTAATTTCCCTCGGACAGTCGGCCATAGCATATCGATACCCAGTTACAATCAGTTACAGTCAGTTACTAGGTACTTACTGTACTCACTCTTCTGTAGTTCTTTAGCTTGGACCTCTTTCTCATTGGGCTTTGAAGCGAAGTGAAACATTCCATGAATGGGTTCGGAGTGGTTCGAGAAAATAAAATGGCATGGATGGATGGATGGATGGATGGATGTGTGGATGGGTATGAGTGGGAGAGGGTGTTGGAATAGAAATTAGGAAAAGGGAAATTCAGACTTCGTACAATACATTGATTACTAGGTAGTACTAGGTGGTACTAGGTAGTATTATTTGAATCTGAACCTGAAATGTGAGTCTGAATCGGAATCCGAGATCTGAATCGGAATCTGGAAATGGAAATAGAAGAGCAGAAGAGTGACTGATAATCCAAAGACTCTAGTCATGTAGGGTGTGCAATTATAATCTGGACGATAGTCGAAAAACTTATTTAAGATGCGACATTTTATCATCCGAGCAATTGATTAGAGAGAAAAGCGCAAATGAGATAGTCCAGGAACCTACCGAATGCATGCATTGCGCAAATAGGTGTGACATTAGACGACAGAAGGTTAATCCGGGAGTGTAAATATCCGAAAACACATTCAGACAATTGAGACAAGAAAATAATAATAATAATAATTGGAGACCGATCTCGCAACAGACTCGAACTTTTGAAATATCCCACCAGCACAATTCAAAGTTTGGTCAAAGCAAACAAAGTCAACAAAGTCAACAATCATGGCTTCCAGAACTTTGAGGATAGGTGAGAAACATATTCCATGACTTCTATGATATGACCAATTGACTTGCCAAAAACAAGAACAAAAACTAATTTGTTTCTGATTCATTAAGGTCTCATTCCTGGTGATGGAATCGGCAAAGAAGTTATACCAGCTGGCAGAAGAATTCTTGAAGCTTTACCTGCTTCCCTCAAATTGAAATTTGAGTTTGTTGATTTGAAGGCTGGTTTTCAAACTTTCGAAGAAACTGGAGCCGCTCTGCCAGATAAGACCGTCGAGATTCTCAAAACTGAATGTGATGGAGCTCTCTTTGGTGCCGTCAGTTCCCCGTCGAAGGCTGTGAAAGGCTATTCCTCCCCAATTGTTGCACTCCGCAAACGTCTCGACCTCTACGCAAATGTACGACCCGTCAAAAGTGTCATGACAGCTACTAACCCAATTGATATGGTCATCGTGCGAGAGAATACCGAGGATCTTTACGTCAAGGAGGAAAGAACATATGATGCTGCCGATGGAAGTGGAAAGGTCGCAGAAGCAATCAAGAGAATCTCCGAGAGAGCTTCATCTCGCATTGCTACAATGGCTGGAGATATCGCATTGCGCAGACAGAAGCTTAGAGATGGTGGGGTTGCAAGCATACACAAATCACCATTGGTCACCATTACACACAAGTCTAATGTTCTGAGTCAAACGGATGGTCTTTTCCGATCTACCGCTAGAGAAGCATTAGCCCTCCCGAAGTTTTCTAGCGTTGGTGTAGAAGAGCAAATAGTTGATTCTATGGTTTACAAGCTTTTCCGCCAACCCGAGACCTACGACGTCATCGTGGCACCAAATCTTTATGGAGATATCTTGTCTGATGGAGCTGCTGCTCTTGTTGGCTCCTTGGGTCTCGTTCCAAGTGCCAACGTTGGTGAAGGATTTGCTATTGGTGAGCCATGCCATGGTAGTGCTCCAGATATTATGGGTCAGAACATTGCAAACCCGATTGCGACTCTTCGTAGCGTTGCTCTCATGTTGGAATTCCTTGAGGAGGAGGCCGCCGCTGCTAAGATCTATGCTGCTGTAGATGGTAATTTGGAGGAAGGCAAATTGCTCAGCCCTGACCTTGGTGGTAAAGCTACGACAACAGAGGTTGTTGAGGACATTCTTAGACGCTTGTAAATCGGTTTTCATTCTTTTTTAGAATTGTTTCTCCTCGAAAGGTTCGAGGCTGTCTATCTGGAAATGAACTCCCCCTCTGAGAAGGTATCTGAAGTCCTCTTCTGAGGAGGTATCTGGTTAGACAAATCCTGGACAAGGAGCTATGAGCTAAAATAATAACCCTTATCGTCTATCTGATCACCGCATCAATGCCACAACTTGACGTGTTCTGCCTTCCAGATATCCCTGCCTGTTTTTCCTTTCAATCTTTTTAACGAAAGACTCGTCGCCCTGTTCCTCCTATAACTTCTTCCACTTGCAATCATTCCCCTAATCTCCTCCTGCCTTTGTACTTGGCTCGGATTGGTATAAACCGACTGACTTTCCTGGTGATCCTCTACTTGCTCAGGGAAGTTTCAACCAGATTCCCGACCGAGTGCAGCTCCAAGTCTTCCACGGAGTTCCGCCAGGATGACGATATATTCGTCTTGGTAGAATGAGTCTCTCGATTTCTTCTCGCCCGAGTGGACGATCAGAGATATCGAGCAAGGAGCGGCACGTTCTTGCTTGATGCGAGCGTTTCCATTTTGATGCCTTAAAGCTGGAGGGCTCAATGGAGGTGTCAAGGGAACTGAGCGGGGAATAACCCTCGGGATTTTACACAGACGCTCGGGTCGGCTTCTGTTGCCGAAAAGATGTTGATGCTTTCCGATTCTGGTGCTGCTTGAGAGTGGGATGAACATGTTCCATTCTGCCAGCTTTGTCTTGTATGCTGATATTCTATCGACTGTCAGTATATGTTCGGATCGTAAAAGATTTCTTTTACTCACGATTCACTGAAGCCGTATTTCTTTCTCATGATTTCCTGAATTGCAGATATGGTCAAATGTTCCGAGAAGAACAAACGCCTAATCTCGGTTTTGTAATGTTCGAATGTGTTCTGCATGTTTGCGGATGACATACTATAAGCTGCAAGTTTTGTATCTTTGATTTTTTGAATTTTTTGTTCATTTCGAAGAGCAGGTAGAGATATATATCTGCCCTGATCTCACCAGCGGTCAAAACTACCTGTCCACAGTGTGTCTGGTAGATGTGATATTGTTTAATTGATAGGTTCAATTGGGTTAGTGGGGAAGCGCGTTCATGATTTCCAGGGGTATCATACATGACGTGCATGAAAACATGGCAATTGAAGATTACTGGAGTCCATTGCTAAAAAGCTCGAGGGGTAACCGCCTCCAGTCAGCGGCTAGAATTTCTTCAGTCAACATGCTGCAGTAAATAATGGCACCCAATTGAAATGATTCATCCAATTGTGCATGATGCATACTGGACAATGAAAACATTTCTATGCGCTGAAGTATCAATTGGCGCTCAATAAGGGAATGTGGAAGTTTGGTGATAGTAAATATTGGATTTTATGGGGTTGTGAACACGGAGTGCTGGCCCCACGAAGATAAGAAATTATAGGCACCATACAGTGAAAATTCAAGCTGCTTGTAAATCTATCCACTTCAGTGATGGAGTATATGCATTCCTTCGAAATATTTTCTCATCACATGTTGCTCATGTTGATCCGCCGGCACTTGTGCAGCGTAGCATGGTCGGGAAATATCTAAATCTTAAGCATGATACGGAACCGTCCCTTCGGCGTCGCGCTCTTGGCCAAATTCCCAGAGATCAGCATTTTACAGGCCGAAATTCGATGCAACACCCTCAAATCGAATAGACAGTTAGCTCATCAGTTACTATTACGACCACCACTTTCGGCGCTATGTAGCTAAAATAAATGAATTTTTTGGTCGTCCACCTCATCACCCCATCATTCGCTCTTTGTAGCGCTTTGGACCAAGTGAAGAATCAACGGGGCGATCCGTTTTTATTTTCCAATTGGCGATGATTTTCCAAACCTAGACGTCGATCGCATTTTCGAAATCTTCAGTGGCTTCCGGAACAGTGGAATTGAAGCTTCGAGGGGTCAAGTAACTTTCTTCATGAAGAATACTTTGGGCGTCGCGCTCTGGGGAAAGTATGATTGATTTGTTATGAAAAGCGCTTGCCTTATTTTTATTTTTCTACTCGACAAATCATTTGTGGCAGAGATGGGTTCATCGAAAACAAATTATGCTTGGTAAGCGCTAATACGACGCTGGTGCTTCGGCGCTAAGGATAAAGTTACCCCGCTATGTCCACCGTCTAGCATTCGATATGAACGTATTGGAGATGGAATCAATTTTGTCTTCTGCATTTACTTCATATTTCGATAAGAATAGGTTTTCATGCAGAATTTTGAGCGGTCGAGAGTATCGGGGTTTTCCTTACCACCGTGACTGCTCCGACTGCTTCACTCTTGGTTTTAGAGTCTTGACTGTTTTCTTGATCTCTCGGTGAATCTGTCGCTTTGCAAGGATTGGAGTCAAGCCACACCGAATACCGTTTTGTACAGTATGTGTTTGTGGCTGGCCTGGATACACTGTTGCATTTTGCGGACGGGATGAGTTTTCATCTCTGTTCTTGATCGGTGAAGAAGTACAAGGATGGGGGATTTGCGCCACTCTTGCTCTAGTTGATGCCACTGGTGTGCTTATGAATGATTGGCAATAATGCGACGTTGGATATTGCAAATCTAGAGAATGAGTATCATCTATTTAATACATGGATAGTTATTTACGGTACGATAGACAGACATAGAGTGTGATGATGCAGAGTTGCGTTGCGCTTTGAAATCCCCCGCAGTACTCTGGGCCATTAAGAGCATATCAGTTCAAGTTATTCCATTGGAGCCTCGCCACTCATAAAGACTAATTTATGTTTAGGCATTTTCAGCCTTTTTATTATTCCACTTCTATCAAAGTGGCATTCAGGCCTGACTCAACATTTTGACACCTCTAGAAATGTATTACTTTCCACTTTTATATCATACGATGTTCATGAGAACGCCCCTGTCGCGATACTTGTTTCCAGCTCATTTTTCCAACAACCAATTTATCCTTTCCCCCCCCCCGTTATCTAACTCCGTCTTTTGCCATCCCTAACATGTCAACCAAGCCACTCCCATCCAAAGTTCCCAACAAAATATCACAAGCTCAATCACGTGTGCACAACCACTTTTGAGCAATTATGTTCTCTGAACGATATCTGCTTCCAACTGAGAGACAGACCCAGAATATGACTGCACCTGTAATGCATAGACTGCAAATTGGCCTCCTATACCGTTTAAATCATCTGTCAAATCTGTTACATCTTGTCCGTTGATCTTGTACTCATCACATGTTTCGACACAATGGTGATCATCGTCCGTGGGTAGCATTGTGCTTGCGGGGGCGAGGTATTGGGTTGAGTAGTCTTGGGCTGGTTTATAGGTTTGTTCTGGGACTGGAGCGTATGCTCTGTGTTGGTAGATTCCTGATATTTTGCTTTGGTAAAAGTCGGATGGAATATCTACCCCTAATGAGGAGAAACTCCTTTGCAGGCTTCGAGCCTCCTTCTGTTGAGTTATATGCGCATTATAGGGTTCTTGAAAGAGCTGGGCTTGCTCAATGGTGTGTCGATAGAGGGTTTGCGAGTTGAGGGTTTGTGGATTGTTCTGCGTATTTGATGTTGTGTACACATTTGATTTCAGACAAGTATCGTGTGTTGGAGGACTATTAGTTGATTGAGATGATGGATATTGGTTTTTGATCGTACGAGTTCTGCAGTCTCTGTGTTAGAGTAAAAAGATGATCAAGCCATACCAAGGTCATGTAAGCAAATGCTGGATAAGCTAAATACCTTGCTAGATCACGGCGAAGATCACCTCTATGTGCCGAGTTCTCGAGAGCCATTTTCAAAAAAAAAAACAAAAAAAAAAAACAGAATGACAACTTTAACTAATCTGTTTAAACAGAAAACGCTATGAAAATTCTCGATTGCGAGGAGCTTCCTTCGCATTAAAGTACGTCTTTGACGGAGAGCAATAACATTATGAGGTTTTAAGTACTACTTAATAACAGTCCATACACGAGATCATTTTGCACTCTTTGCACTTTGCAAATGTGAAATGGTTCGCATTTTTGAAAGTGCAATCCGCAAAAATGGCAACAACTTCATATTGCCTAATGAATCGTCACTCGCCACGACATTTGAGTCCAACGTATTCTGTGAGAATAACTCGAAGGATTTTGTCTAAAGGAATCCGGGCGGAACATACCCAGCATGAACCGTGGAGAGATGCACAAAATCAATAAACCTCACACCTCATTAGGATTTGATGATTATCATGAGATGACCTTGGGGCTGGGTACTCAACATCGGGATATGAGGATGACTGCAGTGTGATTATGGATCTATGGAGTAAACCTTCAATCAAAAGCGTCAGGGGTTCAAATGAGCCAATACTGGCTATTTGTTGAATGATTCGCATGTATAGATGTGCGAAATGCTTGTCATCTCGAAAGTGCAATTGCACTTTCGTGACTATCTAGCACTTTCTAGAATATTCCTTTCTGTGAAACAGCTCAAAACCGCCTAATATCAGCACTGCTTTGGGCATGTAATACAGTCAAAGAGCTCCATACCGTGGTGGCGAGGTCAACTGTGTTCGCTTATATCATCATTGGAAACTAGGAGTAACGATACACTTGGCTTGGCAGACTGCGCAGAAACGGAACGCGTCAACAATTGCAAGTAACGGTGGAAATCAATGAATGACACAGAAGCTATTCGCCACTGCTTGACACGAGGCTGAGGCTCCTTTCTCCGATGTTGCTCTCGCTCACTATCATTATGAGGGGACTTACCCGTTCAATACCCAGAAAATCCAGCGCAATGGGAACTCGGATTGATTATTTCTACAGCATCGATATCTTCTACGGATCAAATGAATAAATTGTGGCAATGCCAAAGGATTGGGCAAGTATAAAAGATGAGCTGGAGCAGCTCTACGTTACGGAAGGGCGAACGTTGGAGCAGGTTAGGGAAACTTTGATATCGACCCGTGGATTTGGTGCAAGGTGGGTCGATCACTAATCTTCTTTTTCGGGAGGAATACTAAGTACGGCGCTTCTAGTATTCGCATGTACCGAATGATGCTTCGCGAGTGGGGAATAAAAAAGTATAAATCGAATAACAAATGCGGCAACCCGTGTCCTCGACATCCACGATCCGCTCCGTCTGTTGAGCCGGAAGATTCTGAAACTGCTGAAGATGCTGAAGATACTTTGGAAGATACCGATTTATTACGCCTGTTGAACGATGATCATTCCCAATCTCATAGCTTTATGGAATTATTCATGAACGAAAATGCCACTCAGTCTCTCAACTCGAACAATTCTGCGCATAATACTAATACACCATCATCGTATAATTCTCATTCATTCGAGAAACCTCATGCTGGTTTTAATGACTCTTTCATGCCAGAGAATGCTATGAGGGGTCGGGTTCCAGCAACAACAATTCATTCTCGACCTATGCGGCTTTCAGAGCTATTACCTCTAATACACAATCTATACCCTGTCGAGCATGCCTTCATACCTCTTTTGCGTAAGTGGCAGTCAGATGGGGAATATATGGCGTGTGCCATCTCATGGTTGAACAATCCTGCTCATTGCAAAAATATACTCGGTTCCTCTCCTACTGGAAGCAATCATTTCAAATTAATCGACGAAAATGTTCCTTTCCCAGAGCGCATCACCCTGACCAAAGCGTTCCTTAAAGCTTCAATTGTGCATCACGTTGTCCCGTCACAAAGTATATGGAGTGTTATCTGGGGTTATACTAGATATGTTGATCAATGGAAAACGGTGAAAGACAATCTCCTGGACGCGTCATCCGGATTTATTGAGGAGCCTGGATCGGTATTCCATCTTTGTGCTCTTGCTGTTATGGGCGAGGAATTACTTCAAGGCTATAAAAATCGACTTGAAGCGCTGCTGGCAGATGCGCAATCACTCACGGTCTCGAGAAGTGAGGAGGCAAAAGGTTTATGTCAACAGTACATTGGTACTCTGAAAGATTTTCGCGATCAAGAAGTTGATGTCGATATATCCTATTATAAATACTCGCTAGAGATTCTAGATTGGAATGAAGCTCTGGCAGGGCAGGAAAGGAGTAAGATTGATCGTTTGTTGGGAAAATATAGAAGGCTTGTGGGTTTATTGACTGGGAATTCACCATCCTGGATTGATGGTAGTGTTGATAGGATGATAGAAAATGCGGAGCGGAGATGTCTGGCTGGAAATTCTATGTCGTCGCCGGGACCGTCTCTTGCTCCGGAAATGTTTTAGTTTCCTGTATAGTATAGTGGAAATTGCTATACGTATCTTGGTTATATGAGATATTGTGCAAATAGGGTGGATAAAAGTGGTGAATGAGAATATTGTTTTTCTACATTGGACGGATAATAATTCAAGAATTCCTGGTTTATCGTTATAAAATGCTATTTTCTTTGCTCTTTCCATCTTGTTGAGCATAACTCCAATTTCCCCGCGTTATCATTCGGCCCTGATCAAAGAGCTGCTTGCGCCCTAAAGATAATACTAGTATTTATTTCATGGGGCTATATTTTTCCTCTCTTGTTCCGAGCACTGATTGGCCTTTCGTGCCAATGATGTCATCATCCATGCCTAATTCAGAAATACCTAATTCGACCGAGTTGGGTAATTACATCACTATCCATGTGAGGCTTTACATGTCTGTTCGTAAAAATCATCACCGCACAATTCCTCACCCACTACAACATCTCCGCTGGCTCACGCCTCCTTTCACATCCATGGACCTCAACTCTTTTTGGCATAGTTCCATCTACTTCCGCTCTATATACGTACGTTGGTCTGCTATCGAGGTCTAAGGACGATGGGTTGATTTCTGTGGCTGGAAGTCCCTGCAGTTTGCTTTTTGTTGGTGCTCTTTTCCAGAAAAATAATGCAAGTGCCAGTAATGATACAATACCAGCGGTAGCACCAACAGCTATTCCCGCTTTTACACTAGTTGATAAAAGTTGTCGATTATTTCTTGAGGTATATTGGGAGGTTGATGTTGGTAGGGGTTGGTAGACTGTTGTAATCATGACTGATGTTTGGATACCGTTCGATTGGACTAGTATGGACAATGTTGCCGCAAAGGTACTAGATGAACCAAATTCTGACGCATGTATGCTAATCGGGGCCAGGGATGCAGAGGTAGGCTGCGAAGTTTGGGTGCTTGAAGAATCCGCTGCTGCTGTATCTGAGACTTGATTGTTGACGATGAACTTTCCTTTCTTTTCAGTACAACATTCTTCCGCATTCCTCCCACAACAATAACTTCCATCTGAACATGCTGTGATCTCAGTATCGTTTACTGCACATAATATGATCAGCTACAATCCCTTATAACAAAGGATATTTTTGGCCATACCTCCGACACACAACTTTAAGCAGAGAGGAGACTGCCACGTCTTATCCGTACACGACTCTCTCCAAAGTTGCGATCCAGTTATACCGCAAAGACCGTATGTAGATCCAGAACCACATACATCTCCACCATTATTGTCTGGGACTCCTAAACGGCAACACATACTCACCGGTACGGAACCATTACATGCTATATATGTCGAATCCATCTCCACACCCATATAACTATAACATTGTGCCCTCACCAATCCCGTGAGCCAACAAAGAAGTCCGAAAGAAATAGCTAGATGATGCATTATTAACGAACGTAGTATACTCGTGCGAAAGGAAATACACAGAAGTCAGCAGTATATGTATTTAAGTGATCGCATTCTATGATTTTATACATTTGAGAATTAAAAAGTCCATGGGAACTAGAAAATTTATGCAGAAAGGAGATGCCAAGGTACACTAATGTAGAAATACTAAATTATTCTATTTGTATTTCTGGACTACTTCTTTAAGTGAGGATTCATTTTATATTACTATATATACACAGTATACAATCACACGAAAATTTCCCATGCGGCAAGTAATGATGTACGGAGAAATGAAGATAAGCTTGGCTTACAGCAGGCAGCCATGACTGATTGATTGATTGATTCGCTTAATTAGAATACAAGTGGTAGGTTAGAGAATAATCGTGAGATTAGTAGGGGGCGGTTATTCCTGAAGGATTGTTTCGAATGTTTGTTGAAGGTAGCTGTTTTGTCGGCCCCCACGTTGTTTTGTGGTGTGTTGAGAAGTTATGAGAGCGGCGAGCTGAGCTTTGCTCTATACTACGTATGTAATCTTACGTCGGGCTTGGGTTTGGGTGTGTGTATTTTCTTTGGAGAGAAATTCGAGGATAGTGTGGTGTGGCTGGAATGAAAATTTACTCTTTTTTTAAAGATAGTTAATGTATATTTGTTTGATCACCTAGTATTTACTTGAATGCTGTATTCTTTGTGAGGAAATGCTATTCTAACTGAGTAGTGATAGGATAAGTAGCTACTATTTTTTATTTGGTCTTTTCTTTATTCTCTAATATTATTATTATTTCGATAATAAAATATAAATTGAATTATTGGTTGTGAAATTTATATCCTTTTGGAATATATAAGATTACTTAACAAGAACAGTATATCTAATAGAAAATAAAAGAGTTCGAAAATTCACTAGTGGTTGTTATAGAGTATGTTAATCTTTGAATTACTATACTCGCTAGCGGATTTAGATGGAAAAGTAGCCCGTGTAGTAACCTTAGTTAATTGAAGAGAAATTTTTAGTATATATGATGTCACTGTGGTTGTTTTAGTGGTATTGATGAATTACAGTGTATGTATACATCGGGATGGAATCCGAGATTTTCAGATCCCCTTTCCCTCGCAATCTTGGTATTTACTTGTTGGATCGTATACTTTTTTCGTGATATTTAATGCCTGATCCTTTTTCTTTTGCTATTCTCACAATGAAATAAATGACTATTTTGCGTGCTCGGCAGTGATTCTGATAGATTCCTATTACCTTAGCGATATATTTCTATGATGATAAAAGATTGAACCATAAACCTTAGCTCTATTCCTATTCCTCTTCCTATTCCTATTCGTCATTTCAGTTATCAAGATGATATCTCCATTTACACAATCACTTATCACCGAAACAGAAATTCATTTACGATTTCCTCCCTAGTCCTATTCATTCCAAAAGTATAGCCAGAACGAACCCTCCAACACCTCCTTCCCAAAGGAAAACTGCACCTCGCCAGATTCATGGGGTTTTCACTGGATGTTTTATTCTTATATATTCTCCCCATCTCAGCAACGCAAAAGGCACAGGAATAATAGCGATTGCGAGAAAAGCGATAAATTACTCCCCTATCCTAACCCTAAAGATTCATACATCGGTTGTTCAGCAACTGGAAGCACCCCTCACACTACACATCTGAAAGTCGTGTTCGCAGCCAAAGCACTCGCGGAATAGATTGTAAATGAATTAATCATATACAAGCTGATATATATGAAAACGAAAATGTTACCAACGCCAATGAGAGTGGTTGAGGGGATAAGTACAATTCAATGAACTTTGTATTTTGCCGTCCAGCTATAAGGGGAGTAGACCAATGGGTTTAAGAAATGAGCCCGGAAAAAGTAGTAGAAGACGATACTCAGGTTTCATCACAGAAAATTCTTGACAAGCTTCAGCAGCGGCGGCATTGGCTCTTGCGGTGGAATTTTTCATCGTTCGATCTGAGAAGTATCTAGCTACCGCCAGGCCAGCCATAGAACCGAAACCCAAGCCGAGATATGTTAGTCCGACGAGTCAAGCACTGAATCTATAGATTTCTTCAAATACTATGGGAAAAGTAGTGAAGGGTAGATAGAGGTAACCATATATTACGCCCAGGTATACTGAAGTGGAAAGAACGATAGGTGAGCGAATGATTAGTTTTGTGGGAAGAAAAATTCCCCGGTGAAAGAAGTCCTGTGGAGAAAGTCCAAAGTCAAGTTTAGAAACAAGAGCAAAATCAAACTCTGCTTCTGAACACGCTTTATTTTCCTTTGAAGGATTATAATAGCATATATTTCATATTGTGAGAAAGTTGGGATTTCGAACTATATGTATAAGATTTCTATAGATGTCTGGTTATGTGATCTTTAGTAGTTAGATATAAGGGAAGGCCTTTGTTTTTCCCTTTTCGAAAAATAATCAACTTTATATAACTTCAATCCCAAATCTATTGTAAAATCAATTATTCTTTTAAATGATATATTACAATATAGTCTAATCAACTTTCTTCTTTATTTCCTTCTTATAGTGTGTTATCGGGACATGTATCTCGACCTACTCATTTTATAATATATGAATATAAAACTAAGGATTGTAAAAAGATCGAAGATCATACATAGTAAGTATTCAGAAAATCCAGCGCCAACCGTTTGCTTCAGCTAAGAAACCACCTGCAACGGGTCCAATGACCAGACCAATAATTGGGCCTACTGAAAGTGCTGGTCCTCTATTTTCTTGGAGTATTATATCCGTAATAGTTCCTCCACTATCCGTTAACACAACGCTGTCCCAAACTCCCTCGAGAAATCGGAACCCAAACAACATGTTCAAATTTGTAGCAAGTGCAAAGGCAATGATGAAGCAGATATAGATGACATTGCAAACATGATATATTGGAACTCTTCCATATATCTCACTTAACGGTGCCGGAAAAAGCGGACCAAATGTGAATCCTAGAACCTACACCGAGGCAGCAAATCCGGCCAATTCGATGTTGGTACTATAGAATTCTTTCATAAAGGCGGGAACACCAGGAGCTAACATTGAAGATGCTAGATGTGTTCCAAAAGATATAGCAGAAACTAGGAAACTGTTCCAGAATTTCATCGATACTTCCCAATTCAAAGGATTCTGGGGGTCATCAGGACCATTCCACTAAACCATATTTGGATCAATTTCTTCAGTAACTTTTTCCTGAAATGATTTCTTCAAGCCCGGAGTTGTTTGAGTTCGAGTAGCTGATGATTTTGAAGCTTTGTGATGAAATCCCATGTTTTGTTTGTGCTCGATTTCTTCTTTTGCGTTTAGAATGTGTCTTTCATTTGAAGCACCATGATCTTGATGCGCTGTCAAACATATCTTCTCAACTTCGAAGGATTCTGGACTGTTCAATGATCTATGTGCAGAATGAACATGGTAAAGAAGTTCTGAAAGCTCTTTCTAGGATCGTGGCCAGGCATTGCAGACATGGTGCCTGTGAACTTTTGAATTTCTTACCATTATAATATAGTAGGTCTGTATACCCATACTCGACAAATAAGTTATTATTTTATAATTAAATAATTCGTAAGACAATGGTTTGTTGAGACAGTATGGAATGTTGAGAACTTGGGGAAAGCTATCGGCTGGGGTTTGCTTGCTTACACTTCGCCGACCTTTGATTTGTCTTCACACAAACGGGGTATCATACTTCAAAACTGGAGACCACGAACTAAAAGCCTTCCACCCCCTTCATAATCTAGAAAACAATGTGGAGATGAACCTGCTTGTGTATGTTTTTGAAAGATTACTTATCGTTCTCCAGTGAGGCAACATTTCTCTCTCCATTTCCTCTCATCTTCACAACTCGGAACTAGTGATAAAATCGGGAACAATCACTTTTAGTCCATGACAACAGCGCGATGCTAGCCACTCTTTCTGAGATTGTGAATAATCAAATGGTTCTTCCAGGTCCATACAGTATATCAAGCAAACAGTGACTCAAAGTATGTAGATATATCATTACAGATTTATGATACAACTCAAATTTTGATTTGTGATAGTATTTCTTCAGCAAGTTCAACTTGAACATGAGTTTCGGAGCATTACACATGCTGTAGAAAGCATATTAATCTACTTCAGGCTCTCATGATGGTAACAACTGCTCTGGAATGAGTCTTCCCTGCCCATACTGAATACTATTAGGTGACCTTGAAGTAATTATTAAGTACCGCTTAATTAAAGAAGGACCTTACTAGCCTTGGATTCCAAACGGGCATTCCAAAATCTTCAACAGTAAAAACAAAAAGCAGATTATGACACAAGCATATTGCAATGCTCGCGGTTTGTCACCTAATAATAGTCTGCTCACCACTGCTAAAAATCTTGGCGATATTGTTAAACCCAAAGGTGATTTATATTCGGTGTGATGTGGCTTGTATAATGCCAGTGCGGAGTCAGCAGACACGATACAAGTTTGAACGTCCAAAAAGTTATAGATTTCCAAGGATGGCTCGATCTTTTGAATAGATTACGTTTGAAAGAAAGTGAGAAAGAGAGAAGATATTTCTTTTCTATACTTTTCCGTATTATCTTTCACTACCTAGCTATACTTTCGACATAGGTTCGCTGGAACCCTGTTCACGTTGAAATAAATCAAATCACAATTCAATCACATAATCCATATCAAAAAACAGAATTTGTATGTAACAAGGAGGGTATCGTTCATTCATCTATCAATATTGCCTAGTAAAGCAAAGCAAATAATTATCTTTTCAAATCCTTCTTTCCTTCCTCCTTTCCATCCCCATATCCCCTTCTATTCATCCCAATCCAAATTACACAAGACGTGATAAAAGTAACCTGAACGCCGGACGCTAAATGTGACAAATATCAAATGTCATTCATTCCTTTACCCGCATCCTCTTATCCATGAGCCACTATTCATCCCTCAACCCGGAAGCTTAGATGGCACCATGAGAATAAGGTTCATAAGCACCAGTACGTGTAGGTTGAGGTTGTTGGTGATAGATACCATGTTGTTGACCAACATAACCAGTTTCTGGTGTATCAATCTTCTGATAGGCCGTCTTTGTTGGAATCAACTTTTCGTGATCATTAAGACTTCTTCTGTTCTTCTTGCTGCTGTTGTTATTTGATGCACAACAGCAGATAGTAAAGACCCAGAAGAAACTGCTTGCGATGCTTAATACAACGGCGAGCCAGGTGACAGCAAGGAAGTGCGTATCGATATGGGCTCCGATCCCGTAGGCTTTAGCGGATGATTTGATAGCGCCGACTGTGACTGAGGAGAGGACGGTGGCCATGATAGAAGCAGCAATGACGGCTGTAGTGCTGAAACCAGAGACGAAGTATGTAATACATGAAGCGGCTCTAGAACACATAGCGAATAGTCCGAGGAACAGTTCGGCTGCTGTTGCAATCAAGGCAATGATGTAAACTACTTGTGTCCATTTCGATACCACCACAAAGGTCTTCAAAGCACTTTCAACTTCGTGTGGGAGAGTGGCATTGGTACCTGTTGCAGAGGTAAGAGTATCGATCGAAGAAGTATTGAGAGCGGTAGCCGCCCAGTTGAACTTTGCCTTAGTGCATGTAGTATTCTTTCCTGTGACAGCGCAGTAACTCCACAAACTAATCTTGTAACTATCCGCCAACCCCAGATCCTTGGCAGTGATATTGACAGCAGAAGCGGTGCCAGTCTTTGAAGCAATAACAGATTCGATATTTTCGGGAGTCAAGGCGGCGACGGTAAGATCTCCAAGACCGCGTTTGCGGAAGGAATGCTCGAGACTGAGGAGTGTGGAGGAAGAAATGGAGAGGTTGGTTGTGTTTACTTGGAAGAGATCGAGTGATTTATCTGTTACGCCGGCGAGGGATGCGATGAGAAGACAGATTAAACTGGCGAGAGTTAAGCCAAATGGCAAACCGACGCAAAGAAAAGCGACCGAAACCCATGATGTTGATGCTGTAACGATTGTGATGTTGTTGGCGTTGTTGTTGTTGTTGTTGTAATATCCTCTTTTTCTATCGTTGGTGTTGTAGATATCGTAAAAGTGATATCGAGAGAAAGAACGAATGTATTTTCTTTAAGGAGGAATAGTAAGAAGGATGAATAAACCGAAGAAAAGAAGACGAAGGATCGATCTTCTTTTGTATGTGTTGGTTTGATACGGGAAGACAAATAATATGGAACACGATGGCTGGTTTTGGCGTATTATGTACGACTTTAAGGTACTGGGTAGGCGGGCGCAGCACAGCAACGCAGCAACATGGGGCTGTGAAAGCGTGAATGACGAAAAAACAGACTTTTTTATGGGGAAACCCTTGTGGATTTTCCAAATATTTGAGACATTAAGGGATCTTTGATTATTCCGCGTACTAATTTGAGGATGAAGGGAAAGTTGAGGTAATGTTATATACAGAGTGTATGTATTTCGTATTGTAGGTAGGTAGCTTCAATTTATGGTTCACTAGGGAAGACTTAGTTGCTATCTATCATCACGATAAAAAAACATTCACAACCAACATAATCATTTGCCCTATTCTCCCTTCCTTTACAACATCTCATACCTACTCCCAGCGATCTACCTATGGAAGGAATATCTCTATTAGAACCCTTCGTATCACAACATCACAAACTCTTATCCCAATCTCCCAAGGTCTATCAACTGCAATACCCACCGTTCTTCCATCCATCATCCCTTCCCTCCATTCCATCAACCTTACCACCAACCTTACCAACCTCTAAACCCTTACTCCCATCCCTGAAGATCAGAAAATACTACTACAGGAAAAGGAATGAGCCACGGCAACGCGAACACACTCTACAAAGTTCTGCGTACTAGGTATTCATTCACCACCACCACATTTAATCTTCATTTATTTATTTACTCTGTACATATACCCAGTAATAATGTGGCTGGATCATTAGGTAACCCCCAGGCATTCTGTCTCAAACTTTTTATAGGTATACTCCGTACTCTGTAATCCAGAATTCGAGCCTAACGAATAACCCTACCAAAGAAAAACAACCCGTGCTAACCAAATCAAGTCAACAAATTTCTATTTATAACATCTTCTCACTATCGTCTTTTTTTCTCTAAACCTTACCGATAGCCACTTTGAGATTAGTAAGTTTCCTTGGAGTTTCAGAAATGTTGCCAGCTACCTACCTAGGTAGGTATCTAATAACCTTAAAATCTGAGATGGAAACATGTTCGTACGGTTATTATCTAACACTGCAAGTCCCTTTGAAAGTTCAGTATCAAGAAGCTCGGGAACGGTGATTGAATTCTACTCATGAACTCCCGCTCATATATTGAGTAATTCCTAGAATCCTTAAGATTCATGAATAATCTGAGGTTTCAGGTCAATTGGTATCGGGATTTCATATATTCCCGTATGAGGATGAAAAAGCCCGATCCGTGTCCAAAAGAAGTGTAGTATGAGCTCCTGTATGTTTGTTTAAACAATATCATACTAGAGTATTTCAACTATAAAATCTGATATCAAGTTTCTTTTAAAAAGTCTTCATATTTTATCAAATATCACTTCACTTTTTACATCAAGATAGAAGATTTACAAAAAGCTAAGGCAGAAAAACAACTCCATGCGCAGACCTTGGAAACTTCCCACCTCATAAGGTAAGCACGGTAACACACCGGAAACCCTTATCATCCACCGTTGTCAACCAATAACCAGATCATACCATACCATCCCTGTACATATCCACCACAAAAATCCAAAATCAACGCAAAAACCAGCGCAGCGCAGTTATCCTCCTCCCACAGATATCCCGCCCGCAGCTCCCACGAACCCCACTGCGTCTTTTACGGGAAACACAACACAGAAGCACTTGCCTTGCCAAGATCCTTGTTACCCGTTGTCAACGTAATCACATTTATTTTCCTAGGCGTGGCGGAGGGGATTCCTATCTACAGAGTATATACGTATACTGGGTAAGTAAGACTTTTGATTAGTTATTTATTATTGATGAATGAAATGGAATTGAATGAATAGTGATGTTTCTTTTGAGTGGAGGGGACTTTGTGGGAAATATATTGTAAAATTATGATCAATTGTAAGGTTAAGATTACAGAGTATGGCTGGATTTGATCAGGTTTTTCTTTTTTTATTATTGTATAGAATTTGCTTTATCTTATGTTAAATAGATATTAAGACCACAGTATACCAAAGCCATCCATCCATCTATTCTATACCCAACAATGAATATTCACAAACACAAAATAAAGCAACCATACCATCATTTCAGCACCACAATACCCTTCCTTCCTTATTACTTCAGCCCTATCTTCGTGTTCGTTATTACACAATAGATCTATTATAAAAGACCCAGGCCCCCAAATCCCTACCACATCGGATATCCGAAATACAGAAAGAGATCTAAAATCCAAGATATTTTTCACGTGCGCGGAAACACCGATATTAGGGATATCTTAGTTTCTGTGGGGTCTTTGTATGTTATATTAAGATTAAGACTTATATATTACATAAGATAATTAGGTTAAAGTACACGAAATTGATAACAAGTATATATAAATAGGTAGTAAAGCAAGTTGTAATATAGTGTACGGAGTAGAGAGGTAAGAGTACGATTTCAATTTCGATACATCTCTGAATACTCGCGGAAGGAAAGAGAGGATGTGTAAAATCTAATGGGCTTCCTCGTATTGCATTTCGGGTTTGATGATGCAATGTTCTTAAGGCTGCAAGGGTAGGACTTCTCAATATCTAAATCAATCATGTATTTCAAAGTCCCATTCATATCTGGCCATAAAAGCCATTCTCGGGCTTCTATTTGGTGTATGACATTTTTCTCAGGTCATGAGTATATATAGCATTGAAGAGCTTGTGAAGAGTTGTGAGTATGGCTTGATATCTCACATGGAGTGATTGCATGGATTTGGTAATCTTATATCAGATGCGCGTAGAGTCAAGAACTGAGATGAGTTGATGGTATGTATCTTTGTAGTCGCTGATATGTATTCGTCTATACTATTAATCGCTGGTATACTGCAGAAGAGGACGTGAACGTAACGAGCTCAAAGGATAGCTCTCGCTTGGAGTTACATTGGTACCACATAAGAAATGTTGATATCGTGTGAAGAAGCATCCATCATCACCACCTGAAGTAGCCATATACTCTTTCGCCTTTTTCATTTTCCATCGGCTTCATACGACTACAAGCGACGCAGAGACTATCGCTAGTATGATCATAACCACGAGAACACGAGAACACAAGAGTATGGGTTCTATGCCTACGATATCAGAGTATCACAGTAGGTGATCATGATACCATTTAAGGTCGTGTTGCGCAACGCTGGCTATCACGACATGTCGAATCGTTGTCCGGGTTGCTAGTTGCTCCTCGAAAGCTCGAGCCAATTCTAGATTTTGGGTACACCGATATCCATTCTCAAGAAATGTAAAGTTTCCGAAGCCTTCCTGACCCGGAAAAATCGTAGAAGGGCTAATCATCAGAGTGTTTGCGAACAATGATAGTTGACTCAGACGGTTTATAGCCTGCGGCGGTAATGATAGATCGTAGTTTTTTGGTTCAATTGTGACGCACAACGTCCGTATTTTGTCCCAATGTTCAATTTGTATGCGCGAATCAAGTGCCAATACTCTACGGGCGACGACAATCGTGTCGAAATTGAAGTCGACCGGAGCTAGTCCTAATAGCAGCAGAATTTGAGTCATTATTTAAAGAAGACTTCCGGAGGAAATCGCCGCATATGAGATGCCAGGGCTGCGTTAGAAGATGAAGGGGATGCGACAGATAAATGGATCAATTAGAGTTGGCTATAGAGTGTACAATGTGGAAGAAATGAAGAGACTTACGAGTATCTGATGGGGCTCTTGTGGTATGTCTTTGAGTCTCTTCGCTAACTTCATGGCCGTTGCTGGGCAAAATATTTGAGATATTGCATCCAACTAATCTGCTCTTGCCGATTAAGGGAACAAATCGAAGACACCAGGGGCGTGGACAATAAAGAATGTGAATACGGGCTTCGTCCACGGATGTCTTGTTGATCAAGTTCCAGATCTCAACAGTTGTAGAACATGTTGAATTGCGCGTAAGCTTTCTTTTACACCGCGTCCATTGGTCACTTATTTTACGATTAATGGTACGCCCATTGGATCCGCGGTTTCGCTCATCCTCATTGCCTCTTTGACGATTCTCCTGACTGGGTTCATCATCATGCTCGACAAATTCCCCATCCTGACTGGCATCGTAGCATCCATTCTTATGGTTCTCCTGTTGATGCTCTTGATAACTCATTGCGTAGCTATAACTTGTTCTTATAACGAGGGTGAAGGATAATATGCTTGTATTATAGAGAATTCCAAAATTATGTTAGCAAGTGAGAAGGGTTATGAAGCAGAAGAATAGATGCTTGAACGGAACAATATATTGAAAGGGTATGTAATCAAGCAATGGAAAGAACGAAAGTGTAAGTGGCGACGCTATAAGAGTTAGAGATATCCATACAGCCAAATTTGGAAAGAGCACATGAGAATCAAAAGGTTCAAGTAGTAAATTTTCTCACACTTATGCTATTTCTTTCGAAAAGGAAGCTGGAAGATCGAATGGTCTCAGCAAAACTCCTCAATGCTTCTAATAGAATAAACTCGACGGAATCTTGGCCTGTTAAGTCCTTCTAGCAGAATAAAGTCGATGGATTCTCGACCTCTTGTACGACACTACACCATTGTTTGCTACTTAGCAATGAGTGAAGAATTTATACCATGGTCCGGACCAAAAAGATTGATGGTATTGATCGATTTTATCTTCACTCTTTCTTTCGCGGACCTCGCTGAATGTTTTTATGGATCTTCACAAGTCACCGTTGTATGTAGTCCACTCTTTTCTTCTGTAGACCTTCTCTGAACATTCTCATGGTTACCTAAAGACTATCGGATATACATATTCATCGTACAAGATCAAAGTAAAGCTAGAATGATCTAGAATGTTGATGGCTTGGCATTGATATAAAAATATACAGTGTAATAGGTTGATGTTGATGATAAGAAATACATTGTCTAACGTCGGAGGATATATCTGGGTGACTGACTCAAAGTCTATCGTAATCCCATATAATTTTGAAGTCTCGAATCGGTGAATTTTCGTAAATAAATAAAATATTTCCTTGGGTAGGTCAGCAGTCAGGGAGAAAAGAATGATAGGATGGATGATGATTGATCTAAGCGTACTAATGTTGTCCCCCCTCATCATCAAAATGTAGTGCAATTGTTGATGGCTTGCCAAGCATCTTTTTCTTCATCCACCCAATCATTGTACTGAATGCGCAAGACCGCCTTTAGGTCCGGTTCCCGATAGCCCAAAATCTGAACCAACAACCCCATTCAAAGGGAACAAATGCAGAACAACAGGGACAACAGGAACCACCCACGAATCCCTTCACATAACAAAGCCTTATCTGGAAAATCCAAATATCTACGAGTGTCGACTTATTCATCAAGCTTCCAGTGTTCGGTTGACTTCTAAGCTCTTCTACATAGCGATATTCATCGTAGTTCTTTTCCACCTTCTACGACTTCTACGCCTTCTTCTGCCTTCCTCCACCTTACACTACCTATCTTTGAGGCAAACCTACCTGCCTTTCAGCGACTAAAACGCATACTTAGTGGGACGAGCCGTCTTCCGTCCCCCACGATTATCTACTTGACACAGCTCTTGTGATACATCGCAATTCGCCTTGGCCCATCTCAGAAAGGCCCTTTCGATTGTGCGGTGTTAACGGAACGGACTTCCATGTCGACGAAGACCTTACCTTTACCAGAACCGACTCAGCCTCAACGCTAAGAGTTACTTAATTTTCCCGGCGAGGGTACGTGCCAAAATTTGTTGTCCATAATCTTCTCTACTCGCGCCCTCCTCCCTGCTTGAAGATACAAAGTGACTTACTTCATCCCCAACCATCCATTATACCTAGCAGCCTCCTAGAGGAGAGACTCTTGCTGGATGCTTGCTTACAATCTCATAGCTATCATAATTCACCATCTGCCAGCATAAAACCTCCCAACAGGTTATACCTAATAAATATTACGATTGCATACAATTGTGTCTCAAACTCCCCGACTTGCCCCATTCCGATCACGGCCTTACGATACCAACAAACGTACACGATACTCGCCCGGAACAATTAGAAGAAATTTTGGGTCTTATCTTACATTCTCTTACCAGCAAAGGAAACAGTTCATCTACTTCTCTCTTCTACACTTGCAGCTGAACTGCAGCATCACATTTGAGTCACCGAGAAGTGCACTGAGTTGACTTACGATAACGCTCTACCGAGCTCGCATAGTTGAATTTGAAACTATGGGAAACCAACCGTCCAAAGGTTCAGGGTCAGCAACGCCCAGGAATAGTGCATCCCAAACGTCTCTAGCAGATAATTTATCATCTTATCCTTCGTTCAGCAAAGCAGATACCAAGGAATCTAACAAATCATTCAGAGGCGCCCTTCGATCAAAAATACCAGGTTCCAAGGACAGTCCAAGGAATTCAATTGCAGGAATAGGTACTATTGGAGATGCAAATGACAAATCTGACGTTGGGTCCATCAAATCGGGAAAAGGCTCTAAATCGGGCAGGTCATCATCTGTACCAGCCTCACCCAGATCGCCTCAAGATTCCACTGAAGATCTTCCTTCGCCAGTCGATGATCTCAAGCCCCCCCCTTCGCCTGTGCAGTCTCCTTCCGTAAAGTCCGGACATCACGATGTCGGGGCTGCACAGCGCAGTGGTGAAGTTGATCATGTTTCCGACCAGCCTCCCTCGGGCGCAGTAAATCCTCATGCAGTTGGAGGGCGAGCTGGGCAATCTATATTGGTCAAGAGGGCAAATGAGATTAATCCTGTTGACCAAAAAACCTTACTAGCTGCTCCAATGAATGGAGCTAATGATGCAGCACTCTCAACATCATCATCCGGACAAATCTCCATGGGCACACTGAAAGATAAAGAACTCGACGACTATATTTCGAGGCTCTTAGATGCAGGCTACCAGGGAAAAAGCACCAAGGGAGTTTGTCTCAAAAGTGCAGAAATCAACTCAATTTGCCTTCGAGTAAGAGAGATCTTGTTAGACCAACCACCACTCGTCGAATTGGAAGCCCCAGTCAAGATTGTAGGTGATATTCATGGGCAATACTCGGACCTCATTCGCATGTTTGAAATGTGTGGGTTCCCTCCCTCGTCAAACTTCTTATTCCTGGGTGATTATGTTGATCGAGGCAAGCAATCTCTTGAGACAATTCTATTGCTCATGTGCTATAAGATCAAATACCCAGAGAACTTCTTTCTGCTGAGAGGTAATCACGAATGTGCAAACGTTACTAGAGTCTATGGATTTTATGATGAGTGTAAACGAAGAGCTAATGTCAAAGTATGGAAGACATTTGTGGATGTCTTCAACTGTGTATGTAGTCAGGTCTCGTGGCGTGTGAATTTTTGACTAACTCTTCTGACAGTTACCTATTGCTGCAATCGTCGCAGGGAAGATCTTTTGTGTTCACGGCGGCTTATCCCCCGCTCTCAGCCATATGGATGATATCAGACACATTGCTCGACCCACAGACGTCCCTGATTTTGGATTACTTAACGATCTTTTGTGGTCTGATCCTGCAGATCAGGAAAATGATTGGGAAACTAGCGAGAGAGGCGTTAGTTATTCGTTTGGTAAGAAGGTCATTTCGGAGTTCCTAGCAAGGCATGACTTTGACTTGGTCTGTCGGGCACACATGGTTGTTGAAGACGGTTACGAATTTTTTGAAGATCGAATCCTCGTTACGGTATTTTCTGCACCCAACTATTGCGGCGAGTTTGACAATTATGGAGCTGTCATGAGTGTTTCAACAGAGCTACTTTGCAGCTTTGAACTTCTGAAACCGTTGGACTCCAGTGCCTTAAAGAGTCAGATGAAAAAGAGTCGTAACAAGCGGAATAGTATGGTCAACAGTCCTCCACCAATAGGAGGTTTTGCCCCACAGAGTGTATAATGACCCATCAGGAGATTCTCATGCAAATATAGACGAGAAGATTGCTATGATGAAAAAGTCCTATACATTCAAAGCAGAAAATCCAAGCTATAAACGCAATATATTAACAAGTACGGGATATGTTACAATATACGCGCGTAATTAGACTAACCACTCAACAGTGGCTCAGTACATACAAATCAAAAGCTAGCCAGGACGAGGTCCGGGAAATCAAAAATGTCTACTTGGTCAGGGCTCATTTTACACCACATTTTATACCGCATCAAGAAGGTTCAGATAGATGGCGGAGAGTGGAGACCGCCCATAGATACTACATACACACATTTGATTCATTCTCCTTTACTATGGATAGTTCCTTGTTTGCGACAACTGATATTGCCCCCCTTCTACTCGGATGTCGACACGGAAAACGGAATCATTTTACACTGGCGTTATTTGTTTTAGTATGTCTCAAATTGGAGACGGAAAGGAAGCTCTACTTTTTCTTTGCTCTTGCAGGTTTCGCAATGGCTTATCATGGGCACATGAGATGGATAGGTGGGTGGGTGATGGACAATAGATGCACGTGTTGGGTGGATGGTGTATTTTGTATTCGTAATGTGTGTGTGAGCCGCTCTGGGAGTAGATCTCAGTTAATATGGCTGGCGTGAGGAGTAGTGAGAAGTGGCATGGCATAGAAAGACGATTGTCCTTGGGCTTGGTGTTGTTTGGTTGGACTCATTCATGATTTTATGCAATCAATGAGTGATGGAATGACATGAGATTTTAAGCGTTCTTGAAAATATTGGTTCTAATGATGCGTGTATGTTTGAGTGATGTGAATACGGGTCTCCTACCTTGTTTGTTATAAGTAATATTTGATGTAAGATGCAAGTATCCATCTTATGTTTTGATATTCATTGTCGATCTTGTTCTATTGTCGTAGGTTGAATCTCTGCCATTCTTATTTTTTTGTTTACCATGGGTTAAATAAATACAGAAATCTTTTACTTGCAAGATGAGAGTGAGTAAAATTCAATCCAGGAGTAGAGTGGTGGGTTGGCGTTCGTGTTACGTAGGTATTGATCTTGGGTTAGTATAAGAAAATATTCTTGATAAATTAAGTTTCTCTTAACGCAGAATAGAACGGCCCACAAACCAACTGAACATTCTGACCAACTGAACAATCTGACCAACTGGACAATCTGACCAACTGAACAATCTGACCAACTGAACAATCTAACCTAGTTAGGTGATACATCAATAGAATTTCACTTTCAGGAAATTTTCCATATGGATAGTTATAGATTATTAAATCCTGAATGTGCTAAGGTGGGAATATGGTTAAATTGAACGGTTTAGTTACCCGGTGTGTTTAGCTGGGCGGTGGTCACTTCTGGTAGGATAAGTGTATAGAACAATAATTTATATAGGTAATATAAGAAAATCTTTTTTTTTTTAGTTCTTTTATCTTGTTTATCTTTTTTTTTTTTTTTTTTTTTTGGCAGTGAATATAAAGTTTGTTAAAAGGAATAGAAGTTACCGGTACTAATCACGTGTCGTGATTAGTAATACGGTTACCTAAACAGGCTAGATTAGACGAACCATAAGCAGGCATATTGGTCCCCTCTGAGGATACCAAGAGGAGATTAATATGCCTACAGACGTAGTAATATAGTCAATATAGAGGCCTCTTCCACCCAATCTTTTAATAAAGTTTGAGTTTTGGTACTTTTATTGAATTCTTTTTAAAATTTCCATATTACACGAAGTATATATATACTCTGTAACTGTAGATAATTAGATAGTATTTTTCCTTGTACAAAAATTAGAGATATTTTTCGATTCTTTTTCTGTAAATCGGAAAATTGGGATAGTCTATGATCTTTTGATGTAGGGAAGTTGTGTTGTAGCTCTGAGAGAGGGGGGGGGGGGGATTTGGTGGGGTGTTGGTTTGTAGAGTCTGATTTCTTTTAATACTTGTTTGTATATGTAGATTTTTTGTATGTGGTTTTACAGGCGGTTTGGTAGGTTAATGGAAATTACATTTTTGTTTGTTATGTGTTGTCGGTATTGTTGTTGTTCTTGGTTGTATGATGTTATTTTTGATGAGATGATAGGATGGTAGGATGATTCTTTATTATTGTTTAACAATAGTAAGATTCTATTTTCTAATCGAAAATAGAAGATCAATTAAGGAAAGTTTAAGAGATAAAATCAATGTAAAGATCAGCTAGGTTCGATAGGACGAGAATCCCCTCTGACTTTCCGACGATGTTTTATATATGCTTATACATTTAGCGGATTGTTGCTTTTCTTTACGAGTATTTGTGGTCGTTTTTAGAATATATTTTGTTCTTGATTCTGTATGGAATGATAAGCCTGTATAGATGATATTTGCTTCCACTCAGTCTGATACTCAGTCCTGGGGTTAGATACTGCAGTTGATCTTCAACCCCTCCTCATTATTTGGAGATGTATAAATACCTCCTCTCTACTACTTTGTAACTCGCAAATAGACTGGTACTGAATTTCATTGTCTTTGATGTGGCTGAGAATAATTGATTTGTTTCATCAACTTTGTCCTCACAGGTTTGATCATGAGGAGAAGTTGGGATTGAGTTTTGAGTGATTATCACAGGGAACATAATAAATTTTGAGTGTTGTTTGTTAGTGTTTTGTTTGGCTATTGTTAAAGATTATCTCTATTAATATTTAATGGTTATTGTTGAATTCAGGAGGATATATGGTCTTCACTAATTTACCATTTCTAACCATCTTTTTCGACTGTAATAATTGCTGAATTTTAAAATGAAAACTATCACTGTCGTGGGACAATATTAATCACTGTTTCAGCTAGAATTTTGTACTCAAAAGCTCTGCTTCTTAAAGATTGAATGTTGTATGTTATCATAGTCTTCCCAAGAGATACAAGCATGAAGATTTCATCCCAGGACTTTCTACGATGTTTAATTGAGACGTCATATAGTATTGGGTTTCTTGAGACCAGAAAGAGCATCAGATTGAATTTATTGATTTTCTAGCTAAGCAGTTAAGCTGCGAGTATATATTCAAAAAAAAATGAAGGAATAAGGTTAGGTATTCAGCCTTCAGAATTAAAGTGCTTTGAAATCAAAATATTGAAAGCAAACAAACAGTATACCAAAAAGGAAAGAATGAATTAAAAGTTGAGTTTTGTTTGCTCCTTATATGCATCATGCAATATATATGCATATGCTGCCAAGATCCCAGGAGGTCAACAATAGTCGACCGTCTGCTATAAACGGCTCGGTAAAGTAGTGAATTCCCATTGCGGAGGCTTAAAGTTTTGCGAAAGCCTTGGTTTAATCACGAGGGATTTATATCATCTTTCGGATATAGTTGAAACAGTTGGTGTATTTATACCCCATGCGATTACCGAATCCTTCTTTTATAACACTCAGACTCATAAAGAATATCCGTATATTCAAATTTTACAGTTTATATTTCCTGCGCAGTTGTTTTCCTTATTTGAAATAGATTCTCGGGTGTAATTTTGCCAGGCCATGGATCTGCTCCTTGAGGCTAGAGACTACTCGTCTTTATATTTTTGATAGTAAAAAGAAAACAACAGTAGCAATGATGAGATGATTTACAGTGAAGACTCCAAGTGATTTCTTAATTCTTCTTGCTCATATACTGTATTGTTATTCATAATCGGAGTATGTCAAGTACATGGATTAGATGAGTCCAAGCAATTTACACTTGGCGGCCAATCCAGAAAATCAACAAAAATTCTTACACTACGTCCTGAGACTATTTCTACACGCAAACAACTCCCTCGCATCGTCTTAACAATATGGGGCTCATCTCCTAATCTTCAATACTCCTCGCTTAACAGTCAGCTCGGGCTATTTTTCTCCTGATAAATCAGGCCGTCATCCTCTAGCCGTGACCATGCGAAAAGCATGCTTATGTTTGAGTGTGTGGGCTCTCCCCTCGGCCGAAAAGAGCTTCTTAGAAGCGTATACAATTCATATCATCCCGGTAAAAAGAACTCGGAATTAAGTTCACGCCAAATAACTTGCGTCTTTAAATGATACGCTTAGCCGTACTGCTTCTCAGGCCACTGCTCTGTATAAATACAGAATACAGATGAGTCTATATGTTGACCTCCTGGGATCTTGGCAGCATATGCATATATATTGCATGATGCATATAAGGAGCAAACAAAACTCAACTTTTAATTCATTCTTTCCTTTTTGGTATACTGTTTGTTTGCTTTCAATATTTTGATTTCAAAGCACTTTAATTCTGAAGGCTGAATACCTAACCTTATTCCTTCATTTTTTTTTGAATATATACTCGCAGCTTAACTGCTTAGCTAGAAAATCAATAAATTCAATCTGATGCTCTTTCTGGTCTCAAGAAACCCAATGACTATAGTCTAGTGAATACTCAATTTTGATTTCTGACTAAGCGTATTTTAGAAACGTCCGGTAATGATCTCAGTATTTCCTGAGATATCAGGACTTTGAAAGGATTTCAGGTGCAGTTGATGAAAGCTGGTATACAGTATTCGGATATCTTCTAAACGGATGGCCTAAGAGATACTAGCATTTGAGACGGTTATGGAAGCTATTTGGAAGGGCTGGGATGCTTGAAAGGAAGGTAGATATTGACTTCAGGGAGCTTCGACTGTTCGCCAATGATGGATATATTTGTCTTCAAAGCCTTCACTAATCGTGGCACACTTATATGTCTGTTACCCAACATAATTATCTTGAGTATAAAATTTGCAGTTTTCAACCCTACATCAAACGAGATGAAAAACATCTAGTATTGTCAAAGAAAAGTGATGAGACGATATAATATATTTACTATCTTGAATATCTTTTCGAAGAGCGTTTAAACGAATGGAAAGTTCAATATTTGGGCCGAATGGTAAGATTACATATAAATACTTCCTTTGAGCAAATAACCGACCCAATCTCCACTCCACTGATCTTCTCCCATTCCATTTCTACTGAGGCTTACCAGTA